AAATTGACACATTTGTAATAAATCTATTTATAAATTGTAGAGGAAGCTGAGGTGTGCGGGACTTGACAGCTCAGTCCTTATCTCTTTTTACAGATGTGCGGTGGAGAGTGTTCTGGTATCAACGTGTGGCATGGAAACTACACCGTGGCAGAGAGGACAGCCGTACAGAGGGTGGTGAAGGCCACACAGAGAGATGTCAGAGGTAGTTTTCCAACCATCGCAGACATATACACCTCCAGATGCAGGAAGAGGGCCACCTGTATCAGGAAGGACCCCACTCATCCAGCATAGTCATTCTTTGTCGTGCTCCACTCTGGCAGGAGGCTGAGGAGCATTAAATGCAAAACCACCAGAAGAAGAAACAGCTTCTATCCAGAAGCTGAGAGACTTCTTAATGCATAACGGGACAAGAACTGTAACTCTAGCACTGTAACCATTACTGACAGCTACAGACATCCGAAGATAATTATATGTTGACACTATCGTAGTATTTATCCTGGTCACCATGCCTTTTTAAGTGTTTATATTCTTATATCCATACTCTATTCTGGTACTCAGGATGCAGCATTTTATTATTTTACATTGTCTTGTAGTATTTTTACCTCTTTTTGTTCCGGTACCATGCAAACGTTATTTCGTTCCACCCCATGTAAACAAATGATGCGAATGACAATAAACAATCCTTTATTTTATGTTTTAGACTTTTTTTTTTTTACTCCTTCCATCAGAGCTCCCTAGCACCCATTTGGACAAGCCTCCACTGGATCTAAGTTACCCACTAATCAAAAAACACACTCTGCAATGACTGAAATGTCCTAATTTTGACGCAGCTGATGAGTCAAAGAACTGAGAGCAGCCTTAACAATGTAGAAGAAGAGTAGAAGGAGGTGGAGGAGGAGATCTGGCTGCATGAACTGGTCTGTGCTGCATTAGTGGTATTGTCCATTGCCTACACACTGAGGTGCTCTAACATTAGCCTCTGTCTGAACAGCAACACACTGGTTGAGTCACAGCAGAGGGAGGACAGAAAGCTCGGAACAAACACCAGTTACGAAATAGTGTGGAACACTGGCTTTACTTCAAAAACTATTCTTTAAGATAATTGTTCAAAGCTTATTTTGCAACACACCCCAGCGTAACTGGCACATCCTTTGGTGGTGATTTGTAGCTCTGTCTTTTGCTGCCCTAATCTCAGTCTAAATGGATGCGACCTTCCCATTTCTACATTTATGCACGCAATCAGCCATAGCCTGCAGCAAGGTGTCACATCAATGCAACCCGCAGCCTCACTCCAGTCACAAATTGGGGGTTGAAACAATGAACTCAACAACACAATAAAGTTCTCTTTGTCAGAATCAATTCAGTCTCAGCTGGAAACCGTTTGCTGATCACGGGTTTGGTTTTGCTACATTTCTTATCTTCAACAAGAGTAAAACAGTAAAATTCAGTCTCTGGTTAATGGAAGTCAGGGAAAATTAAAGTTTGGTGAAAATTGATTTTTGCCTACAAGAGGAACAAACTAGAAGCCACACACAAACACACTACCGCTGGACTTCGGCCTGTCCACTTATTGATCCTCGCTGTTGACAATGGAGTTATTAGTCATCAGGGATTTGTAACAATCATTACATAGTGACCCAGCTGGAGGACAGCTGTGTTGTCCCGCTTTCCTGCAGCCAAAATCCATAAAATGAACCCAACAGATGAGCTCTGAACACAAAGTAAATTATCTAATCCAAGTTGGGTTTTTATTATTCCAATCTTTCAAGCCCCAAAGATTCAAAAACAATAAGCAGATTCAACATTCCAGTCATTTCAACACTTGCTATTATTATCTAAACAGATGATGTGAGTCGTGGGAAAGCACAGCACTGACTATTCTGCAGTTCTTGCCAGAAGAGAAATGTGTCAAATCCTAATCATCACATTCATTTACTACATCAACACCTGCCAAGAAAAGCAGGACATGATGTCATCCAGGCGGTTATAAAAAGACTTTTGGTGCATCTTTAAGTCACAAACTGACCTGACTCATCCGCATAAAGAGCTGCTTGGTGCTTTCTGTCAACTAGCAAGCATTGGGCTTAGCTGCATCAGCGTCTCATGCTGAAATTAATCCCCGCGATTATTACGGTTTTCTCCTTATCCTTTAAGAAAACCCATAAGCTTCTTTCAAAAACAATGAATCTGGGTTTAGTTGGTGTCAATTCTGACTGTGGAGGACTTCACTAATTTGTGCTCCTGTCCTGATCTGGACAATCCAAGCATGTCCTCCTGAAAAGCAACTGCTGAAGTGCCCTTAAGCTGAGCATTGACCCAACAGCTGCCTCTTTGTAATTACTCAGCTTCTGGCAGTACAAAGTTTTAGTCAAACAAGGTCGTGCCACGGTTTGAGTATGTGAATAAACCTGCAACTTTCCCCCCAAGGTTGCACCGGGTCTGTGCTACCGAACTACAACAGCTTTAGGATTCAGCCGGAGGTCCTAAATGTACGAGGTACCGCTGCGTTCATTTTCCCTTTTTCTTTCGGCAGCTTTGTTCTCACGTCATTAGGTTACAGAGCCATCTCTAAGGCAACTGACAGAGTTCAGAAAGCTGCAGCTGATCCACAAGCGTGAAGTGTTAAATGCAGTTGGTGGGAAGAGAGATAACAAATTAATTCTCCAGATAGAAGTTGATGCCCTACATGGCAGAGGAGGAACGAGCAGACCCATTTTCCAAGCAGCTCCACAGCCTGTCGTTTCCAATCTGTCATCTTCGAGGGGAGATGACCACACTGGTTTCAGCACCAAATCCTTCAGATATTCATGATCAGAAGAGTAAACGCCTCCAGTTGCAGTAAGAAAAGGACACGTTGTTTAAAATCAGCAGAACTCACATTAAAGTATTAGATTCTGATATAGCTGGTTAATTTAAAATAAATAAATAAATAAATAAAAGCTGCAAGTATGAGCAAATAGGTTTAAGAGCAGTAAATACACTCACTGGCCACATTATTGTGTACACACCTGTCCAACTGCTGGTTAACGTGTAAATCATTAATCAGCCAAACACATGGTGGCAACTCAGTGCATTTAGGCATGTTGACATGGTCAAGACCATTTACTACAGTTCAAACCGAGCTTCAGAATGGGGAAGAAAGGTGATTTAAGTGACTTTGAACGTGGCATGGTTGTTGGTGCCAGACAGACTGGTCTGAGAATTTCAGAAACTGCTGATCTTCTGGGATTGTCACGCACAACCATCTCTAGGGTTTACAGAGAATGATCCGAAAAAGGGAAAATATCCAGTGAGCGGCAGTTCTGTGGGTTAAAATGCCTTGTTGATGCCAGAGATCAGAGGAGAATGGCCAGACTGGTTCTAGCTGAGAGCAACAGTAACTCAAATAATCACCTGTTACAACCAAGGTATGCAGAAGAGAATCTCTGAACGCACAACACGTTGAAACTTGAGGCAGATGGGCTACAGCAGAAGACCACACCGGGTGCTACTCCTGTCAGCTAAGAACAGGAAACCGAGTCTACAATTCACACATACAGGCTCACCAAGATTGGACAATATAAGATCGGAAAAATGTTGCCTGGTCTGATGAGTCTCGATTTCTGCTGTGGCGTTCATGTCATGAAGCTCGAATCATCTCAGAGTGGTTTCTTGAACAAGACAATGGATTCACTGTATATTTGGCCTCAAACAGTGTGGTAGAATGGGAGATTTGCATCATGGATGTGCAGCCAACAAATCTGCAGCAACAGTGTGATGCTATCATGTCAACATGGACCAAGATCTCTGAGGAACATTTTCAGTACCTTGTTGAATCTATGCCACGAAGGATTAAGGCAGTTCTGAAGGCAAAAGGGGGTCCAACCCGGTACTTGCAAGGGGTACCCAATAAAGTGGCCAGTGACTGTACATAAAACTGACATTTTAAACCAAATGTAACTTTTATGCTGCTACATTACCCACCACTGAAAGATGAAAGGTGGATAATGTTTTTGCCTGTTTTTGTGCACATTTGTGTGCTTTACATCTCATAAACAACAAACTGGGTTTTCATGAAAGTCTCAGAGAATAATCACTGATTAACTCTTCGAGCCATCTCAATTCAATATGGCCACCACAGCCGACCAACCGTAAAAATCCAAAATAAATGTCTATAAATCAGCCAATTTTACAGACCGTGACCTAACTTTTGGTGTCAGCGTTAGACGTCATGCTAAACACACACCCTTAGAACCAAGGCATGAACCACTGGATGGATTGTCATGTATTATGTGTACATCTAAAACTAATTACATTTAGGAGTCAATCCAATTTGAGATTCAGCCACAGCTAATTAAGCAAAAACAGCTCTAACTCAGTCAGTTTTACAGACTGAGCTTCAAATCCATGTTGGAGCAGCTGAGAGTCGTGCAGTAAACCTGTAAAATGTCCTAAAACAAGATGATTTTTCAACTCTGAAAATAAAATGCATTCTATCCGGGGGTGTTTGGTCTAATTTGGCCCAGCGTTTTAATAGTTTCATTATTTACTATTTGACTTTTGTGTGAATAGACAATGAATGGATCTGTACTGTTGTATTTGTGTGATGCAGCGCTCTTTTGTTTGAACCAATCAGAAATAACCACTGCTGGTTTTAAATACCACATTTCTCCCATCTCATCTAAACGATGCTCATCAGCTTCTCTAAAATTACTGAATTAGTCTGTTTTCAAAATGACAGTCTGGCCAATTAGGTTTAATCATCCAGCTGGTGGGGTTGGATGCTTTGAGTGAGGAGTTAAAGAATTAAGACAGACACTTGGCAGGAGTGTCATTTAGTCTTATTTTTGTCCAAAACCACCCATTCCATTAAACATCATCGTATTACCATCTGCTTTGACTTTTCTGGATGACACCAAGGCACTGCCATGAAGTTTTACTTCATCTATTTAAGGAGTATTCACACCCCAAAAGCCTTTTCTATATTAGAGAATGAGCTGATAAAGGGGCTAACGACTCACAGGCATGTGTGACAGAGAAGCTGTTGGAGGACTCCAGGTTGTCAACGTTGTAATTGAGGTGGAAGGGTTTTTCTGTCACATTCTGGTTGGTGTTGTACAGCTGGACAGCAAACCTGAAGGCGCTGTGCTCCTGCACCGTGGAGCGCATGAACAGTCCACCTACAGGAAACAGAATATCATACAACAGCGCTCTGATGAGTCCAAACCAGCATTCTGCGTTCATGCTTCCCCCAAATGTACACAACGATGCAGTTAGGACAGGATTTTAAATTAAACCACAAATGTTTTTTTAAGGAGCCGTTAAAGTGTTCCATCAATGAATATGGCTACGATTCCCGCGCGCCTCATGCGGTTAAAGTTGGAGAGGATTAGGGAATAAAAAACAAGAAGAAACTGGTGTTTCATAAGATACGCGCTATAGAAGAATAAATACCTTTGAACTTACCGATGTTTATTTGGTTTGGAAACCCTGCCAACGAGTCCCCACAAAAATTAAATAATACAAAGACTGCAGCAACTGTGCGCTTCCACATTTTTCCCTCCGAGAAGTGATGTCAAGTCCAGGTCTGTGTGTGACTGATGAGGAGAATCATGAACGGGCTGGGTGGACGCCAAGAACCCCACAAGATGCGGCGCGTCTCCTCTCACTCACTGCGCGCGCCCACGTTGATTGTGTGCCAGCTCAACTGCAGCGCCAGCCCACTGCTGCTGCTGCTGCTGCTGCTGCTGCTGGGAACCCAAAGCCTGCGTTTTATCTCAAAGATGGAGGTGGAGGAGGAGGAAAGAAAGAAAGAGAGGGGGAGCGGATCTCCTTTCTGTGGATGAACACCACTGAACTGGACCAGAGAGCGAGGAAGAGGGGGAGGAAGGGGTGGGAGTGAGAGAGAAATGTGGAGGGAGGGAAAGAGGGCGTTTATCAAACTTGGTCTGACGTTGAATTATAAGTGCAGCCTCCTGTCTTCTTCCTCCCCGCGTCACTGCGGAGTGTGAGGAGGTGCAGTCTGTTGGGCTTGGTGTGTGTGTGTGTGTGTGTGTGTGTGTGTGTGTGTGTGTGTGTGTGTGTGTGTGTGTGTGTGTGTGTGCCATCCATCCCATCCTTCCTGCTGTAACATCTCGTATGCAGCATTTGTGTACAGTACATTCCTGCCCTGTCCCCTGCAGGTATTTGAGTGCAGAAACTGTAACTCTGGGAGCTAATGCATTTATTTATGCCCGTTTAATCACCGCCTGCCAAAAGGTCCAGCCGAAGCTATGCATTAGGATCCGAACTGACTTATGTGGTAATCCTCTGTATTCATCCTCGGTTCTGTTGGCACCTCTGAGAAAGCAGCAACAGATACTGCAGAAAAAAAGGTTAATAAATAAATAAATAAACAATAAAGTTGGAAAGTAAGATGGTATTGGTATTATGCATAAAAATATAATGATGATGTTGAGTTAAGCTATAAAGTTCTGAAATATTTAATAAAGAAACATCTGAGGAGTTTTCAAGAGCAAGCTGAAATTCCAAAACAAAATTTTTTAAATTTAAGAAAAAACAAATGGCCCGTATTTGATGATAAACTGTATAAGACGTTTTAAAAGATCCAAGATCAAAAGAAATGTTACAGCTGCTGCCAGTGGCTCATTCTGGTCACCATGGAAATGCATTTTCTATCCCTGATAGGAGAACCTTGGGAGATACCAAGATCATGAAGGCAGGCAAGGATCACCCAAGGCCACTGCACTTCAGCCATGCTGACCTTTGGGAATTCCTCAAATGTGGGAATCTTGACAAAATAGTTCGAATAGTTAGGGTTGGGGTTAGGGTTAGAGTTAACCCTAGTGAGTGTTTCCAAAGCCATGACATACACACCTGTAGTGGTAGGATTGACTCTGAACAATCGTCCTTTACAGTTGTAACATCCAGAGATGGTCAGTTTTCACCTACATATTGACCTACATGCCGCCGGTCATCTGCAGACATAATTCCATTCTCTAAAGTGGATTTTACATTCTATCTCCCAACAAGCCAGAAGATTCTGCAGCTCTGAACACATGATAACATAATGTCAACAAACTGTTCCCGTTTCAAGGCCTTAAGCTTCCCCTTATCGCTTCTACAGGATTCCTCCTGCCTCTGAATTAAAGTGAACATTTTCAGCTCATATGAGTTCATTAATCAGGAAATGAAATGAACAATATGGTTAAAAGAAATGTTTTGATTAATCTGTGCCTAAGTTAATAAGGTTGAAATGAATATTGTCCTGCAATGATCCATTTGTCTGATAACCAGCGTACGCGACTTGACAAGCCAATCAGCCATACACTTATACACATGACGAGATGATATGCACATAGATATGTTCTTACCCACAAATCACAGAACCTTCTATCTGAAAGAAGGCGTGATGTTCTGAGGGTTGTTTGTTAACACCTCTTAACATGGCACGTCCCGATTGGCCAGGTAATCATAATATGGGAATGTTAAAAGAGAAACTTGCTGAGTGATTCAGTTAGTTTGAGCAGAGCGCTGGACCGGCCAGCTGGAGCAAAACTCTTTGAACCATCAAGGCTTTCAACAAGCCAAAAGCTGCCTGCAGCGACACAGAAACTTGCTCCTTCAGCTATTCAAAAACAGCTGTTCTAGACGCCAAAAATTTCATCTATCTGTTGTGACTCGGGAGACATCCTAGGACTGACTTGGTTGCATCGAGGTTTCCTACGAGCCACGTGCATTGGGGTCAACGACCCCTTGACATCTCGGATCCAAACGGGGTCTCCAGGAACGGGTATGTAGGCACGACAAGATTGCGTCTGACGCCGTTTTGATAAGAACCAACTTTGTTAGTTTAATGCAGACTAAATTATTTTCACACCCAGAACATAGTTTCTTCTAGATACAAGGTTCTGATAAACATACACCATTCAATCATCATACATCACATTCCATCCACTTATACAGTATTCATTCATCACATTCGTCTTATTTGTAACTTGTCTTGTTTTTAATTTGATTAGAAAATAAATTTCTTGCTTTTTATAAACTTGACTCTGTCTGAATTGATACGAAGTGTGTTTGATCCCTGAAAAAGCAAAGAATCCTAGAATATTCTGATTAAACATTCAAAGACCAATAAGGTTGATATCCTATATTCATATATAATATCACATCTTATTGGTCATAAGTAAAGGTAATATATTAAGCTTTAAAGCAACATATTAAACCCTCCTTCTACACAGTTAACATTATATTTCCTTCAGTGAGACAATATCAAACCACAACCTGCTCCCAAAAGTCAAACGACTTCATGACCAGGAAAGAGTCGACGTTTAATTGGTCTTCCTGCAAATCTGTTATCGATTTTACCAATAAAAAACAAAAACATGCAACAAAGGAGACTGGAATCCTTCATCAAAAGCAAAAGGAAAATATTTCACTCCTAAAACTGCAGCAATCCGTCTCACTAACCGTCACAGAATGGTCTTAAAAGAAGTGATGCAACTCAGGGGTAATGGTGCTACTGCTCCATGTCTTTTTAAAATGTTTCTTGGCATTTAAGTCTTTTTAAAACTGCAGTTGTGTTCACAAAACTCTTTTGCTTTTTCTGCAAAATGAATGTTGGATTTGCATCCATGGTTAAATTAAAATTGACGTTACATTTAACTACAATACTACTCATATCTAATATTCATTGTTTTGTTAATAAACTCAGATTATTAAGGAACAATCACAAAAGACGGAAAGAGGAGATGGGTTTTGTTACGATGGCATGAATAAATGTTACACCAGAAACACAAAAACAAAGTCGTCCCTTTTTTATGACCTCAGAGGCGTTCAGAGAGAACATAGAGCAGAAACAAAAACAAAAATGGAGTCACACCAGTCACCTCGGCAGATGATGCTCATCCTAAAACCCAATAACATTCAAATTCAGATCTCCATTTCCCTCTTTATATGAACTTTTATTGTTTATTTTTTCCTTGCTTGCTGACGTTCTTGAGTACTGTTGGATGTTATCTAAAACACATTAACTGCAAGCTGCCGCCGGTTGAGGGATGTGACTTTTATTCAAATACAGTTATTGAATTTTTCTGACTGAGTTTGGTTCTGAGTAACCATTTATCTCTTTAATGTGAAAGGTACTTTTTTATTTGCTTCAGTGTTTTTTACTCTGATGATGTGATGAATGAGCTGCAGAACAGTAGCATGTATTTAGATCATAACCTGCACAGACTGAGATTAATCATCTGGATTTGAATGAATGCTTAGTATCTGTTCTAAGAAGCTCTGAAAACAAATGCACAGTCATTAGACTCAATTAAACAAACTAATGGTTTTTTTTCTAAGTATGCATCATGTAAAAAAAACATAAGCCAAACTTATGCAGAAGTGTTTATCTTTAAATGACAAGACATTTGGGCTAACATTTTAATAAACGATGCTCTTTCTCGCCCACAATGAGTCAGAAACTATATAGAGTTACATAAATGGTTTGACTAAATAAGACTTAGACTTTTCGATTAGGATCTGGTTTAATTTGTGCAACTTTGTCAATTCTGTCACTTTTACTGCACCGCAAACAGTGTTTCAAATAGTAAAAGCACTGAGGTGAGACTTCAGGCCTCCTCTGCACACTGCAGGCAGACATCCCTCAGCAAATGTGATCTACTCACTTTTTACCTGCTGAAAACCACCTTCAGCATTCATAATTTAAACACCCTGCATCTCAACGTGTCCAGGATATTATGTAAAAATAAAAACGACCCAAGACAGGCGGTAGAGAAGCCGACATGACTCGTGATGATTAAACCATGAACTTTGTAATGCATCTCAGAGGCAGTGTGGATAAATATCTGTGAGTCACTGGAGGTGTAATGTCTAAACTGTGTGCAGAAAAGCAAGCTGCGGTAAGTGCAGCGCTAACATGTTCAATGACTCGTCAGTACCAATCCATCTGTTTCTGAAAAGTGCTAACCTTGTTTTATAAATAGCAACTGCTTGTTATAACCATCAGAATTATGCACACAAGTTGTAAGCCTGAGGGAGAGAAGTGGCCTAAATACCGGCACATCCAGTGTTAGAATTAGCGCCATTATCAGAGATCACACAGCTGCAATCAGACACATCATCTACGCATGGATTAAGTCATCAAAAAGCTCCAGTCACTGAGTTGTGACTGTTCTCCGGGATCCGTCTTAAATATACTGAGATTAGGATTGTTGCAGGTTTTCATGGTGCAAATGTAATTCTTAGCAGGGAGATTTGACTGAGACTGCTTACAAACTTTAATTAAAAAAGATGGTTTAAAGGTGACATATTGTGATTTTGTTTTATGGTTGAAACAGAACATGCTTAGGAAATTCTTTGCACAAACATCCTCTCATATAAAGCTGCTTCAGCAGTTTTATTTTTGACAATTTCAGTATCTTCCAGAATGAGCTCTGTCACCTTAAAAACATGCTGTGGCTGGCCACGCCCACCTGATGGATGGATGGATGGATGGTAATAATATTGTTTTAGTGTATGATTACATTTGTGAAAATTATGTTATTTAGCATGATGATCTTTGTTGTTATAAGATATATTGTGTATAGGTGGGCGCTAGCCTGGCCTGCCAGACACTTCCTCTGTTTAATTCTGCACAGAGAATGAGTCTGGTAACTCGCCCATGCAAATAACCCCACCCTCAGAGAATTCTAACCGAGCCAATCAGCACTGAGCAGCGTACGTCACACACCGTGATGCTCAGTTTCTTACAACTAAGACGGCATTTGAAGTGGAGTTCACTGTGGCTCTTTCCTGTTGGACATGTCTTTAAAACCACAACAAAAAGAACCGCTTAAAGCCTTTCTTCTAAAGAAAGGTGTTTGCCCCATCGCCAGGTGCCATTTTTGACTACATCTAAAAGACTACAGGGGGCCCATGTTCCATATCAGGTTCAAAGGTCACATTTCATCACTACGATTGCATCAGCCTCTTTGAAACCTGTCTGTATATGTTGAACTTTTTCTTTTCCTTTTTTAACAATCAGTGATTCTTGAGCCACCGTCCGTCCTGACTTGAAAAGACAAACTTTCCCTTTCATGCTGCCCTCTGAACATCAAGAGTGCAGAGAACAGCAATGACAGCATTTTTAATATTGTTGCTGTTTTTCTGGTGCCAGGCTGACAGCTCCTTGTTCTTATGCAGTGCACATGTTTCCACGGTAAATACATCTGTTATGCTAAAATATATGAAAACTACAACTGTTTGCACTAGCCCTGACAGTGAGAAGAAAATAAGTGCCCGAATGTGCCAATCCGTGTTGCAACATGAACTCATTCAGTGCTCCTATGGCGCTGGGAGAAACCAATACCTGTGTTGCAGTACATTCAGAAAACTCACACATGCATTTGACAGTTTTGATTTTATTTTGCTTCCTCAATAGATTCACTGTCTTTTTGTGTTTGTTCCACTGCGCTAATGTCAAAGTTCAGCTAAGCTGGACTGAGCACTGCGCTGTTTAGCATGCCTCAGTAACTCCACTGCTCAACAATCAGTGAGTTGTTTGTTTTTAAATTTAAAATTTAGACAGAAATTTAAACTTGAAATTGCAGTAATTAGCCATTCATCAAGACCACATGGCTCATTTCATTGCATTTGATGCATTTGTATGAGTACCTGGTTTCGCATGACAAAAACTTTCACAACTGAATAAAACTTTTTAATTCACAAAATCAGTCCTTAAATGCGGAGGAAGGAGAAGGACTGGAATAAAATTAGAATTAGTAAAGAAAAGATCTTTCTGAAAGGAGGGAAATAAATGAAGTTTAAGTCTTTAATTAAACTGCATCTTGTTATAGGAATTTGATTTGGCATTTCCACATTTCAAAACAAATTTCCTGGAGGAAATGTGTTTGCAAAACAAAAATAAACTGAGAAAAAGATTCAAACCTCAAAGCCCTGATTTTTGTCTCTTGAGATCTCTGATGAGAATTTAACAACAAAGGTTTTGCACTGATTTTCCTCTTTCTCATTCATTTTCTCTCTCCCTTTGCTGACATTATTTTTTAAATCACAAATTAAAATATTTTTTTCATTTTAAGCATATTTTTTATATTTTTTAGAAATCTTTTTTAATACGTTCATTGTTTTTTTTGTTTATGCGAAGTGCCTCGTGATTTTTATCTTGGCACTATATAAAAGATCATTTTCTTTCTTTCATTCTTTTAAAGAACAAAACTAACTCTTAACTTCTCTTCCTCATCTCCGCCATCCAGATTAAAACTTTCATCCAAACCTACAGTTAAAGAAAAACCCGAAGTAGCTTTTTTTAATATTCTTGGAATCAGCAAATGTCATGTAAATCAGTTTCTTAGTACAGAAAGTAGCAGTACACAAAACTGACAACACAGCAAAAATAAAACAAACAACACGTGTGAAACTTTGCTGTAGTTTAATTTAGGACAGCCCGGTCCACTGTCACTGCCCCAAACGATGCTCCACATTGTCTGCTGCATCTATAAATAGGATCCCATGGCTGCCTCTCCTCTCACAGCCACTGAGGCTGCTGCTCCAGCCTGCAGCACAGCCCTCCACAAACATCCACCAGGCTCTTCCACAGCGTGCAGCTCTGATGGTCCACACCCCTGACTCACTGGATCACATCAGCTCCGCAGAATTCAAGGCCTGCTCTGACCTCTGGCCTGCCAGAACTTTGCAGCAATCTTAGCCAGCTAAGTGGATTACGCACAGTGCTGCATGGCCAGTCACTATGGTATGTTTGGATATGAACTCTGATGAATGAGGGTATGATCAATAAGCATCTCTAATACAGCTGCATTGCAGAAGTAACCATAGAGTGTACATTTTAAAGGAGATTATTTAATAAAGTCAGCTGAACTTTAGACCGCTTTTAAGGATTTTAAAAGAAAGTGCTGTAGTAAAAACAGACTTGGGTCGAGGGGTTTTAGAGCTTTTTCCAGAAACTGAAAGTAACAGAACTGAATAAGGACTGCCCCCAAGAGGACACTATTTTAGGGACAAAATGTACAAATGCAGGTGGTGTCGCTTCTCTCCTGAACACTTATACATTAGATTTTAGCTAGACAGTAATGAGGGCGACAGCATTTTCTGATGAAGAAAATGAAAAAAGCCAAAAGCTGCAGAGTGTCCTGTATTTCTGGCCTGAATACTGAAGCAGCGGGACATCTGGTCCTAAATACTCAGTCGTTTTACAGTCTGCTCCTCAAGTAACAACCTCTTCTGTGTTGAATTAGAAATGCTTTAAACAACATTCAGCTGCAACAAGGTCATCAGAAGGTAAATGGCTGAAAAACTGGAATAACTGATAATCCAGATAATCTGACTTAACAGGAACAACAACAACGTTTTGTGGACGATTAAAGACCTTGTGACTTGTTGAACTAATTTGAGGTCAGAGGTGATGTTTCTGCTAATTCTCCATCACTTGTTTGTTTGAACTGCTGACATTATTTTTTATGCTGTTAGGTGCTTAAGTCTAAATTGTTAATAAAATTTGTCAGGAGGGTATTGATCCATTTTTATTACTTAATCTATTTGGTTTTGTCCCTGGACTGAAATGCTCTGTTAAATTATTTATCAGTGCGGTCCTGATGCTGCAATGGCCTCTTCTCTCTTGCCCTCTAAAGGCACGTTAAATCAATTCCAACAGGTCGTTTCATGATTTCTTTTATAAGACCCACTTAAGGGCAAAGCTACAATGTATGTAAACCTTTCCTGAAAGATGTTTTGGCATTAATCTTTGAAAAATACATTTGATAGATGAAATCCAGAATAAAATAAGCTCATGTGGAATGCATGAATGTAAAATATCACAGTGGTCGCTTGCAGCTGCAGATCAGATTAACTGGATGAATCTACTGATGACTCTGCAGAGCAACACTTTTCTGCCTTGGGCTTTGACAACACTGCCCTCTGCTGGTGTTAAAAGCCCAGATTTTTTTTTTTTAGAACTGCCAGCATAACGTGTTTAACATTGTTGGGATATTATTAACACTACTTCTAATTAAATCAATAAAAGAGCGCATGTGAGGTAATTTAGCAGAACTAAGTGGTCATTAAAGAGAACACATTAAAAATTGTAAATAATTGTACAATATAAATGTGTCATTTTTGGAAGTTTAAATTATTTTGACCTGTTTTTTGTTTATTTATTTAATGGGGAAAAACTCAGTGTTGTGATGCATTCATCCTTTAGTTGAAATGATGAATCACCCCTCCTGTTAGAAGTACCCCTGCAAATTATATTGGAGTGGAAAAGCCAGGACTTTATTAGCACTCTGGCTCTCCCTGGGATCTCCATTAGGAGACTACCTGGGGGCCTAAAACTTTGAACTACTGCAAAATGTATTAGATTTCATGACAAAGTGACAAATGGCACAATTACCTGGTTCATCGCGGGGTTTATCATCATCGGTCCTACGACACAATAAAGAAATATCAAAAAGCAAAGATTTGTTAAATTAAATATTTATAGATTGAAGGTTTTCATTAAAGTTGACATAGGCTGTTTTTAAGAAAATTATAGATAAATTAAATGCAAAAATAAAAATAAACAGCTTACTTATGTATTAATCTTGTTTTGTAGATAAACATTTTCTTTGACAAAAAGGGTTACAATACAATTAGTTTAATTAAAATACTTTATTATAAGTTGCTCAGTTTGAAACAGAACAACAGCTTCTGATTGGAATAAAAAACACCAACAGTAAATATTTACAGGCGTTTTAGTGAAACTGAAATGTGCATTCAGTCGGTTTTGAGTGACTCGTGGCTCAGGTATTAGGTGTCTGTCCGTCTTCCTCTGCAGAGTCCTCTGAGCTGTTCATCACTGCAGCGCTGAGTGTGTGGAGCTCCTCCAGAACACACATTAGTCTCTCTGAGAAGACACAGACAGGCTGCTGGTCAGACCGGTAGCACCTGTGTAAATGTCAGCAATGATAAAAATAAAAATAAATGCAGGATCAGGACAGTGATTATAACCACCTGTAGGAAGAGACATTTCTGTTTCCACAGAGTTCTTCATCTCTGAGGGATCCTGCAGACTCCTGGGAGACGTGGAGGTTTGTGGTGCTGCTGCGTGACTCAGTCTAAACGTTTCCATCAGCCGATCGGGGATCGTGATCTGGAACTAATTCAGCTTAGAAAATAAACACCAAAAAGGAAAAAAAATCCACCACTGTTTTATCTTAGATGCATTCTTACAGGGAGAGGGTGTTTGTTCCTCTCAGTCTCCTTCAGTTGATTATTAAACACGTCCTGTTTTGTGCTTTTACTCCCCAAATGTCGAGATTCTCTCATCTCGTCCCGTTCATTTGCCACCTCTCTCTGAAACTGCCGCAGAGTCATAACTACAAAGCAGACAGGTCATAAACCACAGGGACACGCTGGTATATTATGATGCTATATACAGTGTAAACACTTCCAGTCGTATTAAATCAGTCTGCATTAACTTCCTTCTCCTCTGCTGAGTATGTGGGGCCTGAGGCGGCACGGGGCTGATCCCTCTACCTGCTTTGGTGTGCTCTCTCCTGGCAGAACTGACTTGAACCTCCATCTCTCTCAGCTTCTCAGCACACCGCTCCTCGATCTCAGACACTCGCTCCTGCAGGACTGAAAACAAAGGAAACTCAGGGATGGAAGTAAATGTTACTGTTATTTTTAGCAATTTTTATACCTACTGCACGACAGAAAGGAGGTCAGAGAACGCCATATGCTTTTAGAATAGGGTATCTGCATGTTTAAGGGAGCCAAATTTAAGACTTTTTAAGACATTTTTAAGGCTACTTTGACCAAATTTAAGCAATTTTTTTCAATTAAATTTAAGCTATAATTTCCAGCTATTGCCTGGAACCGGTACTAACCACGTTGTGAACATGGGATTAGCCATCCAGTTACCATTAAACTTGCACTTCCACATGGCGCAAGCTCCCACTAGCTTAACCAGCTAATGTGCTCATCTAAAAATAGTCCCCTTTCAAAACCAACTGAATGTGTACGGTTCCGCTTTTGCCAATATCATACACAAAAAATGCTGAACACTAACTAGAAATTCACAAAAATTTAATAGAAATTAAAGAGTCTTGTTTATTGGGTCTTGGTAATTTAAGACCTTTGGAAACTGTATTTAAGGATTATTTGTCATTTTTAAGGATTTTCAAGGCCTGAAATTTGGAAAAGCAAATTTAAGACTTTTAAGGACCCGCGGATACCCTGTTTTAGAATAAAGCATTAGGGTCGCCCATAGATGATGCCTTTTGGCTTTTTTCTTTGTCTGTGTGATTATGTGTTTCTAAGTTTGTTCTACTCAGTACACTTTCTGAGATCTAGTCTGACACATCTGGGAAGTAATCCAATAATCGTTTATGATGAGAGATGTTTAAACTCTATAGATGATGTAGAAAAGAGCTTCAGGGCGTCCTTTATTATCTAATCCAGAAAACACTCTGCAAACATTTTATAACAAGGAAAATTATTCCATCTACAGTTTCTTTGTTTGAACATCCTTCAGAGCAACCGTCAGCGTTAACAGGTTTGTGAGGTCGGACTGTGGGTTGCATAGATGAGCTGCTTCTGACAACATTTTCATGTTTTCTGTCCTTTTCTTTACTTTTTAAAATATTTTTATTTGGAAGTATTATTTAATCACGGTCTGTTTTATTAGTGTATCTAACTATATTAAGCACATAAAAATGTGGAAAAACATAATTAAATAAACTGAAAGCCATTTTGCAGATTTTTCTAAACACCTGTAAGCAAAATTAAAGTTAGATTAATGAAATCATGCTTATTTGATGCTTTTTAAAAACAATTTTATAAAAAAAATAAAACTAACTAAAAAACAAGTCTTCATGGCTGCTTAGGCATGGCACCCGTAAGTTCTTGGTGACTTCTGAAATCAAATATCTAATTATTGAGGAAAAAACTCTTCCTTAACATGGCGCTGTTAACCCAAACGGCTCCAGTAAAGCTGCTGATCACAAGGGGCGAAAGAAGTGACACACGAGGAGGCGGAAGCATGAGCAGATGAGGAAAGTCTCTGAAAAAATCAGTCAGTAAGTCTAAAATAGCCACTGGCTCACCACGTTCGCTTTGCTCTTGCTGGCGAAGCAGTTCACAACGGAGCCTCTCCAGGCTGGCGCTGCTCTCCTCCAGCTGGGCTTGGATCTGCAGCAAACTCTGCTCAGCCTCCACTCTACTGGCTGCAGCCAGCTTGAGCTCCATGCAGCTGTGCTCCAGCTCCTGCTGCTGCTGCCTGACTTTACTCTCATCTGTACCGGACGTAAAGCACAATCTGAGTCCACCATCTCAGTGAAGATCATCAGATGATGAATGACAGCAGGTGCTGCGACCTGTGACGGGGTCTCACATTGTTCTTTCAGATCAGCCAGAGCCTTCTCAATGAGCTCTGGGGTTCTTTTGAGCTCCAGAGTGAGTTTGTCTCTCTCTTCACGCACCAAACTGAGTTCCATCTGGAGATTTCTGATGCTGCAGGGCAAAATCACAGGATGTTACTCTGACTATACATTCCTAAATCACCTGAGTGTTTGACAGCAGGAGGTTTCTCTGGTCTCAATAAAAAAAACATGATCATGTGTCTAATTATAGTTTCAAATAGGATTTAATTCAATGTGTTGTATTTATGTCTACATTATTAGCCTAAATTTAAACAGAAAACTGTTGGATTTTCTAAATAAAGTTCTAAAAATAAACATTAAACAAATTAAAAAGAGGGACAGAAACTTCAGCAGGCATAGAGAACCATCTATGAGTTAACCTTTGACATGACCTATAATATGAAAATGTTTGTGAAACTCCTTAAAGGGGACATATTCTGATTTTTCTTCTTAATTTATTATATTTCTCTGATCAATAAAAACATGTTTATGGAGGTTTTTGCTCAAAAGCCCTCCCACATATAGCAGTTTCAGTCTTGACAGTTTCAGTACCTTCCAGAATAAGGTGTTTCAGGGCTTGGTCACTTAAAAAAAACACCAAGCTAGGAGCTAGCCACGCCCACCTATCCCCTGCTCAGGCTGCCATTGCTGGGTCTCACTCACGTGACTATGCAGTCGCACGAAACTCAAATAGGGACAGGAAGTGTTTTGCTCCACTACAAAACACAGCAAGATGGATGAAAGTGATTTTAGTAAGGCTAGTAAGGCTAAGTAATGAGCTGGCAGATGCAAAATCGCAAGAAAAAAAAAGCATCTTCCTTTAGGTTATGACTAGGGATGCACCGACACCAGCATTGGTAAAAGTTAACCGATACTAGGAACCAATACCAATGCAGTTGCCTGAAAGTGGCTTCACTGTAACTAGTCATTTCTGTTCACCTTAATATTTTAGTTTTGTGATCATTTCTATTAATTTATTTTATTTTTTATTTACCTCACAGTCTTTTCCTGTTGAAAGCAGAGAAGAAAATAAAAGCGTATTTTAATTCATTGCATTTTTTTGTGTGGTAGAAGTATTGATATCATTAATCGGTATCGGCGAGTACTCAGATCCAAGTATCAGTATCATATCGGTTTGGAAAAAAGTGGTATCGTTGCATCCCTACTTATGACTGTAAGCTGAGAAGCTACAATATGTGGAAGGGGCTCAGAATTAGAGTTGCTGCTGCTCCTCCAGCAGCAGCAACTCCCACACGCTCATGAGAGGTAGTTCCATTTCTAATTTCCCCATTTGTGACACAAACAGAGACTTTAGAAACTACTTGTTTAAGGCAGTTAACTCCTAAAACCAAACACTGACAGATAAAAGACAGAAGTTTTTTTTTGTTTTTGTTCACATTTGAGCATTTAGAGAGGCAATGGAGACCCACATGAAAGCACAAATAATGCTAAAAGATGATGTTTGCAGAAAATGTCCCCTTTAAATGTGAAATCTTACCCTTCCTTATCCTGTGCTGTTTGTTTAGAAGCGTGTTTAATTTTCTGCAGAGCTGCTCTCCTCATGACTAAACCTGTTAAAACAAAAACAATGTCATTACCGCCTGTATGCAGATTAACTGCATACACATCGACGCATTAACCTCCACGGTTTCTGTACCTTGTACCATCTCCACTCTGATTTTAGCAAAAGAAAGCCTCTGGGAACAGCTGTTGAGTCTTGCTTTAGCTGCATCCATTTCTGTCAGCTTGTTTTCAAATTTCTGATGGAAACTGCAATAAAGACATTTGCAGAATATAAAGGTTGTTTGTTAAAAAAAATTAGGTAAGAAAAATTCTGAATAAATCTGTTTACCTCCACAAGGCTGATGTCAACGTTTTAATATCAACCTCTGCTCTCTGGTTCAATGCCTTCAGCTCAGCGTTGTCTTTATGAACTGTTGCCAAGGTCTGTTTTAATGTCTGGTAGAAAAAAAGGGCTTTAAAACCTGTAACATGGAATATAATAAAATACCCTTTCCTGTTTAAAAGGTGATACTCAATTTTTTAAAAGTCCTTTTAAATCTTTGCCTCCTTAAATGTCTACCATTTTTAGAACCTCACAAAGTTTTGGCTCCGTCAGCATCGTTTGATGTACACACCCACACAGGTTTCCAAAATAGACCCAAAGTTACCGTGCATCATCAAATATTCAGACAACACTGTAAATCACGTCAGTTTTTGTGGTGCTAACCTCCTTTTCTACTCTCTCCAAGTCAAGCTCAGCTATCCTGTCGTGCAGACTGTGCTGGAGCACGCTGGCGCGGTGCTGCTCCTGCTGGAGCTGCTGCTCTGTAGAGCTGAACTGAAACACACCAGAACAAACAGCTTCTTATTTAAACCCTTTAGATGTTTTACGGTCTTAATTTAAATGACTGTTTTCATACTTCTGAAAGATGTTTGTCTTTCTCCCTTCTTATTTCAACGTCCTTCGAGCGAAGCTGGACGCACAGCTTGAACACTTTCTGTCTCCATAGCTGAAGAACTTGAAGAACCTCTGATCCATTCTTCACAAGTGGATCTGTTGAGTTCTGCTGAAACACACACACACACACACACACACACACACACTTTAGGTACCCTTGGTTGCTTATTTATCTTGATGAGACTGAAATCGGGGCTCTATGGGGGTTACGGTCATTGTTTCACAAGGAGTGGGAAAACAAGCAGCTACTCTTTTCATTCTTACTCAGCTGGTTAGACATTTCTCAGATATGAAGAATGTGGTCAAAACAAACAAAACAAATCTTGTATTAAAACTGAAAATCCTAAAGATGTGGTTCATTTTATTCAACACATTTGCAGTGGTCTCTGGTACGAATTAATGCCTGACAAGTCATACTCGGGAGGGGGAGGGTCTCAGATGGAGTCTTAGTTCCTGATATTTGGGCATCTTGCCTCAGATTGGCTAACAGCAATACCACTCACTCTGTTCGCTCTGCAACATTGATGTTTTCCCTCCACAAATTACACAAACCTGGAGGAGTTCTGCCGTGTGGAGGAGTTGCTAATGCTAACAGTTAGCTTCTGCTAGCCGAGATGTTCTCTGCGATTTCCTGGACGCGAAAACAACAACAGCCTTCCCCGTTGTGAGTCGAAATGGGTGAGTCCATGAATGTTAAGTGACAGTGTGACGTAGATCTGTCAGGTTTTTTCAATCCTAGAGTTTCACCGTCTATTTTCTATCAGAAGCTAATGCAGGAGATAGGTGTAGGAGATTATTTTCAGGTTCAGACTGCATGAAAACCTCAGAGAGAGCCATTAGAATCAGAAATCATAATTTTAAAAACGTTTTTCTTTCAGGGAAAAACACTTTTAAAAATGCATAAACTTTCTGGGTGTTTTTTAATAAATAAATAAAATGTATAAAAAACTATTTTCTTTATAAACTTTACCCAGCTGAGCTAAACCAGAACTACTTTTTGAAACATTACAACTAGCCAGCTAACAAATAACAAAGAAACATACCTTTTTAGCAATTTTCTCTTCTTGGAGGGCCAGTATCTCATTCACAGAGTTAAGCCTCACTGTTAAAAGCTCAGTGGTTGTCTGCAGAGATGCTTTTTCTTTGACAAGTCTCTGCCAAATAAATGAGATTTTAACAAAAAAAAAAAAAAATAGGCATAATCTGATGAATAATGAAGCACATGTTAATCTATTAGTTATTTTTATTTTATAAGTCTCTCTTCTTTCAGCCGACTAAAAAAAAGCTTTAATAACACAATAACGTCCCAGAAGTTTCAATCAATCGGTTTTGTTTTTATTGTCTTCACCTCCACAGTCTCATTCAGTTGTTCCTTCTCTCCGTTGTCAGGAGCGAGCTGTCCGATGTAATTTCTGAGGCTGTGAAGTGTTGCAGATTGTGTCTCAAAAGCTTGTCCCATTTGGCTGAAAAATACACAACATTATCAAATAAAGAAGGAAAGCCGTGAATCTGATTATAAAGTGCTTTAGATGCTTATTTGTCCTTGGTTTTAAATTGAACAGGGCACCTTAAATGTTCTTTCAGCTTGTCTCTCTCAGAAGATGCCTCCGTCAGAGCACGTTTCAGCTGCAGAGCTTCGGAAGTCATCGAGTCGAGTCTGTCCTGTAATTCACCATTTAATTTCTTAGATGCACACAACTCTGCACAGTGGGATGCATTCAACTGTTGCATCTGAAAGTGAGAAGAAAACAAGGACATTTAAAAGAATGATGTAATTTGCTACGGATCTCCACAGTGGAAGTCTTACTTCACACCCGAGGGTAAATAAAGGGGCATTACGGGAGGCAATTTTAAATATATTAAATGTTTGTGATGCTTAAAGATGACTTATCAGAGATTCTGTCATATGTGTACCTCTACATCGTGTTTCTTCTTCATTTCTTCCAGCTGGCCCAACAGTCGGAGAGTCTGTTGTTTGGTCTGCTCTTCAGCCTCCAGCCTGCTCCTTTCAGCCTTGAGAGAAATCTCCTTGATTTCCTCCTTACTTCTTTCTTCATCTCTCCTCAGCTTTGTTATCCCCTCGTCAGACTCCTTTTTCAGTTTTTCAAGCTGCAACACACAAGCATTAGTCAAATAGACTCTTAATTATCAGACTATTCATAGAGAAACACTTTCATTTAAAAATACTTATAAAGTAGAAACGACAGACTCCAACTGCCAAACGTAGACACTAGTAAATCTCTGGTGATTCTTTTCTATGTGAGTGTTGAAATGAAATGTTTTGTCAGTCAACATCATTACCTGTAAGCTCATTTTGTTCTCCTGCGCGCTGCTGAGACTCAGCCTCTCTCTGACTTGGCTGAGCTCAATCTTAGCCTTGGATAGTTCTTCACGCATCACTTCCAGTTCATGGTTCTTTCTGTCCCACAGAGGTTATTTCAAGTTAAGTGCACTTCTTAATAGTTTTTGCTCATCTCTGCTGATCTGTCTCATTATAGAGATGATGTAATCCTGAGCTATGAAAAGATTTGACACAATAACTTGAGCAAATCTGATACCTGCTCAGACTCATATCTTTGTCTCTTGTTTCTTCTCTGTATTTTGCTGCTGTCTCCTTTAGGGCGTCTACCTGACCCTTCAGCCTTTCACCCTCGGCCCTCAGCCTCTCTGCATCCAGCCACCACTCTGACTCCCATCTGGACCGCTCCTCGTTCCCCCCTGCAGATCTACATTTGAGGAAATAAGACAACTAAGTGTCAAACTGTTTTATTCCTCACCATATAAAATATACGTTGGAAATACCTCGTCTGAAATGCTGGCAAGTGGTTTTCATTTGTCTTTTCTCTCATAATATTCCCTTGTAGCATCATGATCCTCTGATTTTCTTTTTTTAGTTTCAAGATTTCCTGTTGTGCCAGAGTAATGGCAAGCCATGGACTGGCAGGGCGGGGATCTCCAGATGGCGCTGATGTGGGTACTGAGTTTATCCAGGATGTTGGTGGTGGTGGAGTCCCCCCTGGGGCTCTGGGTGCTCCAGCAGGTTGGACAGTCGATACAAAATGTGACGGAGGAACAAGATCTCTCTGAATACTGCCTAGATAAGAGAAACTGAAACGTGAACATACAATAATAATAAATCCATTCAATGTAATTAGTTATAAATATAAACTGACAAGTGCGTTTTTTCTATGTTGTGGTTTTATGTTGGGTTTGGCCAAACACACTAAACAAGCTAATGTTAAATAGAAAATGAGTTATTTCCGGAACTTACTCGGAGCAGTGAAGTCGGTAGGCACTATGAGCCTTTCGTTTCCGAAGCTATGCCTCTCCATGTTCAACAGAAATACAGTAAAGTTTGTATGAGCTATTAGCTTTTAGTCTCGCGCGTACACGTCACACTTCGTAGTTACGAGAAGCAAGGGTAAACCTTTCAGCGACTAGTCTTTGTTTTTCCAAATATTTATTTACAAACCGTTCTGAATATATGCTGCTTACATAAACAATATATATTCGCATACATAGGCGCTGATTAAAAAAAAGATTCAAAATCCCATAACAGCGCGGTGCATGACGGGAAAGTAGGAGGAAGCAACAGCCTGCGGCTGCGCAGCATGAGCGTCAGGTTAGTACGTCAGCGTCGCCGCCATATTGTGCATGGAATTGTGAACCACACTGATAGCAGAGCAGAATTGTCCAATCTTAGAAACCTAAGTCTTGTGCTACGTGGGGCTGTATACACCGCTGTACAGATAATTTAGGAGTGATCGTTCACAGAGAACCGTTGAATTGTGAAATCTTTAACCATGATATTTTAAACATTTTTTTCATTCACTTTTAGGCAGAGGCGTGGACTCGAGTCACATGATTTGGACTAGAGTCATTATTTTAGTGACTTCTGACTTGGCTTGATAAAATCTATAAAGACTTACAAATTGACTCGGACTTGAACGCCAATGTCTTGCGACTTGAATCAACTTGCATCTGTTGACTTGATGACTTGAGCATATTTGATATTTTAGCACAAAATTGGCACGACATGGACAAAAATCATAAATCATTTTTCGTTCTGGGTGTGATCTTGTTCTGCTGAATGCAGCAGCACTTTGTTTATAATCAGTTTCAGTTGCACTTTCTGCTTGTTTGAGCAAGTAAATGAAGCTTTAAGAAGCTGGAATTTATTTATTATCATTGTCATTCAATTGAAGTTGAACAGATGACTTGATTATGACTTGAAAATTCAAAGTTAAGGGCTTGGACTTTGCTTGGACTTCCACATCATTGACTTTGGACTCGACTTGGACTTGGTTGTGTTTGACTTGGACTTGACTCGAGACCTGACCGAAAAGACTTGTGACTTTCTTGTGACTTGCAAAGCAGTGACTTGGTCACAGCTCTTTCTTTAGGTATGAATGAAACAAATTTCAACAATTTTCTTAAACATTTAATTTACAAATAATTTATTACATGTCCACCTCAATGGACATTGTGCATTCTGAGCATGAAATATGTTGACTTCAATTACTAGAGTTCAATGGGGTAACTCAAATGCAATAAAGTCTTCAACAGCTGTGCTTAATAGCAAAACAAACAAAAACTTTTTTTTGAGTAGCTGTCCACTCTAGTGACCATTATGCATGAAAGGGTTCCGATTTCTTTTTGCTTTTATCTACTTTATAGATTTCCAGACTCAGAAAACTACAGCAGCAGAGTGTATCCTTCTGACACCCTATTGGTTTGTGCCATGCACATATGGTTCTTTAATATATTTACATTGCTCCAAAAAGCATTAGTTTCCAATGGGCATGAATGCAGGTGAAACAGATGCATCCCAAATACATTAACATTTTTATATAACATTACAGTCATTTTGGCTTTTTCTAAACATGTTTGTTTGGGGAGGAGGTGTGGTAGTGCTTTGGAGCGGCTTAAGCTTTCATCCGTAATTGCATTTCTTTAAGTTACCTTACTTTTATATTTAAGCAGTGGTGAAGGCAGTATTATTTTACTTTTACTGAGTAAAAAAACTTGAATTGGTACTTCAACTTCTACGTAGGTCTTTAACACCTTATACCTGAGTACTTTTGATACCTCTGTGTATAACCATGTGAAACTTTGTTCACAGTTTTCAATTATATTGTTTTTTATGGTAGCCATCTGCAGTCAGGACAGCCCCACTTCAATCAAAACCGTATGGACCCAGTTAGTATAATTTCCCCCGAAGAGGTTGAACCTCTTGTGCACTGGGTATCATGATAAGTGGATTTGGGCACTAATTAGACAAAAAAAATGCAAGTCACCAAGCAATATATCGATATGTACGAATTAACAGATATGATGTAAACAAATTAGGACCGTTGCTGTGCACTGCTTGCATCTCTGAGCATTCTAAAAAACAGACTCAGCAAAGCCAGTTAGGAAAGAGAAAAGAGGAATGCTGCACATTAAGGACCAGGAACAGTGAGCAACACAAAGTGCCAAGTCTTAATGATGATGATTGTTTTAGTTAGAAATGGAAAATAGACATTTTACCCTGGAAGCAAAGACTTTGAGCTCTATCAGGCATCATTGTTTAGGAGTTGTTACTAGAAATGTTTTATTATGAGGGGATGAGAGGCTCAGTAAAAATGCCACTTATACGTTTTGCTTCTTCACTCGAGACTCCTCTCAAGAGAAATGCAGAAAACCACACGATTCCTGGTGTAAGTCAGCTTAGCAGAAAGGTATACTGAACTAGTTCATGAACCCAGACTTGAAAAGCAGTTTTAAGAAATTGAGAAGTTGTTGGGTGTTTTTCTTCCATATGTTTGAAAGTTAAAATATTGAGGAATGTTAAGGCACATCTAGAAATGCGCCTCGCCGTTTTATATATATCAGGGATACTGAATTGTTCAGTTTCAAGTAAAGAAGAACTTTCATTAGATGAAACGTTCTCAATCCAGTCCATCCACCACCTGGATAGGATAAATGTGCACCTTGTTTCTGTTTTTCCCTGGGAATGTCAGCAGCCGTTTCTGTTTGTACTTGAAAACAGTATATCCTGTTCTCTGCTGCTACCATGACCCACTTCTCCCCCCGCGGTTCATTAAAGTTTAATTACATGTAATCTACTTATGGTGTATTCAAGAAACAAAGAAAAGGTATACATTAAGACATTTACATAGGTGAACACATATAGATTCAGGGGGGATGAGCAAAGGTAATGGATACATAATTAGCTTAACAACTGATGAAAAATACACGGGACTCTGTCAGGAAAGATTAGGAATACCATGAAGCTTGGAAAGCTGTGGATCTTTTATAATTTAACAATAATAATTTAACAATAAAGTACAGCAGTAGCTTTAGGAACACAGAGGGAAGTGATGGACATATTGTACACTTGTTCTGCATCCTTTTTTGGGGATTTCCTTGACAATCAGACTGACTTTTGTTATAAAACATTACCACATGGGAAGATATTTTAGGGTAGCAAGTCAGTTTTTAATTGATTAAATTGCTATAAAGCTTTGCAACTATTATCTATATGAGTGGTACTCACTTCTTGTCCCACGTGTTTTCCTCCTTTCTTTGCTCCAACACAATTCAGTGGTTGAATCCTCTGTGCAGCAGCTCATCAGGCTCTGCAGAAGCCTGTTAATCACCTGCTGATTGAAATCAGGTGTGTTGAAGTGGAGTTAAAACTACAACATACTGGATACCGGCCCTCCAGGGCCAGCAGTGAGTACCACTATCTATATCTTTGTTATTATCTATAGGCAGAGGTGTGACCAAGTCACTGCTTTGCAAGTCACAAGTAAGACACAAGTCTTTCCAGTCAAGTCTTGAGTCAAGTCCAAATCAAAGACAACCAAGTCCAAATCGAGTCCAAGATGTAGCTTTGAATTTTCAAGTCATAATCAAGTCATCTGTCCAACTTCAATGTAATGACAATGATAATAAATAAATTCCAGAAATAAAGGTTCTTAAAGCTAAATTTATTTGCTCAAACAGCAGAAAGTGCAACTGAAACTGATTATAAACAAAGGGCTGCCACATTCAGCAGTACAAGATCAAATCCAAAACAAAGAATGATTTATCATTTTTGTCCATGTCGTGTCACTTTTGTGCTAAAATATCAAATATGCTCAAGTCATCATCAAGTCAACAGATGCAAGTCGATTCAAGTCGCAAGTCATTGGCGTTCAAGTCCAAGTCAAGTCGTAAGTCTTTATAGATTTGATCAAGTCAAGTCAGAAGTAATTAAAATAATGACTCGAGTCTGACTCGATTCCAAGTCATGTGACTCGAGTCCACACCTGTCTATAGGCTACTAGGGCTGTATGGAGGAAGTTACTATTGCCTCACAAGAAGGTCACAGGTTCAACACCCTGCTGTGGCCTTTCTGTGTTAAGTTTGCGTGGTTCAGACAGTGGCGGATCTAGGAATTTTTTCGTATGGGGTCATTAAGGGGCCACAATATTTATAGAGGGGCCAAGTAATAGTCCAACACCCTTACACAAGATTTCACAATATATATTCCTATTTGGCTCATTAGAGCCACTAGTGTTTGGACCGGTTGCATCAGATCATTGTGCAAAGGACAGATGTGTTTACTTTATTGTGCCCTTCTTTTTTGAAATGTCTCATTATTATCCTGATCATAAGGGAGGAATAGAGAGCCACAGGATTCCTGTGCTTCTTGAAAATCAGTTGTGTTGCTGTTACACTTAGCCGAAGTCCAGAAAATCTAACATGTTCATAAATTCAACCTTTGTGTCTCCCAACTGACTGTTGTCAGTTTGGTGTCAGTAGAAATAGTTTTGTGATCAATCTGTCAGTTCAACTTTTCAAAGATTAGTTTAAATTACTGTAGGCTCTTTATTAGCAAAAATAAACCCCTTTTTGTTTTCTCTGTGTCTAATTTTGGGGTGTCTTAGTGAACTCCTGGTCACGGATGCTGCTTTTGCTTTATCCCCAATCAAGCTGATTCAGCCCACATGGAAGCTTCTGAGGAGAAAGTGTCAGGACTGCAAATATCCGGAGTGGAAAGTGTGTCTTTAATTAAAATGTCTCCAAATGCAAATGAACTTGGACTCTTTATATGTGACAAGGGTACTAACAAGCCCAGATCACTCGTGAAAAAAATACAGATAAGATAAAAAAAAAACCTGGTGGTTAAAAAAAATCAGCCTCTGACCATCAATAAAAAAACACACCTAACCCACTAGTTGGTGTTAAAAGAAAGTGTTGTAACTGAGCTTGAAAGAAATGTTGCTGGGCAGCATTTCTCTACAGAACTGTACAAAATCACCACTCAGTTATGCATCACAGCAATAGCCACTGGGCATTATTAGAAAAAAAGAATACATGGGGAAAGTGTTTGCTTAGTCAGCAGCTGTGTCTGGCCCAGTATCTCACAGATTATTTAGTGTATGTTAGTGGGTAGCTGGTGCAGACGTTAACTCTGACATTTATGGGGTTTTTAAAGATTGTGTTGGGGATTTGTGCCTACTGATGTCCTTTTTTTGCAGAATAATGGGAATTACAATCACTAATGACTGTGTGTGTGTGTGTGTGTGTGTGTGTGTGTGTGTGTGTGTGTGTGTGTGTGTGTGTGTGTGTGTGTGTGTGTGTGTGTGTGAAAATAAATGCCTTGAGCTGTGTATCACCTGTACATCTGTGGTGATTTTGACTGCTGTTTGTTTATCATCATTATTGATCCTAAACTTGTTTGCTCTTGTTTTGATTATTTTGATTATAATTTCAAATGCATAATGCATTTCAAAATAAACGTTAAAACGATTTAGATGTTTTTTCTTGCATTACATTAGAATATTTCTATCACCACACTTTCAGACTCTTGAATATCATGACTTTTTACTTGTTTCCACCAGATTTCTCTGAACAAAGCTTTCCTGAGTTACTGTCCGAGCTGAAGGTGGTTGATGGTTTCTAAATTGGGAATCGGTGGATATTTTTTTTTCCGGGATGGTGGATTTAATGCACTGGCGTATCCCGGTGGTTGCTTAGTAACGCGCTTGCAGTGGGCGCCGTAGAGAGATCTCTATGGTGGGCGCTCCATTAAAACCGTTGGCGCTCCTGACCTTGGCGTCGTGAATGCGCAAAGCGCACAGGCTGTGCAAAGCAGCAGATAAGAGCGAAGATCCGTGTGTTTGATACCGAAACCGGAGGAATATCCTGCACAGATCATTTTGTCTTATGGCACGATTAACAGGCACGGGAGAGGAAATCTTGGGATGGAGCGCCTTTCAGCCTCAGTAGGAGCAGGTGAGTTCATATTTCTGTGTTATTTTCCACCTCGCTCTCCTTTTTTCCGAGAGGCGAATCTCTGTTCAGATTAATAAATGACAAACAGGCTGCTTTCCCTACCTAAAGCGATTATTTATTCTCATGCATTGAATCAAATCTTGGTTCGACATTTATTTTCCATGTTATCCAATATTTCATCGTCCTAGACCTATTTAAACAAGCTTCCCTGTCACAACGTGGAACAGCGCGCGCGCACGCTTGCACTCACACACACACACACACACACACACACACTACAGCAGTTCTGTCGATGCTACGTGGGCTGTGGCTTGCTTCTCTCTGTGGGTTTGGATCCTTGCATTAATTTATGAAGCAGTGATCATTACGCTGAGAGCTTCTTACATGTCCTCTTGCAGGTGCAGCCAATGTTCCTCCCCACATCCTCATTTCATTTTGCCACTAAATTGGTGAGGGATTTGAGAAATCCACTTAAACGTGTTTGATCCCAAACCAGTCGAATTACAAGGGCACTGGGAGCCTGGTGGCCACTGTTGTTTGAATCACAAGGCTCCCCCCTCTCAGCTGCTTTCATTTCAAGGGCCCCCAAGCCACCAGAACCCAATCGATGAGATGTTGTCCCAGAGATTTTTATTAGCGGTGAATTGGTGCTGAATTGTGTGCCTGTCGATGCTGTAGGTGTACAGATAGCATTGGTGGGAGTGAAACATGATTATAGCAATCATTCTAATTGTCACGCTGAAAGCAGGAGGTGAGGACCCAAGTTGCAGAGCCCAGGACGACACGAGGCAGGAGTGGTGATAAAAGTAAAATCCTTTATTTAGGATGACAAAAACCAAATAAAAACTCCAAAAGGGCAGGAAGCCAAAACCTAATAACAAAACGCCGCAAGGACAAAACCAAAAGCTCACTTTATGAGCAGAGAGCTAGAGGCGGGGGGGGGGGGGGGGGGGGGGGGGGGGGGGGGGGGGGGGGGGGGCGACAAAACAATGCTGACAAACTTCAATGGACCAACAAACACGACAAGACAGGGTTTTTAACACAGGGGAGCAATCAGGGAACAGGTGACAGGTGTGATGAGTGAAGTCTGGAGGGAAGACAGGTGCCATTAATAAACTAAATGGGGAATGAACTGAAGCAGAGGGGAAAATAAAGCATAATCTATAAAACACTAAACTAAACCTAAAGACTAAGGGCAAAGATAAACAACTAATGACTAGAGGGGTGAGGAGGACTAATACAAACCAATAAGAACTACACGGGAGTGACTAGGAGGAAACCTGAGGGAACTAAGGAACACAAGGAGACACACTGAGCACAAGGGGTCACATGAGAGGAACGCAGAGGACGGACAGGAGGGGGCTGGGGACCAAGGGAACACAGAACATGTGACACTAATAGGTCTGTAACTGGGCTTAAAACTCAAATCAGCCACGGGGATGAGGAAACATCTGGTCAATGCATTTCATTTTTACCAAAGTTGAACTAAATGATTCTTCCCTTTTAGGACTATGTCCCTTTTCAGCAAGGACTTTATATTTGTTGAATTAGGTTTAGATTAAAGTTCCATCAGTTGTCACACACATTGGTGTGTGGTGAAATTTGTTCTCCACATATGAACCACCTCCTGGGAGAATGATGAGCTGCAGACTGCCCATTGGAAATATTTGGTGGATTAGCCCCTCAATCCAACCCCTTACTGTTGAGTGTCAAGCAGGGACACATTGGGTCCCATTTTTAAAGTCTTTGGTATGACCCAACCATGGATTTGAACCCATGATCTCCCAGTCTCAGGACAGACACTCATACCACTGGGCCACTGAGCTGGTGGCCTAGTAGTATGTCCCACTGAGGCTGGAGAAGTGAGTGTCTACTCTGAAAAGACCCATGTGGGTCTGTTATGGCCGATACTGAGTTTTAAAAACAGGACAGCTGATTAGCATCATCAACTCTTTTGCCTAATATGTAATTTTCCAAATTTTGACAAAAATAAAACCCAATATCTTACTGTAATCATTTATTTTTCAACACCTAGGAGTACTTGGACTCTTTAAACAGATGATTCTCAATTGTAATAAATGGTGACAAATGCTACTGCTGCTTCATTTTCCTAACATGTAACAGGCTAACAGAAATGGACAAAAAATCCTCCTATTGGTTTACCTCTGTATTTGGTCAGGTTTTGCTTTGTCAATTAAGTTTTAGATTTTGCGTGACATCCGACAGAAACATCAACTCATTTTTGCATCATGCACATTCATTTTAAAAGGACAGAAAATAATTTTATGAGTTTATTAAATCAATTTGATCTCGAGTTTTCCCATTTTCCCCTTTCTTCTTTATTTTTCCAAACTGTTTTCCCAACTGCCCTGCAGACAGCTAACCAATCAGACTGGTGCTTTGATCACTCCGCTGGGAATCTGCAGCAGGTTTTGCTCATGAAGCGACTTTTCTACATCCAAATGAATCCAGAAGATTTATTGTTCATGTCACCTTCAACCCAGAAGAAGTGCCCCTATCTACACGGAAGGAAAATCATTTCCATGTTACATCTTGGGAGTTTTCCATCATTGTCATGTAACAGATTAGAGACAGAGAAAAATCTCATCCTTCATAATAATTACTGACTCGGCTAATCAGGGGTAGACGGGTCCAACTTTACTCACACGAACTTCTAGTTTGAGAATAATCTTATTTCTCTCTGGAAAACTGCAGTTGGGAGACGACAGAGTCCTCCTTGGTGTGTGTTCGCCTGATGTTGCAAGGACCAAGTTTAGCAGGAAAAAAGTTAAACACATCAGAAACATTTTAATTGAATTATTAGCCAAAGGGAATGGTCCCTTCTCCTGATTGGCTTGTCCGATTCAAAATGAAGCTTGTAGCTGAAGTCTTTGACAGAGCTCAGGGCAACGCTCATCAATAAATCTGATTAGGTTAACAAGCTTGTTTTTGCTTTGTTCATTGACAAGCCAGTAAAAGACTGGAAACATTTCTGACTACTAAGTAGTCAAGTTGAAGAAGAACAACAGTGTTTCTTTCATTTCGAGTTTAGATTTAGCTCCTTGCTTACCAGAGTGCGTCTGTGACGGGGTAATTGGGTATTCCCTTCTTATTTGGCCTTGCACAACTATTAATCAGTTACTGATTATCTCTGGTAATTGCACAGAAGGTAATCTGCTGAATCTGTCTGGGTTGGGACACAAATTATGTGCATTTGTGTGTATATTTTTTTAATGGGAATTACTGATTTTCAGGGAAAAAAAAGAAGAGTCTCTCCTTTCACATTTTCCTCTTTTCCAAAGTTCTTTTGCTTAAAATGTTAGGAAATTTGCACAACGATGAACCAAAATGTTTCTCATTTTGACATGTTTGTTCACATTCATGTTTTCTGCAGTGGTTCCTCGAGTCTTTCAGCGAGTTTGGAAGTACTCTGCTTTATGTGGAGGATTTGGTACTCGTGTGGTCCCACCAGACATGTTTATTCTGGGAATGTGCAACACTTCCATTATGCATTTTCATGTCAGCATCTAACAGTGTTGCTTAGAACTACTGAAAGATACAAATAATCTATTCATGATTCAGCGTTTTTTAAATGAACACTGAACTGTAACCATCAGAATCTCTCATTCCCAGCAACATTTGATTTTATTCTTGCTTGCATATTAAAGAATTGTCTTAAATATTTCTGGAATAGGCCTTTCTGCTTTAACAGAAAATAAGCTCTCTCCCTCGCTTTTGCAAAGAGAATATTTAATGACTTTTATCTTTGGTTAATTTGGTTGCATCAAAGCAGATTGGATTGATCTGATTTCCATTCAGCTGATTTTTTTTAATTTAGCATTCTCAGTAAGAAATGCATTCTAGAAAAAAAAAACCTTTTTCATGAACAGCTGATCAGCTATTAATGTTGTCGGCTTTCATCCAAAAGAAGAACTGAAACTGAAGTTAGCATCAATGACTTGCAGATTATCTCAGTTTGTTGAATCGAAGCTGAAAATCAACATTTTCATAATAATTCTACTTTATAAATAAATGTTAAATTTAAACTGGATTGCAACAACTGGCTTTTAAATTGCCCAGTAATGTGCTCAGCAGTTTGCAGCCTGCTTTATCACATTTTTTATTTATTTATTTTTTTGCAAAAAGCAAATGTTTTAATGGATGACAGGTCTATACTGTGGTGAGGCCAATTTGTTTACTTTTACAGGGTCATGCTTTTGAAACATTTGCATAGCATGGTTTGGCTCAGTCCCCTGAAATACCCAAGGTCCTTCCTGAGAAAGATGTCGTACCATTTATTGTTCTGCATTAATGGTTCCTTGCAAAGTGGGCAACTTACCCGAGGCATTTGCTCCCCCGTTGCTTCCACAGATGCTGGTTTTTGAGCACCGATAAGACTCTAGCTCAGAGTGTATGACTACACACCACAACTTCAAATTATGATTCAGTAGACCACAGGTTAGCTTTTCACTTAATTGGGTTTGAGATCAGAGAAAGCAGTAGAGTTGATTGCTCATGTGTGTTTTTTTTACTTCAAATGGAAATAAAAAGAAATGAATATGGTTTGATCAATTCATTCAGAAGTTTGTCCAGATTTTATGACTCCTATTCTGTTTAAAACAAAGTCCCTGTGCTGTTTATTAGTGTTTGCACCCTTTAGTCCTTCCGCAAAACTCTTTAGAGCTGTTTTTTGTTTCAATAATGTGAATATTTTATTATGTTCTGAGTTTTCAGTGTGCAAATGATTTGCAAATCAAGAAATTGATTCTCTATTTAAAGGCAATAACACACAGCGGGAAAGACCTGGAGGGGATAGTGATGTCAGCGTTCAGGGAGTGTTGATTGGACAGTGCATTTAAAATCCCACCCCTTCGGGGTGGGATTTTCTGTTTTTGTTTACCCTAACAGAATATTCAGTGTGACTATTGGTTGTTATGTCTTAATGATTTAGTGTTTTATTTATTCATTTTTCAGATCTGTAGGCAGTGCCATGAAAAGAGGGAGTGGTGTCGACCCGTTCTTGGCTGAAGTGTTTTTGGATTTGAAAACTGTTGGATCTAAAGGTGCAGTGAGTGATGTGTGTTTGACAGGCTCAGTGCAAAGAGGCTAAACAGACACTAGAGTGTGCTTTTGTGTTGTGCAACGGCACCATCTCGTCCAGACCATGTGGCTGGCTACGTTTAGAGTCCATCTGTTGCCTGCACACCTGCTTCATCAGCAAGGGACTGCAACCATCGCTCACTGTGCTCTTCTATGGTGGATGTTATGCTCCCACTGGTCACTGACCATAGCCACAAGCCAGAAGTTTTACCCAACCGTCACCACCCAGTTTGGGAAACTGCGAGGCCTCAGGGTTCCAGTTCCCAGTGAGGTCCTCAGACCTGTTGATCAGTACCTGGGAGTCCCCTATGCGGCCCCGCCTGTGGGTGAAAAGCGTTTCATGCCCCCGGACCAGCCCTCCCCTTGGACAGGGGTCAGGAATGCTACCCACTTCATGCCTGTGTGCCCCCAGAACATCCACAACACGGTGCCAGAGATCATGATGCCCATATGGTTCACCTATAACCTGGACACAGTTGCTACGTACATTCAAGATCAGAGTGAGGACTGTTTGTATCTGAACATCTACGCTCCAACACAGGATGGTGAGTTTCTCTAAAGCGGACAGCTGTGACTGTTCCATGTCTGCTGCTGGCTGCTGCTGTTTGCTGAGTCCTTCATTGTTCTGTGATCATCATAAACTCAGCTCTCATGTCACCGCTGCCACCAAAGGCTGAGTTATCACCCAAAGCACCATCAACTGACATGTTACCATCACCTGACAAGCACAATGGATCTTGTAGCGGTTAATGTTGATGCAGCTAAATCAATCTTTTTTAGATCCTCACAGAGCACCAGCAGCATATTTGTATTGTTTTCTAACTAACAAACATCTATTTTTTGCGATCAGCTGTGGCTGACGTTTGCATCTTTCTAAACAAAAGCAGTTATTTTCCAGTCTCTAAAACAGTGAAATGCCACAACGTCAAAGATAACGATAAAGATTATTTATTTAGGAAGGTGATAAAAGTGTCAAATTTCCACATTCCACTATTTTTTTTCGGCACATTAGAGAATCACTGCTTTGTTCAGGCAGTGTGTCTGTCGGGGTCCAATTAAAGAGGTGCAGGAATCAACTGCCTATCTCACGCTGAATCCTTTAATATTTCCGAACTCTGAAATTAAGCAGCAAGGGAACTCTTTATGTGTCTGCAGTGAATAACTGAACAATGTCATTTTTCACAGTGATAGTGTATGTTTTTAAAAGCTGGTGATGAGCAACAGTAATTTAGGTCTTATTAAGATACTAATCAAACATGAGTGTTTGCCTCATTCAGAAGAGCTCAGAGTAGTATGAAACATTCAGAGCTTGTGTATGTAACACACCACTCTTTCAGACAGTTTTTCTTTTCCTATGGTAACATGGCAACAACAGATAAACAGACAGCATGAAAGGATGCTGTCCAAAATGGTGCAGCCCAGAGTTTCTAAAGCCCCCTCATCTCAGGGCTCCACATAGACTATTGTGTACCTGCCTGGCCCATAAACAGGTAATTTAAATTTCACCTATATATATGTTTTCTTCAAAACCAGAGACATGATGGTTTTGTTCAAAGCACTTAGTTATTTTTATTATATTTTTGTTTGTTTAAAATAGTCTTGGGTTTTTGTTCATGGATGGTGTCCTCAATTCTAATAATGTCCAGCAGGTTTTTGGCAAATTAAAAACAACGTTTCTGCAATTTAAATAATTCAAACAACACTTTTGTTGCCCCAAATATTCCAGGTCATCGAAATATAAACTATTAACAACGTACCTGAAATAAAGATCATTTCTGACCAGACAGATACTGGTGTCACCAACTCCGGTCCTCTAGCCTAGGGCTACCATCCTGCTAGATTTTTTTGTGTTTCCTGCTCTGCATAACAGGAGTTCATGCAAATGGTATTTGCTGTACACTTTAATCAGTTTTTCATTACTGTTCTTTTTTCAGCAGATATATTATGAAATTCTGACTAGAAATTTGATATCCAGCTAGTTCCAGTGTCATAGTTTTAGCTGCAATATTGTTGTGGAAGTATGTTTTCCAAAATTCATGCCTGTACAAAGATTTATAAAATAGCAACTGCATGGGCCAGATTAAATTCACGTAAATGGGCAGTGATCTTTTTGGAATTGCCTCTGATGTGATGAAATTTTGACTTAAAGGTGTGGTTTACTCGTTTGTAAATCAATGCCTTATGAGTAGATAAAAAAAAGAAGCTATGATGCTCCTGTTCTGAGATGCAGACGTTTGCCGGTGCAGAGGTGGGCTGAAAACAGCAGCATTGCACATTATTTTTAATGATATGCACACACCTCACTTCTGATTCGCTAACAGAACGCATTCAGCCATGTTGCAAAGTCACTATCACCAACACACTCTCCGCTCTCTCTCCTCACTGCAAAATATATTTTTTAAAAGCCTTCCTGTGGACTGGCGTGAGCCAAGATGGGCGAGGCCATGAACGCAAATTCACAGTGTGACATCACAGTGGGAGGATTTTCAAATCCTAGCATTTCACCATCTATTTCCTATCAGAAGTTAAAGCAGTAAATAAGTGTAGGAGGTTGTTTTCATGTTCAGCCTGCATGAAAAACTGCAAGTGACTGATAGTAATCCGAAATATTGATTTAAAAATTTTTTTTTCAGTCAACCACACCTTTAAAAAACAGGAATAGCACTGTTGTTTTAATGAAAGATGTGTCCCATTAGTCATGAAATGAGTTCATTGACAATTCTACTGAAAATCCAAGATGCACAAGAAGTGGAACGCAGCCCTAATTAATACACCTGTGCGTTTCCTACCCATGCAAGTGAAAATGTCTGCAGTGCAACAGGTCGGTGAAAGGTGCATTAACTGAAATGCAGATTTAGAAATTTTTTTTTGTTATTTTTAATGTGTTCGGCAGCCGAAGGTGAAATCTTAGGCACAACAATGGTTTTCACTTTTGTGCATCATATTTGTGCATATTTTAAATGATCCTAAATAGTTTTATACTGCTTTGAATACTTTGCATATCCTGGATCCTTTTCTTCTTGAAGCTGCCACTGTGATTAGGCAGTAGATTTATTAAGAACCCACCATGCTTTTTTGAATTTTGTACTTCTTTTTTTCCCTATATGACTACCAGGGAGCCAACTCAAGAAAAAGGGGGCATCTTTCTCACATGCTGAGACTCATATATCTGAAGGTATTTTTCTAAAAACTCAGTTTTAATGCATGGATATTTTTTTCTTTTATGAAGGTGTTCCAGTACTTTTTACCTTTTCAAAGAATCATGTGTTCCTTTTTTTTAATGACAAGAGAAGTAGGATATTTGATCTCTAACTTGTCTGCTACTGGTCTCACTGGACATCTCGAACTTTTTCAGTCACCCTAACACCTGTGTTGTTATGCTCATCGATCCGGATCTTGTTTTATTTACTTATCTGTCTTTAGACTCAAATATACTAAACAGGAGCAATAAGAGATACATATTTAGATTTTTCATACAATGAGACAACCAGAGTATGGTGTTGTGTCGCAGTTCAGTTGTACAACAAACAGGCTGTGTTCTGTGCTTGCTGAGATTAAAGTTCAACTCTTTTCTCTTCTTTCCTTCACACTTTTAGATTTTACGCAGATAAATGAGTATGCTTGGTCTAACACGTCCATACACCGTAAAACCTGCTGATTATGCTCATAACTCTTGTTCGAGTGTATTTACCATTCATTTTTTGATTGTCATTACAGCTTTTAGACCACAGGCCTTCCACCCTGGCTTGCTTCCAAGCACATTTTCTAAGCAGCCTTTTCCTCAGGCTCATACTTCATCCTTGTGATATAAAGTTAAAGTTCTCTACTGTCCCTCCACATCATTACTGTTGTTCCTGCGGTTGTTTGCTCAGTGTGCAAGTGTGTGTGTTGACGTTGCAGACATACGGGACTCTGAAGCTCGACCTGTGATGGTTTACATCCACGGAGGATCCTACATGGAGGGCACTGGGAACATGATGGACGGCAGCATTTTGGCCAGCTATGGAAATGTTGTTGTTGTCACGCTCAACTACAGAATTGGAATATTAGGTGAAAACACTGTCTGAATAATACAAACGGCTGTTCAGCCCTGTTTAATCTCATGGTATAAAATGTCAAATTTGTTTTCCTTTTTGCTGCAAGATGCAGAGATAAAATGCATGAAAAAAAACAGCTAGCTTAGATCTTGGCTGCATGGTGATGCTTTATGTTAAATCTTCAGAGGAACACAGCTATGCAAATTATTCAGCCTTGACCTTGCTGCACAAAAGCATTGTTACACTCAATTTATCTTCCTTTAGATGGATATATCTAATCTTTGCAAGATTATCATCTTTTGCTATTCTTGAAAAGTGGAATGATGCTGCCCCTCCACTTCCTGAGGGTGACCACTGCTTTGGGACTACCAAGAAGTTGAACAGGGCAGTGAAATGCTGCAGAGAGAAAGCAAAAGCATGTTTATACCCGAGGGACGTTCATTCAGATGTCCTGCTGGGCAGCATCAAAGCTGTGACATGCAGCTTCATGTTAGCTGTGTTATCTCTGTTTGCACTAGGCTTCCTCAGTACAGGAGACCAGGCAGCCAAAGGAAACTATGGACTCCTGGATCAGATTCAAGCACTGCGCTGGATTAGTAAAAACATCGGTTACTTTGGAGGAGATCCGGGTCGCATCACCGTTTTTGGTTCTGGGATCGGCGCTTCATGTGTCAGCCTGCTGACGCTGTCCCACCACTCAGAGGGTAAGAAAGTAGAAGTTCATGCGGGGATTAAGTCTTCTGTTGTTGTTTTTTTTGTTTGTTTGTTTGTTTGTTCTTGCAGGTTTTTGTTTGTTTCCAGTGAAGCTAGAGTCTCACACAGGGAGGGAGGGGGGGGGGGGGGGGGGGGGTTATGATCTGGGGTATGTGAAGGGATAAAAGGAGTGTTTGTTGAGTAAGTGATTACATTTGTTCCTCTCTGCTCAATTTAATTAGTGTAAAAGCCCAGACTCCTTAAATATAAAACTCTTAAAAAAAACCTTTTGGCACCATAAAGTTTCCAGCATGTCACCTGCGCTGTTACGTTTTTACCATTCCCTCACTGTTAGTCTACTCTTGTTTACCCATCAGCAGCGCTCAAATGTTCAGAGAGCGACTCACCCCCAAATCTACTTTTTTTTGCTGATCAACTATATACATGAGTTTCTAATCGTGCTGTAGACATATGTGCTGTAGTCAATAATTTGGCACTTTAGTGCTTCTTAGTTAAATTTTAAATATTCTACCTAAAACCGTCAGTGTTGTGTCCTCTTCAGGTAAAAACTCTGCACTGCATTTGAATTTAAATCTGCCATTGCTATTGGCTAAGAAGGGGGGCGCTGAGGACCAGGGTTGGGAAACAGTGCTCTATATGTTCAGCTAGAATACCTGAAAATGTGATAAACGGGGTTCCTTGCCTGACTCAAAGGTGTATGCTTCAATACAGTCGGCCCGTTTTGATTCGAACCTCTGCTGTAATAGTCTTCCAGTTTTCTCATTGAAGCCAAACAAATTCACAAGGAGGGTAGGAGCTGCATGTTTTCACCAGTGTGCGGGAGATTGCAGCAGCTGTTCTTTTGTAAGATTTGTATTGGATGTCCTCACTCACTACAGCAAATGCACAAAGACCTCCAGCTGTCTTTGAACTTCACTGGCTCACTTCTTCCATAAACATGAGAATTTTTCTTTTTCTAAAAAAGCAAAAGAGTGAGAAAGTGACACTGCCTCTATATTTGTCAAGCTGCCATTGGGTTTTAACTGCTAAGATAGCAGTTTTTTTTTTCTTTTTAACAGACGCTTTTGACTTGTCATTTTTTGCGTAGTGTCATTTGTCAGTGCAACAATCCCCAGAGACAGAGGTGATGCACAGCATGCAAACAATTCAACAGAGCAGCTTGTTTACTGTATCAACATTGAGGGATCAGGGTTACTGCATATTCAGCTCCCTCTGCACTGTACAGTTGGCGTCAGCAGTCTGTTTTAGGCCACACAGCTTGTTAGACACACAATATTAACGATTCTACAATTACAGTCTGTTTGTGTGGAGGGGAAATCTTGACACCTACCCTCTGACACTGTGCTGCAAATTGACCATTAGTTTGACATGCCCTCGTGTAATCTGCATAAAGAGGAGACCACATGAAAAATAAGAGGATCAGCAGGGAAGACTTTTTTTTGCCGTTTTTTCTTTAATTATTTATTTTAGTAACAGAAGGAGACCGAGTTCAAAACAGCTTCTTGTCAATTCTGGTACTCTCAGTTGCTGCTTTGATCTTCCACATGTCCATGAGACCCTTTATGGTGGAAAGCAATTAGTTTAGCACCACTCATTAATATATTTAGTCAATTCCCATCGTTAAAGAGACAATGTGTAGTCTTTACTGTTGATCTCTGGAAATATCCATCCGCGCTTTTTGAAAATGAATAAAATTGTGTCCAGTTGTTGAAAAGTATTAGCAGCTTTGTGACATGTAACTATAAAAATCGGGTCTGAAATACACAAGGCGCGGGTCTAGCGTCTTTGAGGAATGCCATATTAGATGCCTTCTGGCTGACTCGGGGTCTTGCACCTGTTGATGACGTTACACTGCATGATTGGCTGGACGTACGACTTACGGAAGTTACGTTACAAAGTTCAAAAACATCTAGGCAGCAAGAAACACAATTTTAATAACAAACTCCTAAACTCTTTCCAAAACATCTGTGAAAGAACAGAATCGAAAAAGTAATGCAATATATTTTGGCCGAGCGGTATTGCTCTAGTATGGTGACGTCATCGGCAAGCGCAGGACCCCGAGTAGATCTGGAAAGGACAGAAAACTACAATCGGCCTTGCATTATCTCAGTGGAATTAAGTGAAGGACCATCAAAGCCTGAGGCTTCATGCCGAGGTTGCATGCTTTCTGCTCCACAGGTAACATTTACCGTAATGATTTTTTAAACTAGCGACAGTCATGGCAATGTGGTGTAAAACTACCCTGAAATGTATAAACTGCCCCCTGGTGGCAGGAAACTTCCCACTGTCACTTTAAAGAGAGCAATGATTTGTGTCTTTTTGTTTTGAATCTCTGTCCAAAGGTCTGTTTCATAGAGCCATCATCCAAAGTGGATCAGCACTGTCCAGCTGGGCTGTGAACTACCACCCAGTCAAGTACACCCGCATGCTCGCCGAGAGGGTTGGATGCAACGTGTTGGACACGGTAGACATGGTGTCCTGCCTGCAGAAGAAGAGTGCCAAGGAGCTTGTGGAGCAAGACATCCAGGCTGCCCGCTACCGTGTGGCCTTTGGCCCCGTGATCGATGGAGACGTCATCCCAGATGACCCTGAGATCCTGATGGAACAGGGAGAGTTCCTCAACTATGACATTATGCTGGGTGTCAATCAGGGCGAAGGGCTGCGCTTCGTGGAGAACTTGATGGACCTGGAGGACGGTGTGTCTGGCAACGACTTTGACTTTGCAGTGTCAGACTTTGTGGACAGTTTGTATGGCTACCCAGAGGGGAAGGACACTCTCAGAGAGACGATTAAATTCATGTACACAGACTGGGCAGACAAGGACAACCCAGAGACCAGGAGGAAGACCCTGGTTGCCCTCTTCACCGACCACCAATGGGTGGAGCCATCGGTGGTAACGGCAGACCTACACGCCCGCTACGGCTCGCCCACATACTTCTACGCCTTCTACCACCACTGCCAGAGCCTTATGAAACCTGTGTGGTCGGACTCAGCGCATGGAGATGAGGTGCCATATGTATTTGGCATCCCCATGGTGGGTCCAACGGATCTGTTCCCCTGTAACTTCTCCAGGAATGACATCATGCTCAGCGCTGTGGTTATGACATACTGGACCAACTTTGCAAAAAGCGGGTGAGTACCCGCAACCCCACCGACTAATAAAAGTGTGCAAATGTTTATTTGTTGTTACTGAGCTTTCTCCTCTAAATGTGTATTCTTGTCTTGATTTTGATGGGACAGCGCCGCTGGGTTCAGTCCTAGTGCCTGCTAATGAAACCCCCAGCCTGAACTTCTGTTTCCTCATCTTTCAGCCTTACTCCCTCCCTAGAACTCCCACATGAAGACAACAGGCTGCTTTTATTGATTATTGTCAATTCTTTAAAATCTAAAAACTGAAACAATGTGCTGTAAATGACTCCTGGTAATTATTTAAAATCGGCATTATTGATTACGCTTAAAAATGTATGCCTCTGCAAACATTTCACCAGTTGCTTATAACTCAGAGTCTAAACACTGTCTGTTAGCTTAACAGCTAATTAAAGCCACTATGTTCTGAATGTCAAGCCGTCGCAGATGTATTCATCTCAAAAACCTGTTTTTGCATCAGTTGGGGCAAATTTCTTAGAAGTAAAGTGGGGTCTGAGTTATGTTTTTCGAGCAAAATTATAATGTGCTGCTAAAGCAGCAACAGAAACACTGAAAACTTACAGAGAGTTGAGCTTTTAGGAAGTTGTTTCTGGATGATTCACAAAGTTTGATGTTGGTGATGAAGAACTCTTTCTGACATGTTAATTATGAATGTCCCATTGGCCCTCACCTGATTATAAATAAGATTCGTTTGAAGGATATAACATAAAACTTACATTATTTCTGGATTCATTAACCCATTCAGTGACCTCCCCCCACCCCCCACCCCCAGGCCATGCAAATGAAGACTGTAATCCCGAAAGAGGCCACTCCAGTCAGGACAAAAAGGTTTTATTATAGAGGAAAATGGTGATTATTCTAAGCAACATGCATTTATTCACACTGAGTCTTCTTTCTGAGGGTACAAGTGTATCTAAATCATGCAGCAAAATGCAGTATTTGTACTTTTATCATAGTTTATCATAGTTTTGTGTTTTAAATACAAGCAAAATGGCTCTGCGCTGAATTTGTCCACTTAAAAGAAAATCTTGCAGCTGAAAGTCCAACCAAGTGAAACGCTGCAACTCTCCTGAGGCAAAGATTTGCTGCTGGTTTTTTGAATTTAAGAGACACCTAAGTGAGTTTTACTGTTGTGGAGGACTCCACTGCTGTTTGGCTGGAAGTACTTTATGGCAGCAATAAATCTTTATGTAGGATGACCCTAGCCATTGCAAAAGCACAACACGGGTCACTGTATGCTGTTAATGCTGCTGTGTAGGAATGAGTGAAAGCCGAACCCTTGCAGAGAGATGAGTTTGTTACATTGAGCTGGAGTTTTTCTCCCTTTTTCTCTACTGCCTGTCAAAGCAAAATCTTCTGCTTCCTGCAAAACCCGATTAGGTTTGAGCTGAGTGAAAGACATCCTTATCATGACATCCATGTGGACGCTTACCAAGTCTGATTTGTGTTATTTTATTTAAAAATCTTTAAAAATTCTTCAGATATTCAAATGACATTCTTGGTTTTGAAACATATTTCTTTAGCATATTTTTCCAGCTTTTCTTTTGTGTTAAATGTAGTTTTATGATGCTTAAAGAAGACAGCGTTCATGTGACCCAGTCTTGTGTGATGTTTTCACAGAGATCCTAACAAACCAGTGCCACAGGACACCAAGTTCATCCACACCAAGGCCAACCGATTTGAGGAGGTCGCCTGGTCCAAGTATGACCCCTACGACCAGATGTACCTGCACATTGGACTGAAGCCTCGTGTCCGCGACCACTACCGTGCCACCAAAGTGGCCTTCTGGAAGCACCTGGTGCCCCATCTCTACAACCTCCACGATATGTTCCATTATTCCTCCACCACCACCAAAGTCACCCCTCTGGATCCCACCCAGTCAAATGGAAAGAGGCCTGGCAGCACTGGACGGCCTCCCGTATCTACGTCCCATGGCGGAGGCAAAGGAGGGAGAGAAATGGGTCCTCTGATCATGCCAAACCCCAGAGATTACTCCACAGAGCTCAGCGTCACCATCGCCGTCGGGGCATCGCTGCTCTTCCTCAACGTCCTGGCTTTCGCCGCTCTGTACTACCGCAAGGACAAGCGCAGTCGCCAGGAAACGTCCCAGCAGCCCAGTCCCCAGCGTGAAAGCAAAGGTAACAATGCGAGCCACACCAACACAGTCGATGAAACCCTGTCATCCCAGCAAAGGAGCCCATGCGACGCCCTTCACAATCCTCTTCATGCCTCGCCTAGCTACTCTCTGAGCCAGCGCCGCTCCCCTGATGACATCCCTCTGATGACCCCCAACAACATCACCATGATCCCCAATTCCCTAATGGGCCTCTCCAACATGAGTCCATACAGCACCTTCCCTGCTGGCTACAGCTCCGCCGGCCTGCCCAGCACCCACTCAACCACTCGAGTATAGCCTGGAGATTAGAAATGTGACATGAAATATAAAGCTGTATTTAGGATGTGTAAGTAAAATAGGATCAAATATGTTTGTTCTGTCATATCCAGAGGTGTACGACCACCCACATCCTGCCTTTGCTCTCTCATGATAGGAAATCTAACTGCAGAGCCATTTTATAATAATCATTTTCAAAGGCAGTCCAAAAAAAAAAGTGCATTTCATTTTCCACTTTGGCTTTTTGGAACTTTACCTAGCAAGAACTTAGTATAATGTTTATACAGTTGGATTTGTATGGGAAGCTTTTTCTTACTCTGTGATATCTATTTTGCTCTCGTGGAACAAAGTGACATTACAACTCGTGCTGGACGGGGATGAGCTCTGGGGAAAAGCAGTATTATTATTATTATCGTCATTATTATTACTATTATCAAGCTGTTTTATACACATTTCTCACATCATATGGCTTATTATGAAAAGTATTTTTACTGTAATTACTTTAAATGCTTTGTACATCGCTTACATGAGGAATATTACAGTGGAACTCATAAAAGGGATGAAAGTTTCGCTCAAGTATTGATCACTGATGAAAAATGTCCAACTTATCCAAAATGTTTCTAACTGGTAGTGCAACTACAGCACCTGTGTGTGTGTGTGTGTGTGTGTGTGTGTGTGTGTGTGTGTGTGTGTGTGTGTGTGTGTGTGTGTGTGTGTGTGTGTGTGTGTGTGTGTGTGTGTGTGTGTGTGTGTGTGTGTGAGCATTCATGTACATGCATGTGTGTGTGCATTTGTGTGTGTGTGTGTGTTTGTGAGTGCATGTATGTGTGTGATTTGTGTGTGAGTGTGCATGCATGCATGCGTGTCTGCAATTGTGTGTGTGTGTGTGTGTGTGTGTGAGAGCATATGTGTGTGTGTGTTTGTGAGTGCATGTATGTGTGTGAATTTGTGTGTGTGTGTGCATGCATGCATGTGTTTCTGCAATTGTGTGTGTTTGAGTGTGCGTGCATGCAAGTGTGTGTGTGCGTGAGTGTGTGCACTTGTGTGCGTGCGTGTGTGTGTGTGTGTGTTTGTGCTGAAGACTGTGGCACAGAAATGTAAATTAGACATTGTATGAACTTATTAAGTTTTGCATCTGTAGTGTTGTGTGATTTATTGTAGTCTACTTGAGTATCCTTGCTATACTTTTGGCTATGTATTTTGAGTTTCGCTGAGTACACTGTAAGAATTTAACTTCTGCTTCACTATAAACAAAATATTGCTTAAAACGTGTTTTTCTACTCTAACTCATCCTTCTTTTGGCTTGGCTTGTTTGTACAGAATAAACTTAGACCAATATTTTTTTGTTGTTTGTTTTTGAATACTGTAAGTTCTTCAGAGGGATGACTGTAACGACTGTATGTAAATCACTCCAGTTATTCACGGCTAAGAAGGAGCTTGATGACTCTTGCAGAACTTTACGCCATCCACAACTGGTTTGGACCCGACGTGGTGGTTGTTCAACGAATGAACATGATGGGCTTAGAGCTTTGAAATTTTTATTTCTTTCAACCCATCATAACATTGTTTAATCTAAATGAAAAAGCTATTAAAAGATTTTTGAAACTAAAGGCCAGTTCTGTCAAACGTGAGTTTTCATTACACATATCGGGAATACTGCAGGTGTAAAAAAAAGTCAAAGGAGTGAAGGTAACCCATTCCTTTTCACGGCAGAGTTAAAAACTTAAAAAGCTCCAGGGTTATTTAAAGTGGTTGCAGTAATCAAATTTTAACACAGTTTGTCATTTTTACTTAATTTCTACATAATGCACCTTTAACCAGTTAGTTACTGATACTGTGGTTTCCTAAAAATCCAATAATTCATTATTCTTGTTGAAGTTTTCAGCACAGATGGGAAGGAGTCTCAGAACACCTACATTCCCATTTTAACCATTGGAATTCCCACTAGGCTAAGTTTAACTGACTATGGTAGCCATCTTGAATTAGACTGACCTCAAATGTTAATAATTTGTCGAGGTGCAAACAAACACAGAGGGAAAAGGCAAACATTGTCACTCATACTTTGCTTTTTGGTGGAGGACAATGTCAGGAATACAGTCTTTTACCAGCATTGTCATGGTCTGCGTTCTGCGTGTCCCTCATGTGTCTCTTTGTGTTCTCCATCCCTAGGTTCTCCTTATGTGTCTCCTTGTCTGCATCCCCCCTCAGGTGCCTCCCTGTGGTCCCCAGCCCCCTCCAGGTTCTCTCCAGGTTTCCCTTAGTCACTTTTCTTATCGTTAGTTTTCTGTTATTGTAGATTGTCTAGTTTGTTTCTCCCTTTATCCTCCCCTGTCTTCCAGTGTTTTTGGTTCTCTTACTCCTAGATCATTAGTTTTATTATCTTTAGTCCTCCAGTGTCTTATTTCTACAAGTGTTTTAAGTTATTCAGTTCAGTAGCTTTGTTTAACTGGTTTTAGTTGGGTTTTTCCTCACCTGCCCTGTTCTGCTCCTCTTGGTTATTGGTATCACCTGTGCCCAGTCCTCCTAATCACCCAGCCCGAGTATAAAACCCTGTCCTGTCTTTCTGTGTTTGTCGGTCCATTGTTTGTGTCAGCGTTGTCTTGCCCCTTCTCTTGCACTCTAGGATTTTTGGAAATCTCTTGATCTCTTGGTTTTGGATATCTCCAGGTCTGCTCTTTGGGGGAGCACTTTGTCTCTAGGTCTCTTGGTTTTCATACTAGGATTTTTGGATTTTTGGTTTTGGCTTCCTGCCCTATTGGATTTACTTTTGAACAATCAGTCCTGATAAAGGATTTTTTATGTTTATTCCAACTCCTGCCTCATGTCTCCCTGGTTCTGCATCTTGGGTCCTAACTTACCCCCTACTCGCAGGGTGACAAGCATGTATCACTCCAAGATCTGTCTGGGGGAATAATAAATTAGAATTTAATAAAATCAGATAATCTCTCCTGTCTTAGCTTCCCTACATTGGCTACCTGTTAAATTCAGAATAGATTTTAAGATCCTTCTTCTCACATATAAAGCTCTTAATAATCAAGGTCCATCATACATTAGGAATCTGATTGTTCCATATGTTCCTAACCGAGCACTTCGCTCTCAGACTGCAGGTCTACTGGTGGTTCCAAGAATATCTAAAATTAGGATGGGAAGCAGATCTTTTAGTTATCAGGCTCCTCTCCTGTGGAACCATTTCCCAGTCTTAGTCTGTGAGGCAGACACTTTGTCTACTTTTAAGACTAGGCTTAAAACATTTTTATTTGATAGGGCCTATGGTTAAAATCTGATGTTAGCCTAAATCTGGACAAGTGGGGGAGTAGAGGGAGGTGGAGTGTACAGTCGGTAAAGAAGGCTCTCCCTTGCCCTGCCTCCAACATGCCTCCATCTAAATAGGATAGATTATCCAGAGTTATCTCTGTAGTTATGCTGCTATAGGCTTAGACTGCTGGAGGATACACTGACCACTTCTCACACTCTACTGCTTTCTTCTACAGTCTGCTCTTTAACTGTACTATTTTGTCCAATTTCAGCTGTTAACTTTATTTTCTCTGTAAGTGTTTTTCTCCCCAGAAGATGCGACAATGACGTTCTGCTGAGCTGTGGTGGCCTCATGGAGGGGGCCATCGACTAGCACACTGCTGCTAACCACTTAAACATTCTCTCTCTCCTGATAATAACTTTTTGGTTTCCTTGACTTTTGATGTGCTAATACTAGTTTATCCGTTTAATTATATATCCACTAGGATAAATACAATAAAGTTTATCTCTCGCCAAATAGAATATTTACTAAGACATCACAATATAACTGTAGACACATTACTTGTCCGTGTGTGTGTGTGTGTGTGTGTGTGTGTGTGTGTGTGTGTGTGTGTGTGTGTGTGTGTGTGTGTGTGTGTGTGTGTGTGTGTGTGTGTGTGTGTGTGTGCTCTGTCTTCTCGATCCCCAGTGAGTCGTGGTGGATGGCTGCTTATACTGAGCCAGGATTCTCTGGAGGTTTCTTCCTGTTAAAAGGGAGTTTTCCTCTCCACTGTCGCTTTATGCTTGCGTGGTATGAGGATTGCTGTATAGTCACTGACACTAGTCAGTGACTTGATGCAATTTGCTGGGTTCCTTATATAGGAAACATTATTTCTGATTGGCTTAATGAACTGACTTGAATTGGAATGTTTATTATATGAAGTGCCTTGAGACGACTCTTGTCGTGATTTGGCGCTATATAAATAAACTTGAATTGAATTGAATTGAATTAATTTATTAGAGAGGAAATAGGTTAGTGCTAAGTCAGAAAGATTTGACTTTGCATTAGCCTCTGTTCCTGTCAGATAGACACCGCTGTCGGTATAAACATGTAAAAACACTCAGAGCTCCAAACAAACTTGATCCTGGTTGAGTTTCATAAAAAATACTCCATCTCTGGGTTGTTGCACGTATTATTTGAGTCAGTGTTGATCCCAGTGAGACCAAAAATGTTATAGAAGTGTAATGCGCTGTTAGCATAGAGTCGTTTTAATTCCTGGAAAAAAATACAGTTAGGGTCATCTGAGGCACTTGCTGAATGTAAAGCCTGGATTAGAAATAAATGTGGTGCAAATTGGTCCCACACTGTTTGGGTTTGTTCTTTGGCTCCATATTGGCCCAATTTAAACTGTCCATGCTGGTTTATCAGTATGGGTTAGCTTAGAAAGACACGAGTAGGTTGGCTTCACCTGTGTTTTCCATGCATTGACTCAACCCAAGTGTTACCTATTTAGAGCTCATACACACATTTCCCAATAGTGATCCATAAACCCCCAAAGGAAGCCCACCTGGGTTTGTCCAATTGTTGGACTGAAGATAAGGAGTCCGCTTTAGGCAATTAATAATGTTCTTCCTATATAAGCTTGGTTTTTGCTGTTTATTACCCCACAGACCTCTGATACACACACCTGGACTAAAACACTCTTCTATGCACGAGTTTCACAAAGTGGTGGTTTTGTCAATACAACTTTTCAAAGTAAACTTCATTTTTTAAGTACCTGCAATTTATTTCTTGCTAGACTTCAGAAGTCATGGCATTATCACCAAGCAAACAGGAGGCTTTTCTCTCTGAAAATGTTCCAGCTAAACAACAGGTTGTAGAGCGTACAGGTGTCAAACACACAGAGTCTGAAATTATCATAAAAGACAATCAAACACGCAAGCAAATATACAACCCAGTTGGAAAAGTGCTCAGCCCGCCCTCACTTTCATCAGGCAGTAAAACAAATCATTTCAGCTCTCCATGCAGGAGGTCATCGCCTCTGAATTCACAATTGCTTGTTTTGTTTGTCTGACGGCTGCTTGTCTTGTTTGTCAGAAGATAACATAAGAAGCGTGGCAATAAAACGGGGTAAGAGGTGATGCAAATATTTCCGCAGGGCGTCCTCGTCCCCTGTTTAAATCCACAGTTTTCACCACGTTTAGTGTGTAAATATTGGCGAGTGTATCCGTCACAAAGCAAACAGCTATGATCCCTGATCCCAGACAGATCCCACCACCACACTGCAGATGCAGGAACAAAGCTTTGTGTGCAGCAGCCCACAGTTCCTGCTTAAGTGCAGCGTTCTATGTGCCATTGTTCAAGATAAATGTGCAGATTCATAACATTTGAAAACTTAGAGTATATTTTCTTTGCTCAAATGACCATTGCGGATGCAGAGTCCTGTTAAATAATACTCAATAATTTATCATCTGATCCTCTCACATCATTGACCACAATTTAAATCACCATCTGCCGGTTGTTTTTTAAACATTCCAGTAGCCATCGTCTCCCCATCCTTAGATTGTGACCATCATTGTGTATTTATGTTTCACATGTGGAGCTGACAATCATCCCACACCCTCACAAAGAGCACTGAGGTTAATTAATGCTCACGGTCTGTCTCCGTTTTGCTTTTCTTGCACGGTTTTCTCAGAGATTTCAAAGCCATCATTCCTCTGCACTTCACTATGAGTGTGATTCATTAATCTTTTCTACATACTAATTACTTGATCCCTGACTCCTCTGGGTGTTTGGGAGATAAAAAGGATACAGGATGGAAACCAGAATCCAGCAGACTATTACTTTTTTGGAACACATTTATGTTCTGGAACATATGAGTCCCCGAGAGGGTTTGATTTCTGAAGGTTGATCAAACAGGACGGCGTAGAAAATGCTAACACTACACTGAGTGAGGGTGTGTTATTAAAGCTGAATGCAGCTACATTAGATCAGCGTCACATCCAGTGGTTTATTCTAGGCCTAAAATAGAAAATAAAAAGAGGATGAGGACTTTTTCCTAAAAATAAAGACAGCTTGGTGTTTTCTCCTGATCCACACTGGCTTCTTTGTGGCAAAAGTAGCTTTGACATCAACTGGGTCAAACATGAGGGAGGGGAGGGGCGGAGGGCAGCAGCTGGACCCAAACATCAATGTCACCCTTGTTAGCGACTTCATCAATGTCAGACCCAAGCCATTCGATTTATTTCACTTTTTGTCTGTGCATACTTCTTATCTCCTCTTTCTGAACATTAAAGTGTTGAGTCTATGAGTGCATGCTGACAATAAACAAGTTTACCACTACAGGTTATTGAGATGCATTCTGCAAAATACAACGTGCCCAAATCTAAACTGGTTTTCTAAATGATGATGAAAAAATACCCGTAAACCTTTCAAACCAGTTGCATATTTGAGTAAGCCTAACATTATCTTTGTTAGAAAAGCTCAAATGGCGTCCAGATCATTAAAAAACAACAAAGAAAGTTTAGATCAGGATTTTGGCCCTCTCCTCATCCCCCCCTTCCTCTTCCCAGTGGTCACATAAATAATGACTGGCAGCTGAAATGGGACTTTGTGACTTTAAGATCGGGGAGATGTGGTCTATCTATTGTTGATGAGACAAAAGCGCGAGTCAGATTCATATAGGAGTGGCGGGGAATAACTTCTCATATCCTCATATCACAGTCACAAAGGCATCTAGCTAAAACCTCAATATCCCACGCACTTCTTTCTGGACATGGGTGAGTGCACAGAATTTTTAATAACCCTTATCATTTCTTATTAATGTGCTTTGAAAATGATGAATTTCAATAACTTGTTGCCTTTTTTTAATATGCCTCTTCTGTCCTTAGACATCACGTTGCCCTCATGCACTGTGTGCAGAGCATGCTGCAAACTAATCAAGTGTTTTCATTTAGCAATGACTTTTTTATTATTTCCAAACAGCCTATTGATTTACCACTGATTCGCCTTTTCCCCTTGTTCCAACCATACAACTAAACTCAAGATGATTTAGAAGACTTGATAGATGACATCTCAAGGACTCAGCTGGGATTACTTTTCAGTGAAGAAAGAAGTGGTTGCCACCTCTAATGAGCTCTTTCTAACCATGATTCAAAAAGGATTCGGCGCGGTTGAGAGTGATGGGCAATAGCTCATCATGCCAAGGTCACGCCGGGTCACTCATGTTAGAGAGGTCAGATACTCCCACATGTGTCACGAGCAGAAATGAGAAACAGCAGACTTAAACAACTCCTACTAATCGATTTTCTTTATTAAAAAGCAACTTTTTCCTTTATTTTTTTTCATCAACTCTGATAAATTATTTAATCTAGTTTCAGCTGCTGGGGGATGGATTTTCTTCATTTTGCACAAAATTCAAGTGGAAGCTGTGGTGTCAGTTGTCACTCCATCACTACAACTAGCGCAGCAGCAGCAGCAGCTTATGTGTGGGCGTCTGCAAACACTATTATTTTGGGGACTATCACTCTTCCTGCTGTTTCTATTTATACTTAAGAAGCAGTTCTCCTAACTCACTGCCTCTCTGCGCTCTACCCAAAGCCTGATGGGAAACTAATGAACAGATTTTTCATGCGGATAGTTGCACCACCCCTAGGATTAAAGAATCTGTATCATCAAAACAAATTTTGAATAAGGTAGCTGTTGTTGTGACGATATTTAAATTACCCCCTTGCTCATTATGCTCCCACCCACTCTTTGAACACTTGAACTCATCTCCACCAGTGTTGACACTCAGTGGTACCAGCCTCAGTCAGCCGTGGATGAGGGATGGCCTGAGTCGTGACATTGCCAGTGGTGCTGAGATGGCCCTGTGACCCCCTCTGCCATCACGCACTACACTGTGTGTGTTTGTGTGTGTGCAGAGGCACGATAGACTTTGTTTGTGTGACATCACTGTCCTTTGTTCCTTCCCGATTGCTGCCAACACAATGGATGTTGTTTCTGCAGCCACAAAAGAGAAGCTGTCCTTTGATGAAAGTGTTTCTCCACCATCCCTGAGTGGCCTGGTGACGCTTGTGACCGCCGGAGAAAGAGGGCTGGACCAGATTTAGTGAGGGACAGAGCTGTGAGGTGTTGGCACAAGCAGAAGACCCTTTCACATACGAATGATATCAGCACAGAGAGTAGCAGTATTGTACAGTAGCAGCACCCTGTAGGCAGCACTGTACATCACTGGGATCTTTCTCGTTGTGGAGCACAGCGTCAGAGGCTGCAGATGTTTCCGGTCAGGCAGCCTTGGCTTTGCAGAGCCTTAGGTGCTTTTTTCTTTATCCCATTTCTGGCAATGCGTTTATTAACATTTTGGATTATTCCTGCCTGCTTGACCACAGCTGCTTAAACTGGAAGAGATTATTGGAAAGTGGCTGCTTACGTTTGGACGCTTTGTTGACCATCGCTGCTTGAACTCTTGTTTTTCACAGCTAATTCTTTAGTTTTGTCTGTTTTTCTGTTGCTTTCTTGCCTGTCGGTGGGGTTTTTGGTGCACGCTCATGGATTTGCAGACAGAACGAGGCCTTTTCCATAGCTCCCCAACAGGGTGAAAGAGATACCCCCCTCGCTTGCCTCCAACGTGGCGTTGATGTGTTGTGTGGTTTTATGTGCGGTGTGTGCCGCCTGTGTGCTGATATATTATGCCCCCTCAGGTTGTTATGATTGCTGTATCCGGTGCATTGGGGCAGTGCCCTACCCCTCCCTGGTGGCCACCCTGCTGTGCTATGCAGGCATGGCGTTATTTTGTGGCTGTGGACACGAAGCGCTGACCCAAACCGAAGTCCTCGTCGAGACTTACTTTGCCCGCAACATTCAGGACTATGTGGTCATGGCCTCTTTGTGAGTGAAGCTTCAAACCGTTTTGTTTGTTTCAGAAAAGGATTAGTGTCTACGTTTGACTGACTTTTTCCTGTAACCCTCCCAGTATCAAATACTTCCAGTATGTCATCTATGGTCTGGCTTCATTTTTCTTCCTCTACGGCATCCTGCTGCTTGCGGAGGGTTTCTACGCTACAAGTGCTGTCAAGCAGACTTTTGGAGAGTTCAGGAGCACCCAGTGTGGCCGCTGCCTCAGCCTGACGGTGAGCGCATGAGCGAGGGAGGAGGGAGGAAATACATGACGTCAGCTCATTGTCTAGACACGGAATGTTGATTTGTGTTGAGGCCCCTTAGATTAATGAAACATGAAGCCCTTGTTTGTATATTTTCTACCCAGAATCATGAAATATGGTTGATAGCTGATTTAATGGCACCACATTTGTCACAGTGACACCTGAGCACCAAGGCAACAGATCTATAATCATCCTGTTTCAACAGTTCATCATAGTGACATACATCTTGGCCTTCATCTGGCTTGCGGTGTTTGCCTTCACTGCCATCCCAGTCCTCTTCCTGTTCAACATGGAGCAGACCTGCCATGACATCAATATCCTGGCTGAGACCACCCCCAGCATTAATCAGCACAGCTGGATTTGTATGGACGCCAGGCAGTACGGTGGGTTGCTCTTCGTAATGACTGACCACATGGCCCCCTGATGAGCATGTTAATGTGTCCTTGATGGCAACGAACTAATCAATGGGGAGTGGCGGCAAGACGGATGGCTGAATTAGCAGCCAAACAATACAGACAATTCTTCACTGCTGTTTCGCCTGATGTGATGTGTGCAAACAGGGCTTTGCATGTGTCATAGCTTGTCATGATTCAGCATCTAGCTCTTACTTACGTCATGCCTTTGTTTCAGGGCTGCTTCCTTGGAATGCGATGCCAGGCAAGTCCTGTGGAATGACCTTGGCATCTATTTGCAAAACCAGCGAAGTGAGTGGATGTGCTGGATTTCTGTTTCAGTGCATCTTTGCATCGTCAATATGTGGAAATTTGTTCATGAATTTGAAAACTTAAATGAATTATGTTTGTTTTGTTTCACAGTTCCATCACACCTACGACTTGTATGTAGCTGCATTCGCCGGAGCTGGGATTACTCTCCTGGCACTGGTAAACGGTTCATTCATTACTCCAAATTATTTCTCATTTTGGTTTGGTTTGATTTCGCAAATTAAACTTACGATGGATAAATGGTGGTTTTTAACGGTTTGAATAAAAATCACGTCAGACCAAATAAACATTTGACATGAATAATTTGGGGAAATTGTGAAATCTTAACTTTGTTCTCATCAGAAACAATAATTTCTTTGTCTTAAATAGATTTCTCAGTCATTTTAAGTATGCTTTTGCATAAAGACTTCCTAAAAAGCCTCTGCTCTGTAAAATAGCCTTCGTGCCCTACAGGACTGACAAGCTAACAGCTAGTCAGAGTACCATCAGGACTAAGGGCCCTCATATACTTACTGCTCAACAATGCACATGGGTGTTTAAAATGGCTGCCACGCATCACATGCATTGATTTGAAGCATTGTTTGTGCGCACCAGCCAAAATCACCATGACACGTCCAAACTCTGCAGTATACGAGTAACCAACAGGTGGAGTTGACAAAACGAGCAAAACTCACTCACCATAGTGACTCCGTCTCTGGTTTGGAGGTCTTTCGCACCATCTGCGATACCGCTGCTGTCTCTTTTTCTATCGTGATCTCAAGATTAACCAGTTAGTGAGCTCTTTTATTGACACCATCTTTGTTTTGGTTGTACCCACAAACCTGGCTCTCCATTCGGTCTGAGTTCTCAATAGGGAGCCTAAGTCACACCCATCCACTTCCAGACCATGGGTCCCCGGAAGAACAAAAGAATGAATGCAAGTCAATGTGGCTAAAAACGCTATTTTCTAATCCTGCTTGTTATGTTCCATGGATTTCACATATGATTTCCGTGAATTTTAAAGAAGCATTGTGATACCAAGAAGGTGCTAATTTTCAAACGGGGGGAAAAGGCTATTTTAGGTTTTGTGTGAGAATAAGTCCAGGACTACAAATGCGCTTCATGATAGTGACGTCATCGCACCAGACACATAGAAAATTGAGGGAAAATAGCTGTAAGTTCAGCAAACTTCAAATCCTTCCCACAGGAGGAACGAACCACCATAAATCTGGTCATGTGGTAAGTAGCAGCTACGCTAGGGGAGAGGAGATTCTGTGGTGACGTCATATATGCGACGTGCCGATTTAGTCATGCTAATTACGAACTTTTACAAGCTGATAAATCTCAAAGTACGTGACTGGCGTGGTCAAAACACACATCATTACTTTTCATTTCAATTGCAGTACAACATATGTGCGATCCAGGGTGTAAGGCAAAGCGGATTAGAAAATGGCTCTTTTAGCCCCATTGACTTGTACTCATTTTTTCGTTCTTCTGGGGACCCATGAGCCGACCGGAAAGGTAGAAGACGTAAGCTCCCTATTGCGCCCCCTAGTGGAACACCCCAATACTACATGCAGTGCTGTGTAGCAGCAGGTATGTGAACAAAAACGCAGCCTGCGTCAACGGGAGATTAAACTGCTAGTATATCACAGCCCTAAGGTGCATTGCTGCCATCTTAAGACAGCTCCACTCTCTTAAACTTCATAGGATTTCATGCAAAGAAATGTTTTTATCATTTTCAGTTAGCATAATGTACATATTAACATCACCAACACAAATGTAGCTCTGGTTCATCCAAAGGTCAAATCCAGCAGTGATTTTGTAATTCTGACAAAAATAAGCAAGTGATGTCAAGATTTATGGAATTAAAATTCACATGAACCACTGTGATACTTTTTAGAAAAGAGCTGTTTTAGGATGGAAGTAGTACATTTTGGTTGAGCTCAAACTAGCCGTTAGCTCGTCAGTCCAGAAGTGTGTCAACACTATTTTGCTGAACTGAGGCCATTCAGGAAGACATCAGGAAAAATATTAGGGGAATACTACTTTAGCACAAAAACTAGCTTCAAAATGGCTCAAAAATCCTAACCCAAATTTAATGTCATGACTATGTCAGAGATTTATTTGTTTCACCATCATATTTTTTTCTAAATATCTAGAACAACTTTGTTTTATTTCCGTCCTTGTAGTTTCTGTACCTGGCTGCCACTGCCTACAACTATGCCGTCTTGCGGTTTCTGGGCAGAAAGGGAATCCGCTAAGTGCAACACATCCAAGAAATGGACCTTCAGCAGCACCTTCAACTCTAGATTTAAATTCTTCCTACTTCAAGCAGCAGCTTTTCAAACTTGGATCACAACTTCGCGTGAAATAACAGAAACACGTTTCTCGCTACGGTTGTGAACGAACAACAAACAGAGAGATGAAGATTACTCCTACCCTGTCATGTGCCCTGGCCTGCTTTTACGAGTCGTCCTCTCAGATGATTCTCTTAGATTTGTTGTTCATCTCCACTTCTGCTCTTGTTTTAATCCCTTCCTGGTGCTGATTGTAATGTTTCATGAATAATTAAGAACAATGACAGCTTGCTTTGCGAGTCGTAACTGTGTGCACAGTGTTCACCGATGTTGGATCTGAACTGGATGACGCTGCTGCCTCATTATCGCCATCTTGTCCGTCAACATTGTGGGACTGGAGCGAGAGAAACTGAATGTACAGGAGTTTCCCTTTAAGCTTGTCACCTCACAATAAATTAGCTGTGCATTCGCTCACCATCCATTTTTGCTTTGTTTAAATGCCACCATGCAAGGTGGTGTTTTAGTTACTAGCTACATAAAGAGTTGATTAAGTAACTGCTCTCTAGATGACTACTCTTGTGTGCTCTCATTTTGCAATTAAACCTTTTGAATCTGACGTGTTTACTTGTCATTTTATTTTAACCATGTTGTATTTTAATTGTGATTACAGCAGACAAACGATTCAATCACAAAATCCTTAATGTCTTCATTTTCAGATGAAGTAGTTTAGAAAAACACAGAGTGGAGCAACAGGCAGCACATTATTCCCCTTGACACACATAGTAGCTAGTCCAGATGAACAGCTTTCGTGAAGCAATCCTTGCAATGGATCAGATGTTTGTGCTGGAACATGGCAGTCAGCAAGTCTCCAAGGACCTTTGCACAAACGCCACACTGCAAAACATGCACAACTTTCAACTAAGAAATAACAGAAGTCACTTTTCTAAAATCACAGGTACCCCGTCTGAGAGTGAGGTGAAACAAACCTTAAGGCACTCTTCGTGGCAGACTATTGCAGGTTCATTCACTATGATCCTCACTTTTCCATCAATGGTTGTGTTACAGTAATAACAGGTCGATTCGCAAGACCTGATGCTGACATTTGAAGAAAATTACCAATGAATGAACAGTTTTTTTCTTGTTTAACGTGAGTTTGAAATCATAAACTAATTGTGCTTCAGAGATTATGTGAGGAATTGGAAACAAACCTGTCCTTTTTGGGAGTTTCTCTATTACATATCTCCCCTGCAGGCTTCTTAAGGTGATTCCTACTAAAAAAAAACAGCAAATATCACATTTGATTGAATAAAAGAAATTAAAATCTTGCCGTTTGAGCTCAATACTTGCACGATACTCACACGTTGGTGTCGTCAATCTTCCGCTTCTGCTCCTCTGGGAGGGTTTGTTCTGAATCTTTAGGTTTTGTTGATTCGTTGCTCGCTGCATCGAAATCTAAAGCATCAGTCGGATCAACGACTAGCTTGTTAACTAAATACTCCCGAGTGTCTGCAGCGGGCTCAAGTTCAAAAGCATCTTTTATATCCAGCACCATCACGTGGTCAAATGCATCCTCAAGTGGCGGCGTGATGCTGTCTTCAGGAGAGTTGAAATCAACGGATCGGACTTTGTGTTCAACTACCTCCTCGGTTCTGGTCTTTGGAGCTGGCTCTGCAGGAGCTGCAGCATTTACTTCACACACTGCAGACCTAAAAGAACTTTCAGCTGCAGGTGATTCAGGTAGAGTAATGGAAAGTGGTTGCACACTGATAAGCGGAGAAGCCTCTTGTGTAGGTGCTGCATTGACCACAGCAGGAGACTCCAACACTACACCAATAACTAAAACCTTGTTCTCATCCTGTTCTGCGGGATGGTTTTCACAGCTGCTCTCTGTAGGTGAATCCTTGGAAGGTTTAGCCAGTGAACTGCTTACAGATTTAACTGGTGGGGCTGAGTCCACCCTGGCGTGAAGAGAAGCATGTTTGCCTGCTTCAGCAGCAAGATCACTGGTTTCAGGCAGCAGCTTGGGCTTAAAGGGGGCAGACACTTTATTTGATTCTGCTGAAGGACATTTCTCTGAGCTACCTTTTGTAGACAAAACTTCAACACTTGCATCTTTCACAATTTCATTTTTTGCCTGCTCTGTTTTGGTCAAAGGTTCAACTTTAGGCTTCGGCTCAACTTGAGTTACAGCAGGAACTGTAGCAGGTACCGAGTTGGCTGATGTGCCGCCCTCAGCAGAAGCTTTTGTAACACAGCTTTCCACTTCAGCATCAGCTGAGCTCTTATCCTCAGTGTTATTCATATTTGATAGCTCAGTCGGTGCATCTACATGTTCTTTGACTTCTGCAGTTTTGTTGGCAGGTGATGGCTCTTCCTGCTTCACGGGAGACACCACATCATTATTCTGCTTTCCTAAAGCATCTGGTTGGGTTTGGTCTTCCTTTTTAACAACTTCACCAACTTTCTCATTGACGTTTACTCCAGGCTTGTCTACTAACACATTAGCTTCTACCTCTTTGTGTCCTCTGTTTGGAACTAATTTGTCTTCCTGAGCCTTATAATTTTGAACCAGCTGTTCTGTGGTTGACTGAAGCCTGAAAAACAAGGTGTTATTTATTACCAGTTATACAAAAATGATATTAAAAAAATAACAAGACAAGTACTAACTTTATATCTTCTTTGGTCTCCACTTGTGATTCCTTACTTGGAGCATCTTTTGAGACAGGATTAAATTTGCCCTGATTAGCTGAATCTCTACAAAAAAGCACAGCATTAAAGAAAAACCTTGAAAAAATAATACCACTTTCAATATCTTAACTAAGATTACTGCACATCTTAAGGAAGGATAAGTAAGCTCTGAGTCCCACGTTGCACACACACCCTTTGTTTGGAAAACGTGACGTCTTTTGAGCAGGGAGACTTGGTGCAGTATTTTCTGATCTAAAATTTAAGAACAAAAGACGTAATTAGAGATGAGTTTTGTCTTCCTTTGTCCTGTCCTTCTTGGTAATTGATCTATTATAACCAACAGACATTTTCATAAAAACTCTGACGTGAAAACACAACTAAAAGCTTCCACTTAGGATGGTTATTGATCATTGGTGAGAGGAAAATCATACAAGATAACAACAGATTACTTTGTGAAATGTATTTAAATCCAAATGTTGTCAACTACAATAAAAATGTCACTACACTGTGTGTTTGGACAGTAATTCTGTCCTTTATATAAAACAAAAGATATGAGATGTTGTTTACATGCATGAGCGCAGAAACTAAACTGCATCAGAAGATAAGCATTGTTTATAGATGAGCTTAGTAACCAAGAACAGATGTGATAAACTATGCTTTAAATGTCAACACGGTGTTCATTAACTATATAAATATTGCCAGACACATTGCTGTGAGATGAGAGGCTGGTAAATGAAAGGTTCACAAGAAGATTGTAATGCGATAACCACAGAGACTTGCCCACTAAAATAAAAAACTCACTAAGATTTGTGCAATACCGGATTTGCATATTATGTCTGTGTCTCTTACAGCAAGCTGCATAGTTCTGGAACCCACGTTTTCATTTTCATTTGTGGTCAAAGGTACCAGTAATAGCTTACTGCCTATGTATACATACACGTAGGCCACCTTTGTTATTATTTTCCTTCAAATTATTCTCTTACATTTTGGTGCTGCTGTGACAAGTGAATTTCCCAAATGTGGGATCAGTAAAGTCTATTCTATTCTATTCTATTCTATTCTATTCTATTCTATTCTATTCTATTCCATTCTATTCTATTCTGTTCTGTTCTGTTCTGTTCTGTTCATCATTAATGTCCATGACTTAAGAGTTACCTCTTATTTCATCCACACAAATATAAAACAAATGCATAATTTGCTTTTTCCTATTATTTTTAAATTGTCCAAAAGTCACAAATTAAAAAAATGTCAGATGTGATTTTCAGTTAGATGAATAAGTTTAAACTTATTCCAACACTAAGCATAATGCAAAGCAGCAGACAGACCAAACAACTCTCCAACCTACATTACAGAACAGACTTAAACCTGAACTCTTTAAAATAAAAATAGGGTTAAAATAAACTATGACTGCAAAATGTTATTCACAAATCTCTTTTCACTTACAAACAGTAATATATATATATATAATTATATATAATTATATTTATATTATTGTTGTTGTTAATAATAATAATAATAATAATAACATAACATAATAAGAACATTTCTAATTCACTATGTTCTTTTTCCTTTATTTTATTAACTACATATTACTGTGTTTCTCTCAAGAGCTCAAAGTTTTTATTAACAACACAAAGACTACAAAACTAATTAAAAATAGACAACAATCGCTGTTAAGATATTCTTTTCTTTCATTTGAAAACTGAGCTATTATGTTATTTCTTTGCAGTGTGGGGCTTGTTTTTATTTATTTATGAATTTTTTTACTTGCGCTTCGTTAGCCTAGAGAACTAGACCAATTTCTTGCTTGCAACGTTTATATAAAGAAATAATGCAATTAGTCTGGTTTGCCAGGCTTTTCTTTTGAAACCCATCCTTAGTCAACTTCCGGTTTTGTTCAGCGCTCTGACCTAACGTAATAGCTTCTTGCTAGTCGCAGATTCGTGGAAACGTGCGTAAACATGGAGACATCTGCGTATTGCTGTATGTTATTGAATATCTGAAGCTGGAATGCGTTTAGCGACTATTATAAATTACTTATTGTTAACTTTGCATTTCAGTTATATTCAAAAATAGCCCTCGGTGAGCACAACATAGCACGGAACACAAGGTAACGACTCTGCATCAAGGAGAAACCGGAAGCGAACTAAACATCTCCTAACGTTAACCGAATCTTCTTTATTTCGTAAGTGGCCTTTAATTTTTATTCCTGCATGCGTGGATGTGAGGAATGCGACAGCACAGTAATTTAAAAGAGTGGATGTTTTCATCACGAATGTGATTGGTCTCTTGTCAGTTCATGGTGAGTTCAGGTGCCCACGGTCATTTAGAAAAGCTAAGGTCATTTTTGGCTTTGAATATATTAAATGGCAGATTCACAATTAAAATGTCTGTGATTTTATATCTTCTTGCTGATGAATTGTTAATCTTGTCTTTAAAATGGTATTGTTAGATATGCTGATGTGTTTTTATGCACACTATAAAATCAATGATGTAGAAGGTTGTATGCCTACTGCAGTGATGCTTTATTGCTATTGGGTATTGTATTTTATAGTTTTAGCGTCTCTGTATCACATTTTATAATTTGGTTTTTAGTTTTGTATTTTTATGCTAATTAATTTATGCCTGGTTTTATGTTTCTTTTGCCTTCCTAGAAAGAAAATGCCATCAAGGAACCATCTTGACAAAGTTGGACGGAAGAAAAAGAAGAAATGGAGCGAGGAGGCCATGGAGCGAGCGCTGATCGAGGTGAAGTCAGGAAGGTGCACAGTGAGACAGGCTGCCAAGGAGTTTGGAGTCCCCAAGTCCTCGCTTGGCGATCGAGTCAGTGGGCGGGTGACACCAGGGAGCCGCAGCGGACCGGCTCAGCTCATCACATCTGCTGATGAGAAGCTCTTGGTAGATTTCTGCCTTTATATGTCCAAGCATGGGTTCCCACTTACCAAACAGCAGGTTGTGTCCTTTGCGTCCTCCATTTACAAACGGCGGCACAGGAGGGTGGCATTTTCTAAACTGGGCCAGACGTGGTGGCTCAATTTTAGAAAACGTCAAGAAAAGAACATTACTATTCAGCCAGCAGACAGCGTTGTGCGTGGGAGGACAGCGTGTGTGAGAACGGAAGCGGTGGATCAGTTTTTTCGCCTTTTGAACTCCGTGACAAACACACACGGGCTCAGAGACAAACCTCACCAAATCTACAGCTGCAGTGAGACGAGCTTCCAGCTGGGCAGGAAGAAGAACATCCTCCCAAAATCTATCAGTCTGGGCTGCAAGCCAGCACCAAGCTCGAGGGACCACATCTCCATCCTGGCCTGCTTTAATGCAGCTGCGGGAGACATTCCTCCATTTATTATCTACTCAAAGGCCTATCCTGGGGGGGTTTGTTACAAGACACAAGGACCGCCACATGCCCTCTATGGGTGGTCAGACTCAGGTTGCATCAACTCAGAACTCTTTAAGAAATGGTTTCTGAAGCATTTTCTCATCCACGCTCCAAAGGAACGTCCGCTGCTGTTGCTCTTGGATGGTCACAAGTCTCCTGTGAGCCTAGAGGTGGTGGAATCAGCTCGCAAGGAGGACATCATCCTGCTGAGCCTTCCTCCTCACTGCTCTCACATCCTGCAGCCGCTGGATGCTGGTCTGTTTGTGGTCCTTAAGCAGCACTTTGCGTCGCTCACAGGGACTGGTTGTGCTGCTGATTCCCACTTTACAGTCAGCAAAAAGGAGTTTTCAGGTGTATTTAAACAAACCTATCAGGTAACGAAGGAAGAGGAAGGTGTCATGATCGTAAAGGAGGGCTTTGGGAAGTGCGGCATCTATCCTCTGGACCACTTTGTCAATAATGACGTTCACCTGATGCCACCACACGGCCTCAGCCCTGCAGCTGGAACCTCATTGTTAATATCAGCACAAAGCGCGCCCTCTGTAGAGCTCGCAGCCACAGGACCCTCCTCCTAACTCATTACTTATCTATCAAACTGTCAGTACCTTTGAGGTGAGGGAGGTCAGTGCCTTTGAGGAAACCGCCACCGGCTGCATAATGCGGCAAAACCCAATCAACTCAGTGCCGCCGTTTAAAATGCTGAACGGGTTTACGCTCCGGTGGGAGAGTCATGCTCCACCTCCCCCAGCCTCCCAGCAGACGGCTCAGTTTGTCCTCCCATCAGGAGAAAAGGGGTGTGTGGCATTAATTACTTGGTTGGCGCTATGTTCAGATTTGACTTATTTTGTGATATTTGCACAAGTGTGTGAATGTTCCACTTCAGCGTCTTCCAGCTCTGATGGAAAGTAAATACACCTAGAGAAGTCCAAGGCTTTTCAAAGCTTTACAATTTTTCTATAAGGATGAAAGTCCTTTGTTTTGTGTCTTATAACACCTTCCCGTTGGTAAAAATAAATATTGTTTTATTTTTTTAAAAACTATGTGAACTACTGCTGTAGACGTACCAGTTTGAACTGATTTATTTTATTAATCTGTTTTTCTGTTGGAATTCCCTGATTTATGTCTCATTGTTTGAACTTTGCATTAGAAAATCCATAAACTGGGCAATTATCATTTCCAGCCAGCTGAATGACCGCTGCAGAAGCACAACCTGTCTTCAGCTAACAAACACAAACGTGTCACAGCCAGACGGTGGCTCCAGCCTGAGTTTAATCAGAATGACAGATGTGACATCTCTCGTCAGCAGTCATAATTACAGATGCAGACTGTCAGTGAGCGTGTGAGCAGGGAAACCAGCTCTTCTAGTTTCTAGAAGCTGCAGTGTGGGCTTGTAAAGCCACGGCTGAGGGCACAAAGAAGTGGTGACGAGCACAAACCTGACTGAAAGTTAAATTTCAACTTTGCACATTTTCTGGGAAAAATTCTGTCTGAAAATGACAGTTTCAGCTTTGTCATTACTTTTGAAAGAATGTATGTGAAGAATGAACTGAAACTTGAAGAAAAAATGTTGTCAGTAAAGAAAATTGTGAACAAAATGTTCAACAATTTTGTGCGTTAACCTCAATTCAAGGTAAATGACTTTTCAATGACTCCTAACAGCTTTACAAAGTGTTTCACAATGCATACACACAGACACACACACTGCGCTGGTGAAATTCATCACTATATAAATATGTATATTGCAATATTAAAAGCCAGATTTTATTTCCATTTTTCATGCAAAACGTAATTGGAAAACTTTGGCCTGACGCTTCCCAGACACATCCAGTGAGATCTCCTTCCAGCAGAGTTTGAATTGCACCACAAAAACAGTGAATGTTTGCATGTAAATTCTCAATAAAAAACATCGATTTTCTGCTTTTAAAGAGCAAGTTCACTGAGTAACCGTTTACTTGTTATTTCTGAAGTAGGATAGGTCACTGAGCTTCACATGTAGGCTAAACCTAAACATAGCCTTCAACTCCTATTTACTGCATTAGCCGCCAAAAGAAAATAGATGATACACTCTGGTGGGAAAAACAACACAGATCTGCGTTACTGTAAATTAGCCTTCATGGACCACCCACTTTGGCTCGCGACCACAGAAGATTGTTTATTTAGCGGCCATGGGAGCCAAACATGCCTGGACTACTAGCTAACTGCTAACATTAGCAACTCCACAACAATGGCTAACTTCTTCAGGCTTGTATTATTTGTCAAGATACTGCATCGATGTTGCAGAACGGAGGCAGTGGAAGAGTCATATTGTCACATTGCTGCTAGCCAATCGATGATGAGATGTCCAAATATGAATAATAATAAGACTTGAAATCCAGCTCTTTAGAGTCCACAGCTGATTTATTGAAATAGCGAATGAATAAAGCCTGATTTATACTTCTCCATCTGCATGGGTACAGAGACGCGCAACACCATCATGCATTCACAAAAGAGCTCTGGGGCAGAGGGTGATGGAGACGTTCTCAATTTTTTAACTATCCATCGAAAGCGACAGAGATTGCAAGCTTGTCATTGGTCAAGACGTCGCTTCCTTTAAACTCCTCCACCAGCAAAATTAAGAGTACCGAAGATATCTAGCGACAGACACGGCGTAGACTGAAGAACATCTTGCAGATGAAGTCCAACGATGCTAACGTTTATTCATCCTCGACTGAAAGAGTACAAAGATACACAGCAGACTTTTGATTGGTGGAAATGATAAGAAACGTGGGTTTTTAAGGTGGCAACTGCATGCAGAGGAGGGGGATAAGGGACAAAGTTGTCCATGTTAAAAAATCTCTGAATTATGTAAACAAAAAATAAACACACACAACAGTAAATGCACTATCATCGACCAGAGCAGTGGTTCCCAAACTCATTTAGCCGCGCACCCCCTTCTATGTCCCGACCATGTCGACCCAGCCCCCACATCAGGGCATGGCTATATATATATACCGGTATATATATATATATATATATATATATATATATATATATATATATATATATATATATATATATATACACATATATATATCAGGCGTCAAGCTAAACAGACAGGGTTAAAAAAATATGATCGACTTTTTTCCCCATCACTTTCATTTTTTAAACAGTAATTAATAAACATTTGATACCATTACAATTTCCTTTGATTTAATTTTAAATAAATATTTAGAGTGCCCAGGTAGCACATAAAAAATGCAATTTAACAGTTTTCTTAAAGTAGGAACGTTTAACCTGTGCGGCCAGAGCGCTCTCCTTCCTTCTGCTCTGCGTAAACCTGAGCTGATCACCTACTTGTGCGTAATCAAATGTCTATAGGGGAAAAGATGGAAAAGATATAGCCATGAGGTTCAATTTTGCCTCAGACCGACTTATTGCTGTTTTATGGTGTGGCTGAATCTGCGATCCGCTGCCACGCGGACTGGAATAACAAATGCTGCAGTAACATGAGTTGTAGTCAGGTTCGGAGTCACTGGCTGGAGCGGACCCAACTTAAATATGTCATCCCAAGAAGCTAATATCTTAATTTGACCTGGAATGAAAAATGTTATAAAACCTCTTAAAAGTTTTTATCACAGAGGAGGCAGCGCTCATTTCTGCTTTCAGTCTGACGGCACGCCGGAGTTTGCGCAGCCTGCGCGCTTATTGAATCTGTGTGTGTGTGTGTGTGTGTGTGTGTGTGTGTGTGTGTGTGTGTGTGTGTGTGTGTGTGTGTGTGTGTGTGTGTGTGTGTGTGTGTGTGTGTGTGTGTGTGTGTGTGTGTGTGCACGGCACAGCTCCATGAGCCGCTCAAGTCACCGCGTCTCGTTCTTGGCGCTATTTAAACCAATGTTGTAAAATTACTTCTGCCCAGCCCAGATGTGCTCACTTGTGCACCCGTGAGCCGTGGTTAAGCTGGAACGCGTCTGAACTCTGACAGACGCACTCTGAACTTCAGATCTTCAGCGCGCTGTTAATAGCCTGAATGGGAATCATTTCTTGATTTATTTTGTTACATCCACAATGTTCTGTGTGTGAGGTTTACAATGTCACAACACCTGCATGAGACAGGGTGTTAATTACAATCTGCCAGAATGACTCGCCACCTTCAGATTTCTCCAACATCGTTAAAAATGATCAAATACGGAACATATCGGTGTGCGCAGGCCAGAGCGCTGAAGCTCGACGCATTGTTATTAAGAAGCTAGGGCACATGCGGAGGACACACACATACTCGCGCGCAAAAATATTCTTGTTTTCAATTACATTTATTGTGCCCACTTACTTTTTCTTAGGCCCACCCACAAATGAGTTTCTGGCTACGCTAATGGTGACATATGACAGACTTCTCTGAGCTCCGCAGCCATTACACTTTTCACCTCGCGCACCCCCGCGCACCACACTTTGGGAATCCCTGGACCAGAGGACCCCCCCCCACACACACACAAAAAGCTCCCTGCCCTCTGTCGTCCTGGCGGGGAATTGATCATCACAATTCCCAGCCAAAGCAAATGCGTCTCTGTGGGTTAGGGCTAGTATAAATCAGAGCTTTAGATACGATTTCAGTCTGTGAAAAAAGTGAGGATTAAAACACAAATTTTCTGAGTGCAGCTTTTGAAAAGCAGATCTTCTGTAAATGTTAATTGGAACATTTTTACGACGTGAGAGACGACGTCCGGAATTCAAACTACTGATTTACGGTGTCAGCTTTCATTCCAAACCTTTTCCTGTAATTAAACACAAATAATTCGGTCTTCCTTTCTTGAGGGGGAAATACTTGTGTAAGTATTCAGATGAATGTTGAAGTACAGGTCACCGAGAGGTACACTGGTGCAGCAGAGCGGCCGAGGGCCAAGATACTGTTTATGTATGTTAATGTCACAGATGGGGACTTGTCCCTGAAGCCTGGAATATTTTATTTTTCACAGATGCAACGTTCAAAAGGACAGTCTTAGTCTGAGATGCAGAACTGGCACCAACAGATTCCAGTGATGTCAGGTTATTTTCACACAGTTCGTAATATTTGAATATATTTCTAGAAGAACTCACTCAAATTTCTTGGTCGCCTGCAGAACTAATTGACTCTTTTTTGCAGGAACAGGTTTAGTTTTCTCCTTTTGGATGACTCTGCAAGACAAGAGGAGTTGCTGTGATTGTGGCTGAATGGTTATTTCTTTAGAGGAGAATCTGTCATGTAATTGAGAGACATGAAACCTGATCAGCTTTAAAGGTGCATTATGTAAGAATAAAATAAAAATTACATCCTGTGGTAAAATTTTGTTGCTGCAACAACTCTGGAGATTTTTGTCATCAAATTACAAATGTGGGCACTGCAGCATTAGCTCGCAGGAGACATGGCAACCCCCCGCTCACTGATGGTAAACTGTAGTTTTGTCCCTCCTTCCTTTGTTTTGAAAGGAGAAAAACTGACCATCAGCCAGCTGGATATGAAAAATGTCTCAGTGTATCCTTCCTTCCAAAATGATTGAAACATTAGACTCTTTGGGGATTTTCTTACTGTAAAATTCTCACTATATTCTTACATACTGCACCTTTAATTACTGGTTGTAAAAACTCACGGATCCAGCTGGTTGTTTCCTGATCTGATCCAACTGCAGTCGTTCTTTACTGAGGTCTGCACTTTGATGTTTTTCAGCACCCCCTTTCTGTCAACTTCTAAAAGAAACAAATGTCTGTCAGCAATGGATCATAATCCTGTTCTTGTATTTGCTGCAATTGAATAAAAAAGCACAGCTTGCCTTCTGACATGATGCGGATGTTTCCCTCGATGCTCAGCCTGGAGATTCAGTCATGAAGTAATAAATTTATCACAGTCGGAATATCTTATTCTCTTCCTGTTGATTATTTCCATAATCCAGCTCCAAGCAATAACTCATCAATGCATCAAAAGTGATGTTTTACATTTTTGGCAGTTGAGCCAAAATCATATATTTAATTTTTTTTTTTAGTTATTTAAAAATAAAGCCTCTTGGTGTATTTACATCATCACACTCAGCATCTTTTCTCTTTTCTTGCTTTGGTCCTGTTTAACACCTTGAACTGCACTTAGTTTTTAATCTCTTTATAATGAATGTATGCGAAGACGTGCCAGCACCAATTAACCGGGTCAAATTTGCCATGCATAGAGAATGAAGTCAGTTCAGACTTAATGAGATCTCGCTGTGCGTAGAAGCCAGCGAGCATGAAATCAGAACAAGACGAAGGCCGCGTTGTACTCTCACCTGTTGGAGCGAAGTTGTCGGAGCAGATGGTGCCGAGCCACTTCTCAGCTGTTAACTAACGCAGGCAGGAAGGTGGTGATACCTGAACTCCAACATCCACTTCCCTGCAGTCTCAGAGTCCGCCCCCTCCGCTTTGTGTTGATGCCAAGTTCTGCATCAGGATGTTAAATCTTTATCAGTTGATCAAAGTGTGTGTGTGTGTGTGTGTGTGTGTGTGTGTGTGTGTGGTTTTACTTTTGTTCTGATGTGAAAAAACACATTCCAGAGATGGTAGCTCTTAGAACTCTTTCCAGTGAAGCAAACGTGAAAATAATTTTAATCTTTGTCTTCTACATGGAAGCTTTTAGTTTAGTTTCCCCACTGGTTCTGGTGAAAAACATTTCTTGAAAAACACTCCGTTCTTTTACAAAATATGTCAGGAATCAAGAAAGGCCTGATCTGGAACAACTTTAACCTGCGGCCTTATCAGACCGTTGCGATATCATTCCTGCTCAAAGAAAACGTGGCCATTATTTCCTACGACTGTTGCACACTCTGGTGTAACTTAACACCTCTTTAAACTGTAATATTTACACTTTGGTCCGTGGGTTTTTCAAAGTCACCGTCTGAGCGTTCATTCTTATCACATGTTATGAGGTCAGATATGTAAAGGTAAGGGAAGTCAGCAATATTTTCACTTTATCTCTTCATCTTTGTATTTATCTGAATGAGGACAACTTTCAAACAAACTTTGTCAGTAGGTTAGGGTTTAAAATAGGGATGCACAATATATTGGCATTAATATCGGTATTGGTCCGATACATTAAACTGGGCCAATATTAACTGATAATTTTTCCATCTTGTTTTCATTTGTTTATCTGTTTCAGAGGGTGAGGGAGGTGATGTGTAATTGTTTAGTCATGTGACAGTGATTGCAATCATCTAACAGTGTAAACATGTGTGGTGTGTGTACATAACGTCAATTCAGCTTTAATCTTTACAAATCTGTTGATCTTAGAAGCATTAATGTCAGTATATCGGTATTGGCAAACATCGGTTATCGGCCATAACAGCGATATATCAGATATTGGTATCAGCCCCAAAGTTTCATATCGGTGCATTGCACTGAAGATTTCTGTTTATTCAACTTTTCAGGAATATTTATGAGCTTCAGGTAAAAAAATGTCATAGCAGGAGGTCAGAAAATAATGAAATGCAAACCTGAACCATGATCACATACAAGACTAAACTGTGACCTTCTTTCATCGAAGGATTGCGTAATTATACCAGTCACTATGGTGTCATGTTGTGAGGTAAGTGTCTAACCCACGACTTACAGAATCAGTTCACAGACTACGGTCGGTTTTAAACAATAAATTAATGGAGAAAACAAGGGAGCAGCATAAATGTAGCTGAGATCTTCAACAGGAGTCGGGTGCAGGAATCTGCAGACAGATGGAGGTTAGATCCAGCTTGAAAAGGGCAACAGGGACTTTAGAAAACTGGGGAAGCACTAAGATTGGTCTGTAATTATCATACTGTAGTAAACAAGATTTGTGGTTTTCTTAATTTGAACACTACATTTTATTGACCTTGTAAACATCCATCCATCCATCCATTGTCTGAACCCGCTTTGTCCACGTAGGGTTGCGGTGGGCTGGTGCCTATCTCCAGCGGTCAATGGGCAATCAGGCGGGATATACCCTGGACAGAAAGCCAGTCCATCGCAGGGCAACACAGAGACACACAGGACAAACAATCATGCACGCACACACACACACACACACACACACACACACACACACACACACACACACACACACACACACACACACACACACACACACACACACACACACACACCTAAGGACTGTGGGAGGAAGCCGGAGTACCCGGAGAGAACCCACGCATGCACAGGGAGAACATGCAAACTCCATGCAGAAAGATCTCAGGCTGGGAAGTGAACCCAAGGCAACAGCTCTAACCACTGCGCAGCCGACCTCGTAAACAATGCAAGTAAAATAGGTTCTTGGAGTCCTGTCATGCCGGTCAAAATATGCACGATTTTTCTCCGATTGTTCCTGAACGCGTCTAGTTCCGGAAGTGACGCACCGTTGTGTACTGGAACGTTTCCTTTTCACTTTTGGAAGCAGCTTCGTAAGTGTTGTTGCTTTAAAAACGTATTTAAATGGTGTTGTTTATTTTAAGCTTTGTGTTTCAAACATGTTTACTCTCGTAATTATCTTGCATTGGGTTTTAAAAATAGGAAATGTTCCTTAAATTGCATTGTCACCCACGTTAGCCTGTTAGCAACTGATTAGCGGTGGAAGCTATCAAGCTAACTTGTGTTTTAAACAACATTTAGGAGGAAACTGATTGTTAAAGGTTTTAACTCATATTAACATTAGACTTATTATGATGTATATCTAAAATTACTTATTGTAATTTATGAATTGGTCAGTTATTTTCTGCTTTACGTTTTGCCAGAGCACGGCCATCAAAGATGACTACAGCTGCAAGACCAACATTTGAGCCGGCGAGAGGGGGTAGAGGAAAAGGAGAAGGGGATTTGAGTGCTCTTTCTAAGCAGTATTCCAGTCGGGATCTTCCAGGTCACACCAAGATCAAATACAGGTCAGAACAGTGGGTTCCAGTTTCTCAACCTTAAATATTTATTCGAACTACTTAAACTGTTTCTTTCATCTCAATTAAAAGGCAGCCTACCCAGGATGCCCCTGAGGAAGTGCGTGCCCGTGATTTTCGCCGAGAGCTGGAGGAGAGGGAGCGTGTAGCTGCTCGTGAGAAGACCAGAGAGAGGGGACCAAGAGGTGGATTTTTCTACTCATAATAAAGATTAGATCCAAAAAGAATGTATGCAAAGGTTTCTGGCATAGTTCCTTTAATCTGTATTGTGTTGATTTTATTTCTTCAGAGCACACCACATCATCTTCTTCATCATCAACATCTTCAAAAAGGCCCAGACTGGATCAGATCCCAGCAGCCAACCTTGATGCCGATGACCCTCTCACTGATGTAAGGATTTACATTGCAATACATCCCAGACTTACACTGGATAAAGTTATTAATCCATTTTTACATTACAGGATGACGAAGACGAGAACTCAGATGAAGAAAGTGATGATGACGACACTGCAGCCCTGCTGGCTGAACTTGAAAAAATTAAGAAAGAGCGAGCTGAAGAGCAAGAACGCAAAGTAAAGAGTTTTAAGTTTGTGTTTGCTTTGGCTATAAATGAAAAGTGATGTTATAGAGGATGGCTTAACCTCCGTGTGCTTTTCTTTTGTTATTTAGGAAAGAGAGCAGAAGGCAGAGGAAGAGAGGATTCGAATGGAAAATATTTTGAGTGGAAATCCATTGATAAATTTAGCAGGACAGCAACAGCAGCAGCAGCAACAACAACAACAGAGCCAAACTCAGAACACATTCAGAGTCAAGAGAAGGTATTTCTTATGTTCACTTGTAACAGCAAGAATGTTGGTTTTTTGTTTGTTTGCATTTGGAAAAACAAATATATTCCTTCACCACCACTAATAATTCTGATGTACTTCTAGGTGGGATGATGACGTAGTGTTCAAAAACTGCGCCAAAGGAGTGGATGAGGCGCGGAAAGAGAAACGTTTTGTCAACGACACGCTGCGCTCTGAGTTCCACAAGAAATTTATGGAGAAATATGTAAAGTAGAGGACTTTGTGTGTGTGTTTCATTTGATCTTTTTTAATTGAAAATGTTTTAGTTTCAAGCATTTTAATTGCAGCTGGCATTTATTTACAGTCTAACTAATTGGAAACCGTACTGTCTGCAGGTCAGTTGCTGTTTGCGTAAATCATGAAAGTTTGAAGCACATTTCAGAATGTGATTTCAGTATTTCTGTCATGCATTTTTCATTATTTGAATAAACATTGACTTTTTTTCCCTTGAATTACTTTGCATAATTTCACAGAAATAACAGATTGTGCATTTTTTAATTTTAAAGGGTAAATTAACTTTAAAAGTTAAGTTTTATAAAAAATGCTAGGGGTGGGGTGCCTAAAATCAGCACAGAAATGGGTATGAAGAGTGTTGCTTTTTATTTAACCCTCCACTCCCTAGTGCTTTTTTTTTGTGCAAAAGGTAATGGGTTTTGCAAAAGTTCAAGGATGTGGCGAGGGTTAAAAGATACTTTGTAACTTGTTCATATTTTTAGATAATTTTCTTGAGCCAGTATGTGCTAAAATAACCCTTCACAGTGTTAATGAAATGCCACCCAGCCCCTATCGCCCCCTGTGGCCAAAATATCCCACTTGCAGCTTCACAGTTGTTGGTCTGATCTGTTGAACTTAGAAGAACTTGAGCTGACATACCTGGCGCTGCAGTCTAGTTCCAGCAAGTTTCCTGCATGGTTTAGATCATGAACACAGCTGATTTGTTTCATTTAGTGATGAATCACTCCTGTAGACACTAATGAAGGCTGGGGAGACATTTCAGTTGTTTTAAGGTGTTAAAAAGATGAACACAGTGAGCAGATAAGTTTTGGTTCTACAAACGAACACTAGGGGGTGCTAAAAGCAAGCCAAAGATGCCTAATCTCCCTTGAAATCAACATCTTTCAGGCTGACCTGAGGTCTTATAATAAACAAGGGGGCAAAAAATTGCTGTTTAAAGGACAGTTTAAATTATTGGGAATTCATTGTGGGTTAAAACAAAAATAGAATAGAATGCCTTTATTGTCACTGTACAGGTGTAAATTGAGATACAGAGCATCTCCTACTCAGTGTAAAACAAACATACTTGGGGGGGGGGGGGGGGTACAGTTCTGCAGCGCTATGTACATATGGACGGTAATGTTATGTATTACAATTATTGCACATGGAATTTGGTATCAATAGATAGTGGTGGTCAATGGAGGAAGGGGGGGGGGGGGGGGCTGTGTTATCTGTGCATGTTTGAGTTCAGGGTGGTTATTGCTTTGGGGAAGAAACTGTTTTTGAGTCTGTGGGTTTTTGTATTAATGCACCTGTAGCGCTTCCCTGAGGGAAGCAGTCTGAACATGTTGAAGCCAGGATGGGAGCTGTCCTTGATGATGTTTGCTGCCCTACTGAGGCAGCGGGAGGAATAAATGTCCATCAGGGAGGGGAGAGGACAGCCGATGATCTTCTGTGCTGTCTTTACCACACTCTGAAGCCTCACTCTATCCGCCTTGGTGCAGCTGCCGTACCATACCGTGATACAGTAGGTTAGCAGGCTCTCAATGGACGAGCGGTAGAAGGTCAAAAAAGGTAATTACGATAATCAGCAGTTGAAACTGAAAAGGAATCTGACAATGTAAAGTATAGTTTTATACAGCAGAGTCTCACATTTACGTCCAAATGTTTAAATAAAATGTTGAAGCCTGTTTAAATTCACACAGTGAGACAAACTCTCCTAGGCAGTTTTGGCTTGCTTATAGCACCCCCTAGTGTCCATTAGTAGAACCGAAAGCTAAAACTCATCTTTTTAACAGGTGTGACCAAGTCACTGCTTTGCAAGTCACAAGTCTTTCCAGTCAAAGACATCCAAGTTGAGTCCAAAGTCAATGATGTGGAAGTCCAAGTCCTTAACTTTGAACTTTCAAGTCGTCTGTCCAACTTTAATTTAATGACGATGATAGTAAATTCCAGAAATAAAGCTTCTTAAAGCTTCATTTATTTGCTCAAACGAGCAGAAAGTGCAACTGAAACGGATTATAAACAAGATCAAACCCAGAACGAATAATGATTTATGATTTTTGTCCATGTCGTGCCACTTTGTACTGAAATATCAAATATGCTTGAGTCATCATCAAGTCAACAGATGCAAGTCGATTCAAGTTGCAAGTCATTGGTGTTCAAGTCCCAGTCATGTCGTAGGTCTTTACAGATTTGATCAAGTCAAGTCAGAAGTCATTCAAATAATGCCTCGAGTCTGACTCGAGTCCAAGTCATATGACTCGAGTCCACACCTCTGCCTTTTAACACCTTAATCTGACAGCTGAAATATCTCCTCAACCTTCATTAGTGACTAGAGGAGTGATTCATCACTAAATTCAACAAATTGGCTGTGTTCATGATTTAGAACATGCAGGAAACGTGCTGGAGGCAGACTGCAGCACCAGGTATGTCAGCTAATTTTTTTCCAAGTCCCAACAGAGTGGCCACAGGGGTGATAGGGGCTGGTGGCCCTTCATTAACCCTGTAAAGCAGGGGCCCTCAACTACATTTGTTCAAAGACCGGAGTTTTTTCCAGCAGCCACCATGAGGGCCAGATGCTCTACTAAAAAAAGGTCAAGTATTATTTTTGTTTATTTATTAATGTTTAAAATTGCTTCGTTTTCCATCTAAACTGTTTTGATTGTAGTTTTAGTTGTGTTAGGAGAACGTAAACATTTATTCATATTTGGGACATGAATTTTGCTGCTAAACGTTTGGGCCCAAAGGGTTGGGAGGTCAGTGGAAAGGTCTAGGCCGCCATTAAGGTTCACTGCTTTAAAGGGTCATTTTAGCACATACTGGCTCAAGAAGATTATTTAAAATATGAAAAAGTGGCAAATTATGACTTAAAAAATTACTTTGCGTAATTTTGTCTAAATCACCGCAACACACTGTCATAGGTAATTTTATATTATCCCTCAATGTGTTGAAGAGGTTGTAGGTTTTTGTATGCACACAGATTAATTTCTGAAAGAAAGAATACGTGTTTGTTATAATTATTTACATTATTAAGTACCTGTTTAACCTGAAGTAAACGCTTTTCAGCTGTGTGTGCCTGTGACGGCCAGCAGAGGGCGCCCCCTCCGACAGAATGCAGGGACAAGGGTTGGGAGGCTGCTGGGAAAAAATGGCAGCTTCCTTTTGTTTGTGGGTTTTTGCTGCGCTGTAGGGAGAGTTTAGAAGCAGTGTCCGGTTGAACGCGGACTTCCTTCGCATACTTTGGGTTTACACTGTCAGTTATCCCATCATCCCAATAGGAAAAACATGGAGAAAAGTGGGAGCATCGACAGTTTGGGCTCAAAGCCCTCCTCCAGACAACCAAGTGTTGATTCATTGTCCAGGTAGTAATTCCTCCACAAATGATTCTTTCTAAGCTAGTTTAAAGCTCTGAGACCACAGCGCTGCTTATTTATAAGCTTTATAACCCGTTTGTAACCTTTCTTAACTCGTGGTTGTTTGTATAGTTTTTATAAGACGGGTGTTAAGCCACCACAAATGAGGTCATCTAAATAAACATGTTGTTCCTGTAAGAGTGGTGTTCTAATAAATGAGGTTTATTCATCTAAAATGCTCAGGCAAAACATGCTTCAGGTTTTGCATCAAAAATAGAAACTAAGTGGTTTTTAAACTAAGTTTTTGAAATGTCAGGTTAGGTGACTGTGGTTTTGGGGCTACACATGTGCTGTAAAATGTGATCAAACGTGTAACAAACGCAATTTATTAAGCTTTATATGTGTCCATCTACTTAAACACTGCGATTTTCTCGTTTAGGTTGACATTTCTAGGAATACTGATGTGAATAAGTGTGAGTCGTTCACATTACAAATGCTCTCAACACCTTTTTTCTAGATTCAAATAGCTTTTAATGACCATTTTTAGAGTTAAATTCTTCAACACATCCATCACCACTTCCATGCACTGATGAAAATCCTACAAAATTAGCTCAGAACAGAAAGAACGCTGACGCAGGTGATGTTAGTTTTAGTAAAGTCTGTTTTCTTCTTAAAAGCAGAAAGAAACTAGGACTATTTAGTTTCATTAGTTATTGTTGTTTTTGCAGGGAATTAAGTCAAATAAAATCTTTTGTTTCACACAGGAAGTTCTTCAGTTGCAGCTTGAGCAGATCAACAAATGTGGCCTTGCAATGTTTGATAAGAAGTGAGGAAAAGCATCACAAGATGATGATGATGATTCAGGGTTGGACCCTGGAGAGATTTTGAGAGACCACTCAACAGACTGGTGTTTCTTCACCACGATGATGTGATTTTAAGTTTCTGGGAAAGCTCTAGTGTGGTCATTTTAAGCTTGTAATCAATCATTGATTGATTTTGTTTCATAGCTTGTTTGAGTTAATTCCCTGAGTTTTGAATTCAACATGACGCAATATAAAAGTCAGGGAATGCGTAATATTTTAATAAATATTTTTTAAATATAATTTTTATTAATAAAATGTTGACAAATGTAAGATTTGAAGCCAAAAATAGGTAAAAATTAAAATGAAGTCAGACCTATTAGCCCACATATTTTGTGCTTTGAATGGCTTCCAGCCTCGACCACGTCAGATCTCATCTTATTGTCTGTAAAACTGCGTTGAATCCATTTTTTTGTCTTGTAAGGTCAGCTGGCTGTGCTGGCCATCTGGAATCGGGTTGATTTTAAAATTGTAAATGTATGAGTACGTTTTATCAAAGCCACACTTTGCAAATCTTCATATTTTTAAACGATTTTATCGAGCCAGTATGTGCTAAAATGACCCTTTACAGTGATACTGAGATGCCACTCAGATCCCCACTGCCCTCTGTGGCCAGATTATCGCACTCGCAACTTCAGACTGGTGGTTGGCACTTAGAAAAATTGAGCTGACATGCCTGGCGCTGCAGTCTGGTTCCAGCACATTTCCTGCATGTTTTAGATCATAAACACGGCTGATTTGTTTCATTTACTGTTGAATCACTCCTGTAGACACTAATGAAGGCTGAGGAGACATTTTAGCTGTTAGAGCAAAGTGTTAAAAAGACACACACAGTGAGGAAATAAGTTTTGCTTTCGATTTGACCACAGAGTTAATAACTAACACCAGGGGGTGCTAAAAGCAAGCAAAATTGCCAAGTGTGCCTTTGAAGTCACACACAGGCAGAAGCATTATCACCAGTCTATTGTCCTTCAGCAGAGAGCAGTCTCTACACACATGCAGGATGACATTACATCATCAGATTAGTCCTCTTTGTTTATTCTAGATCTTCTCGTTTCCTTAAGTGAAGCTGAGGATTCTCAGCAGCAGTTCAGAAGTTGAACTATCAGAATAAAAGTGTCTGGTTAGTGCAAACACAAATAATATATATATTTTAAATCTGTCATCAGCACTTCCACCTCTCGCTCTGACCGCTCTGCCCAGGCCAAACACCTGTCTGCTTTGTCCTCCGAGTCCGTGTCAACCTCTGCTGAGTTTTCTCCAGAGCTCAGGGTTAGTAGCCTGCATCAATTCACCCTGCATCTTCATTAAAATGAGTGTTGATAGCTGAAGCACAACTCTCTCCTCATTTCTGCGTCCCTCAGGTCAAGCCCAAAGTCACTGCCAAGGTATGCTACTGTGTGAATTTTAATATCTGCACACGAAGCTGCGGAGAGCATCTAATGGCTTAAGGAGGCTGGCTTGAGGCTTGAGCGTGTTGAAGGGCTGATTGAGATCAAGCGCCTGCTTTGCATTTAATTGATATTGTTTTTGATGTTTCCAGAAGGTGCTTAGAGATTCAGACAAAGAAGAAGCACAGTTACTTCCAAATGAAACCGTACAGGATATGGGTAATTTAGTCTTCTCTGTTGCAGTTGCAGATCTAATAGAAACAGCCAACAAGAACGGTTCTTGAGTAAATCTGAATGTTGTCATGTTGTGTCTTTAGGTCAGGATGTCACATACTTCTGTCCTTTCACTGGAGCTCTGAGGGGAACGGTGATGGTTACCAATTACAGGCTCTTCTTCAAATCCATGGACAGGGTAGGTGTGGGGAGTATTGTGGATTCATTAACTCTGAAGGACGTTTTTGAATTAGTTTGTTCACTTGTTGGTTTCCAGGAGCCGGCTTTTGTGCTGGGTTTGCCTCTTGGGGTGGTGAGTCGTGTGGAAAAGATTGGAAATTCTTCGACCCGCGGAGATGTGTCGTATGGAGTCGTTTGTAAGGTAAGGTGGACGAATGAATAAAAGTGAGTCGTGGCACAGAGCTGCACAGACACGCAGTTAAAAATTTAACACAGATTTTATTTGGTTGAATGTGGAATCATAAGTAGCGTAAACAACCCTGCAGGAGCCTGCTGTAGCTAGCACTAACAACAAGCTAACGCTAACAAATAAGCCACAAATCAACAAGATCTACACCATTGAACAAACAATGTTATTACTTACAAGTCCTGTAGCAACAATGCCAGGTCACCATCAGCCCATGATTTCATAGCGTTTTCAGCCTCCTCAAGCTAGTGTAGACCGTGCAGATGTTTACTCTGGTTTTAGCTCTTTCCTCCACCTCCAAAGGTATTACGCTCGGAACACACCAGATGCGGAAGCGCAATGATGCGCCGCAAAGCGCAGTGGAACGACGAGCGCTTCAAATCGTGCCCTTGTTAACCTACGCTCTTGGTCACTTTAGCTGCGAAGCGCCACGAAGTTTCGCGCCATAAAGGCTCGCGCCATGCAGCGATCGTTTCGGGGTGAGCTCTAATTATTTCGTGAGCCTTCAGTGAGCCGCGTCAATTCTGGCAGGAAGTCAAACCAAAGCAGAAGAGGCAGGCCGGTAAATTTAATAAAATAAAAGACATTTTTCAAAATAAAATGCCACGATTGATAAATATGATCATTTTCGTGTATCTAAACAGACTAGAGAGATTACAATGAACAAACGTGCGCGCACACACACACAAACACACACACACACACACACACACACACACACACACACACACACACACACCTCCCTTGCTCACTGGATCCACTGCAGTTTGCATACCGGCTGAACAACTCGACCAAAGATGCTATTTCCACTGCACTTTACCTTTCCATCTCCCACTGGGGACTCTTACATCAGAGTGCTGTTCATAGACTTTAGCTCAGCACCCGACACCATTATCCCCTTAAAACCGTTTGACAAACTCAGCGAGTTGGGACTGAGTACCTCTCTATGCAAATGGATACTAGATTTTCTGTCAGAGAGGCCTCAGTCCCTCCAAATCGGTACCATCTCCAGCACCATTAGGCTGAGCACAGGAGCTCCTCTGGGCTGTGTTCTCAGCCCACTGTTGTTCACTCATCTGACACAGGACTGCACCGCCCTACACATCTGTAACCACATTGTTGAGTTTGCCGACGACACAACCACGGTTGAACTCATCAGCAGCAATGACGAGTCAGCATACAGAGATGAATTTCAGCAGCCAGTGCTCTGGTGCAGATGATTGTCGATTTCAGGAAGATTCGCTCCATCCACATTCCACTCAGCATCTGTAGTTCCATGGCAGAGACCATAAACAGCATCAAGTTCCTGGAAGATCGCATCTCAGAAGACCTCACCTGGTCTACTGACTCCACCTCCATCACCAAATAAGCCCAGCAGCACCTCCACATCTTGAGACACCTGAAGAGAGCCAACCTCCCTCCTCCCGTCCTCACTATGTTCCACTGGGGTACCATAGAGAGCATTCTGACCAGCGGTATTCTCGTGTGGTTCGGCAAATGCAATGTTGGTGATCTCAGCAAACTACAACGGATCGTTAAAGCAGCTGCCAAGGTCATTGGAACACCTCTCCCTCTGTTACAGGACATCTTCCATAACCGTTGCATCAGTAAGGCCTCCAGCATTGTGCATGACCCCTCACATCCCTCACATGGACTCTTTTCTGTCCTTCCATCTGGCAGATGCTACCGCAGCATCGGGGCCGATCCTCCAGACTGCAAAATAGCTTTTTCCCACAAGCCATCAGACTCCTGAACTCACTAACAGTCATGCCTCTTCCCCTACACACCCTCATGTAAACTGTTAATCGTCTCACACCACTGCACCTGTAAGACATGCTGCTTTATGGACAATGTCTGCTATTTTATGAACAATGTAGGTTATTGATAAGCTTTCTATGGTCACTTTTACTCCAGTTTTATGAGCTATTTTCTTTTTTCTTTTTAAACTACTTTTTAAACGTATTTATTAGCGTCTAAGTTGCACTGAGGAAACTGGATCCTCGTCATCTCGTCCCTCTGTATGCTGCATTGGATATAGCAGAGATGACAATAAAGTTTACTTTGACTTGACTTGACTAAATACTTTACTGTTGTGAGAGAAAATGTTAATGCAGCTGCTGTCTTTTGAAGTTGGCTCATGGCCTGCTGCTCCTCCGTTCTGCAGGACATGCGTAATCTACGATTTGCACACAAACAAATGGAGGACACACTCAGGAAGTCCATCTTTGAAGTCCTGATGAAATTTGCGTTTCCTTTTTCCAACGGCCTGGTGAGTGACTCATTCACTATTTTGCCATCTTTGCAGCAAGTGACCAAATAATCCATTACTCCACCACTCTCATCAGCAAATCTTTGCCTTTGAATATGGACAAGTCTTCCCTGAAAATGGATGGAAGGTGTATGATCCTGTCTCAGAGTACAGAAGACTGGTACGTTACAGTGAGTCTGGTAACTCGCAGGTTAAACTAAACTAATTACAACATTTGTTTAATAATGAAGGGGATACCTAATGAAAGCTGGAGAATAACAAAAGTCAACGATCACTATGAGCTCTGTGACACCTACCCGTCCACCCTGGCTGTTCCTGTCAACATACCAGACGAAGAGCTGAAGAGGGTGGCAGCTTTCAGAGCCAAGGGGAGGATTCCCGTAAGGATCCCTACCATCAGCATCCCTGTGCTTGCCCTCTCTACTGTGCTTGTTCTGATGTCCGCTCTGTGCAGGTGTTGTCTTGGATCCACCCAGAAAGTCAGGCCACAATAACGCGCTGCAGCCAGCCGATGGTCGGGGTGAACGGGAAACGCAGCAAAGAGGATGAGAAATATCTCCAGGCGATCATGGACGCTAATGCTCAGTCCCATAAACTTTTCATTTTTGATGCCAGACCCAGCGTCAACGCTGCTGCCAATAAGGTTTTTTCTTCTTCTAAAAAACATTAAAGGTTGCATGTAGCTGCAAAAGACTTCATTCTGCAGCAGAAAACTGTCTCACTTGTTCTTTCAGATGAAAGGAGGTGGGTTCGAAAGTGAGGATGCGTATCAAAATGCCGAGCTTGTGTTCTTGGAAATTCACAACATCCATGTGATGAGGGAGTCGCTCCGCAAGCTGAAGGACATTGTTTACCCGAACATCGAGGACTCGCACTGGCTTTCCAATCTGGAGTCCACCCACTGGCTCGAGCACATCAAGGTGAGCGTCAACAAACTGATGTTAAAATGGAGATGATTGCAGTTGCGTCCCTTTTATTTCTGGTTTTATAGCTGATCCTAGCAGGAGCGCTGAGGATTGCAGACAAAGTGGAGTCCGGGAAAACGTCCGTGGTGGTGCACTGCAGCGATGGCTGGGACCGCACGGCTCAGCTCACCTCCCTGTCCATGATCATGCTGGACGGTTACTATCGCACCATCCGTGGTTTCGAAGTGCTGCTGGAGAAGGAGTGGCTGAGCTTTGGTCATCGCTTCCAGCTGGTAAATACATGAAAAAAGTCATTTCATTTTACAAATCCTGCAGAAAACATTGGCCAGATCTGACGCGTCACCGATTGTCCATCTGATCCTGTCAGCGCATCGGTCACGGCGATAAAAACCACGCCGATGTAGACCGCTCACCCGTTTTTATTCAGTTCGTTGACTGCGTCTGGCAGCTGACTCATCAGGTAAGCTCTAACAGTAACAAAACAAGACTTTGATTTGTCAGAAAGCTGTAATATTAATTGGGTGGATTATGTTAAAGTTTCCAGCAGCTTTTGAGTTTAATGAATACTTCCTGGTCACCGTCCTGGATCACCTGTACAGCTGCCTGTTTGGGACATTTCTGTGGAACAGTGAACAGCAACGACTGAAGGAAGTAAGGTGGTTTTGTTTCTTAAAAATAAATAAATAAATCAAGGAGACATGCAAGAAGCCAAGTTTAACAAGTCCACCTTTCATTTTAAAGGAGATCCCTAAGAGGACGGTCTCTCTGTGGTCCTACGTCAACAGCCAGCTGGAGGAGTTCACCAATCCCTTGTACGTGAACTACTCCAACCACGTGCTGTTCCCTGTGGTGGGTTTACGCCACCTAGAGCTTTGGGTCGGCTATTACATCCGCTGGAACCCTCGCATGAGGCCTCAGGTATGCCACAAAACCTGCTTTTGCTTTAACTCACTTTTCAGCAACTCCACAAGTACACTACACTCTACATGTTACCCCCCCCTTTCTTCTGGAAGGAACCTGTTCACCAGCGCCACAAGGAGCTGTTAGCAAAGCGTGCAGAGCTTCAGAAAAGAGTGGACGAGCTGCAGCGGGAGGTGACAAATCGCTCTGTTTCTTCCTCCTCTGAGAGGGCGGGCTCACCCACCCGCTCCATCACGCCAGTGCAGACCTTCGTTTGACACAACTTGATGTTTGTGACCAGCTCAGAAGCAAAGTCCTTCCTGTGAGAGGCCACAGGAGGCATGAAGGAAGCGTGAGCCAAACACGTAATTGATACACTACCAACAAATAAAGCTGTGTAGAAAGGATGTGTGACCAAAAAAGGGCTATGCACCCTGTCGACTTACCTGCGATCAGGGTTTTTATTTAGATATAGTAAAAAATAAATACTCGGGTTAAATATTTATGCCTTACGTGCTTCATAGGAATACTCATTTAAAAGCACTACAGCTGATAACTTATGAATATTCTGCAAATGCTTACATTAAAGCTTAAACCGTCATTAAAGTAAATTAAAGAGGTGATTATATGTTCCTCTAAAATATACAAAATCATTGCAATGTGCATTGAAACCCTAATAAACGGTTGTGACCAAATAAATACGTGACTTTTTTACATTCCCCTAACTGAGCAACTCAAGTTTTCTAGGTTTACAATTTCTAAGAATCAAATATTATTTATTATCTTGCAGTCCTGACTTGTACTTCTAACTCGTTCCCTCTCACATTAAAGGTCTTTCCAGTTTTTCTCTAATAAGCTGCAAAAGGATATGCAATCATTCATTTCTGCCAAGTTATTCACTGAGTGTGTTAGTGTCGGCCTTTAAATGTGGCCACTTTTTACAACATGCTTGTTTTATAATAACTTAATGTGTAATGACACTTTTGTTTTAGTTTAATAAATCCAATAGTTAAATGAACACTCATGCCTTTTTGAATAATTGGGAGTCTAACCAGTTTGTGTGCATGGTTAGTGAATGATGAAAACACATTTTTCACTGTGTGTGTGAACATTCATAATCTGAGTTAGCCTCAGAGCTGCGCGTGACCCTGATGGAAACACAGCACACTTCTTAAATGTAGTGTGGCTCTAAAAATCACATTTTAATCTTGTTTTATTTCTACAGAGTAGCTTTGTAGACGTCCTACGCCCAGTAGTACACTCACTGTCCTTTGATTTTTCTCTCAATGTGTTTCTTTTCTGCTTCTATGAGTTCCGCTGCATTTGCACTGATAGCATCGACATACAGCTAATAAAGTTTCAAACCTCCACACAGGTAAAAGTGAGGCTGTCTCTCTTTAAAGTGACTGCGTGTATTTTCCCTGGCAATGGGGGGGCATTGCAAACAAGCGGTTTGTTTATGTTCAAGTAAGACCTTACCAACGGATGGCCATTAGGGTCAAAAATCCCTGGGAGCACAATGTCCAGCAAAAAGAGAAGAGCATCAGACTCCCTTTAATCACTGACAACGAGGGAAGAGGTAAACATGTAAAACAACAACTTTTATTAATGGGGACAGATTTGTAACCATTTGTTACAAATCAATAAATGTGTTTTGTCCTCCTGGGCTCCCGTAGAAGGAAACATTACGTCTAATATGGTGTCACCCAGAGACCAGGGCCCAATACCAATACTCGCTCTAAGGTCTTCAGCAAAGCGCACTTAGAGGAAGGGCAGTAAGGTTTTGAGTGTGTGGTACACAAGTGTGTTAATAAGTGCTGAATAGGGACACATTCTGGGATGCTGGTTTCTTTGATGCTTTAAAAAAATCTTTAACAACGTTCAAACAAACACGCAGACAATAATTTGAAATAAATTTACATTCATTGCTGCTTTTTCTAAAAGTTTCAGAGCATCAACTAATTGTCCTAAAATGAACTGCTTTCATTAGAAAACACATATTTTCAGAAAAGGCCTTTGAGCCTTTTCTGCCGCAGTAAGAGATTGTGGGTAATGCACTTCATCCAAGGCTGCGTCGATGCAGACTTGGGTGAAGTGCGGATGAAGAGTGTAAAAGGGGGGTGATCAGCTTCTGCACTTAAAAATCTGGACACTCTACGCACTTGCACCCCTGGTCGGGATCGAGGAATTGATGGGAGCAAGTGTGTAAGTGTGAGTATTGGGATTGGGCCTTCGACCCGCTCCCATGTATTTTAGACCTGGTTTTTGTGGTTATATGTTACAAAGGTGCCAATATTTCTCAACAATTTTCACCAACATTTCAATGTTTTTTTCCAGAGACTAACTGTGAAGAATACACACTGTCACTTTAAAGTTAGAATTTGTAAATGGATTGCAGTAACATCAACTGTCAAACTGCTTTAAACTATTTAATAAAACTAATGATAATAGTATGTGTCATTTATTTTTATTTATCTCTGTTGTAAGCAGAATAAAATGTCTTATGTATTTTGAAAAAATTAAGTTAAACATTGCTAACTTGTTTATAAGTTTCCTTAGAATTACATATTAATAAAATAAGTAAACACAAAGTCAGAAATGGAGCAGGACACCACTGGGAGAAATGCCACACCCATCCGTCAGGCAAACAAATACAGCTTTACCAGAACACCTGTGCATACACCCATCTGCCTCTTCATTGGCTGAACTGTGTGCACCTTGTCACCGATGGTCACACACGCTGTCTATAAGGAATTTACATCTAATACTTTGGTCAGCAGAACTCAATCCTTTAGAATCTGGCTTCTGAGAGTAAAGATTGTCCGCTTTCTGGCGGACAGAAGCCAATACTGCAGCTTGATGAAGCTAAACAAGACATAACTTGTTAGCACTTCCTGTGAATTCTTTCAAAATAAAACACTTAAAAATGACTACAGTTTTTACACCATAGTCTAAGAGATTTTTCCTATAATTAAGTTATTAATAGATCATATAAAATAAATAGATTTAGTAACAATTTTACTAGCATATGTTTGTAATTTATTATAAAACATGTCAGATAAAATTTTGTTTTAATTTCACAACCAGTAAATACCAGGCTAGACAACATCTCATAAACAACGACATCCATACAGATATTGAAATTCTTTAGAAAAAGTACACATTTTTGTTTTATAAAAACATGAATGTATTAGAATTTCACAATAAACGTGTTTTTAACAATAATTGCATGAACAACAAATAAAAGAAAAACCAAACACACTTAAAATAACCATTAACAAATCAAGGTATTTTTTTCCAGTTTTTTTTTTGTCTAATAAAACTCAATTTACCTAATTGTAATTGGGTACTTGACTGGTGTCAACATATTCTGTCTATAATGGATTTATATGTATTAATTAGGTCAAATAGACAGAAAGATAGAAGTCAGTCCTTTTGTAGCTGGCTTTTGAGAGTAAAGGATTTTTTTCCACCTTCTAGTGGGCACAAGCTGTTACTACAGCTTTCAGATAATGGTGCTTCGATTTACCTCAGAAGTCGGAACTGGGAATGGTGTTCACACCACCAGAGTTAACCGTGTTCTGGTTACCGTAGTTGGAGAAATCAGGATTCCAATATGGCGACGCACGCCTGCCAAATATAGCCATTGTTTGTAGATTCCTCTTAATAACGTAGTTGTAAGCTGTATGTTCAACATGCAAACAAACTTTTAGTATTTTCAGCTTAGAGTTGCAAGCACTACATAACATTGTTTTTTAATGCATTCTTATAAGTGTGTTTTGTAAATATTTCAGCCAAAAGTTACTGTTGTTGATGTGGAGAGCTGCCATTTTGGATGTTGAGGTCGGAGTTCTGAAATCTTTCCGAGTTTCCAACTGGGAGGTCTGACTTTGGGGGCATTTCATTTGAATTTTCCTACTCGAATCACGGGATTTCTGAGTTACAAGGACAAATCGAACGCATCATTACTCTTCAGTTTTTCCCATAGACTGTACATACCTGTAGATTCATCTAGGCAGTTTTTACTGCTTTTAGCACCCCCTGGTGTCCGTTTGTAGAACCGAAAGCAAAACCTATCTCCTGTAGTGATGGGAATTCCGGCTCTTTTTAGAGAGCCGGTTCTTTTGGCTCAGCTCACCAAAAAGAGCCGGCTCTTTCGGCTCCCAAGTGGCTCCTTAGATTTTCTGTTGCGTAGAGTACATTTATAATCAAAATAATGCAAAACTATATGTAAAATAATTTACTAATGTAAAAAAATGCAATATATCAAATATTTATCATTTCTATGGATTTAATAACTGGACACTTTCAGAAATCTCCACTTTCCGACTGCTGGCGCTCATTTTCTCACCGTCTTCGTCGCACTTTCCTCCCTCTCTCTCGCCTTTTTCCTCCTCCTCATTGCCTCTCGTCTCCCTCCGCCCGCATGTGCTCTGCTGTGTGTCTGAGTCTGATCCTCCCTCTTCCCCGCCCCTTCTGCTCTGTGTGTGGACAGTCTGGACACGCATGCTGACCAATCGCCTGTAGCTTTCACCAAAGCAAAAGGGGAGGGGGGAGGGGAGGGGACGGCTCCCAATGACGAGCCGGCTCCCGTCGTTCACTTCAAAGAGCCGGCTCTTAGAGCCGGTTCGTTCGCGACCGACACATCACTAATCTCCTGCTGTGCGTTCAGTCAGTTGAAATGTCTCCCCAGCCTTCCTTAGTGCCCAGTGACTAATCACTAAATGAAACATATCAGCTGTGTTCATGATCTAAAACATGCAAGAAATGTGCTGGAACCAGACTGCAGCACAGCTCAAAATGTTCTAGTCTCAACAGAGCTGCATTCCCCATTCTGAGGTTGCAAGTGTGAATATTCTGGCCACAGAATGGGGCTGGATGGCCTTTCATTAACCATGTTAAGGGTCATTTTAGCACATACTGGCTCAAGAAAATGATTTTAAAATGTGAAAGATTTGCATAGTGTGGCTTTAAAATAAAACCTACTACACATAAAACTCCAAATAAAATACCATGGCCTTTTTGGTGTTGGCAACTGGGAAACCCCCTCTAACAGTCTTTTTTTTCTTTTTATTTCGCTAAAACGCTATCAAAGTAGCATTTATGTTACAGTAAACCGCAGTAAACACTGCTCGTGACGTAGAAACGCGTTGAAATATCTGGACCTGTGATTGGCTCTGTGCATTTCAAAATGTGAATCCCGCAGACACAATGTTTTGTCGCGATAGGTTTCCTTCCTTCTTCGGGAGCTGTCGGCCACTTCCGGTTGCATGACGACTAACGGCGTTGACAAAAAAAGAGAGACTGGAAAATAGTAGGAAAATACATTTCTAACCGTGAACAGCGGAAACTTAACCTCAATGTGGTGGTCGTTTAGCCGGGGTTTCTTATGTGGCGACAGAACTACAAGCTAATGTCAAGTCGGTGCAGCTGTATAACGTGTGACATACCCCAAATATCTGGAGTTTATTGTTCTTCGCCTTCTCCCTCCAGCTGAGCTATTTCTGTTTAGCGTGCTACGCTACCGAGCTAACTGACGGTGGACCAGCGCTGGATGCCAGCACGGTGTGTGTTCTTAGCTCTCGGTTTAGCAAGCGGCTAGAAAGAAAACAACGCGGTTAATCCGTTCAGTTCGCAGCTGGACTCGGCTTTCCTGTTGCTAACTCTGTGGCTCCAGTCGGACGAGGATGGCAACGTCGGCTCTGTATGCCTGTACGAAGTGTAACCAGCGGTACCCCTTCGAGGAGCTGTCGCAGGGCCAGCAACTGTGCAAGGTTAGTGTGTGAAGACACAAACAACAACAAGACTAATGGCTGTAGATCTGCGCGTGTTCTTGCCACCCTGTTCGGATCTAGCAAAGCACAGATTATGTAACAAGCTGCAAAACTTCCATTTAGACGTCTTGTGTCAGTTTAACTTTTAAAATACATTTAGGAACATCTGAACCAAAGTGTTCTACAGCTAAATATAATTTATAAAGTAACCAGAACACCGATTTAACAAAGATGAAACAGCTTAAAAACATCAGAACTTTTAAAACCAAAAGCCAGGGGGCAATGTGAGTCCGAAGCAGAGATTGATGTGGCAAGACAAGTTATCCCAGAATCCCGATTACCATGATGTTATAGGATCGTAGAAATTGGCTGACTGACCATATGATCGTTGGGGATGTTTAATTTTAAAGAGATGCTAAATCAGGGACCCATTTATCAAAATTATTGGTGTGTTGTAAATGTTTTAAACAACACTGAGATAGCTGGTCCTAACCCACATTCCAGGCCTTTCATTTGTCTAATCCAGACATGACAAAGTCAAGAATAAGTGTTAAAAGTTTGAGTTTACAGACCAAAAGACTAATCTTACTTTAGAATGAGTTTAACATGACTCTGCCACTGTAATTGTGGTTTAAGTCATTAACTACTGTCCAACTTATTATATACAGAAAACCCATATTTCCTCACGCTACAATAGACAGACCTGTAGCTGTTCATCAAACGTTTCTCCAAACTTCTGAGTTTATTAAATACTTGTATTTAAATCAACACATTTTGATCATCTAAATGTTTGCTAATGGGACCTAGAGTAATTATGTTGTACATATTTTTAGTTCTTGTTTTGTTAACGCATTTGGCAGATGCTTTTGTCCAACGTTATGATCAATTCTGTAGGGAAAAGTAAAATCAGTGAGTTATTCCTTTGTTTTCTAATTTTAATAATACTTTAAGCGTCTTTCAAATGTAAAAAATACTTTTTATCTTACAGGATATTAAGTACAAAAAGTCACTGCCGTAAATAAAGTTTGTTTGTTTGTTTTAAGATGTAGATAAACTAGATTAAGTCATTTAACCTATCTTTTCTTTCCTGTAATATTGGGTTTGATAATACGTTTGCAAAAGTCAAATGCTGACATTTCCACTTATTGCAATCAAGACAAGAGGTCCTGTGCAGCACACACTGTCCAACTGTGGAGATACACACCCAAGTCTTGTGTCCATTGTAATAGTCATCAGGGGAGGATGAGGGGATGAAAGTCACTGTTTTGTTTGTGGTAATGCAGGAGTGTCGCATCGCACATCCAATAGTGAAGTGTACGTACTGCAGATCTGAGTTCCAGCAGGAGAGGTGAGATGTGTGCCTCACCACCGTAAACATACTACGCTACTGTGCTTTGTGTTCGTTTGATGTAGATTTAATCTTTTGCTTGTTTTTCTTCAGTAAAACAAACACAATCTGCAAGAAGTGTGCCCAGAACGTGAAACAGTTTGGAACGGTACGCAGCAGATTCTTTTTCTACCTTGCACCACTGTTGTGTGCTGACTTCAGCTTCATTTGTGGACCAAGTACCATTAAATGAATAATTTGGTATCCAATTCACTTTATTGGTTGTGATTTATTTAGATAAAGGCAAAAATTTTTGCCAGTGAATGCGACCTTAAACTGGACATTGGTTTATGTTCTTTGGTGTTTTTTAGGCAATTGCAATCATAATATATTCAGTGTTTTCTTTCTGTTTTTATAGCCCAAACCGTGCCAGTATTGTAACATCATTGCAGCTTTCATCGGGACAAAGTGCCAGCGTTGCACTAACTCAGAGAAGAAATATGGACCTCCACAGACGTGTGAACAGTGCAAACAGCAATGCGCTTTTGATCGTAAAGAGGAAGGCAGGAGAAAGGTATAAACATTGCATTCTTTCTGTCTGTCTGTGTTTACTGGAAATATGTTACTGTGAGTTTTTACGGGTCTCCTACTCGTGTTACAGGTGGATGGAAAGCTGCTGTGCTGGCTCTGTACTCTGTCTTACCGCCGTGTCCTGCAGAAGACTAAAGAGCAGAGGAAGGGCTTTGGTTCCTCCAACTCCTCGTCCCTGAACGAGAAAGACCACCACTCCAAATCGCACCACCATCACCATCATCACCATCATCATCACCACCCACACAGACACAGCAGTTCTCACCACAAGTATGTTCTCCGTGGCGTCACGTCTTTGTTCTATCTTGCAACATTCTCTGATTTGTGTTGATATTTATTTTGATTTCTGCTTTAATACGTTGATGAGCTCACCTTTTCTTCTATAAGGTTGTAATTAATTAAAATCAAGTACTTTACTGGTCAAGTGGAAAGAACTTTCCGTCCTAATGTGGCCCGGGAACCACCATTGTCTATATCAGATGGTGTTTGTTTATCTTTCACAGGCTGAGTGGGAGCCTAAGCCCCGAGCAGGAGCCGGGACTGTGGAAGCAAAGGTACAACTGCTCTTCTCACTTGAATTCATAAACGACATATGAAAGCTGTTTATTTAAATGTGTTTTGCTCACTTCCATCTGGCCTGACTTTGCAGCCATAAATCGTCTTCGATCCAGAAGGAGACCCCAAAGAAGAAACCAAAACTGGAGATGAAGCCATCTAATGGGGACAGGTAAAACCAGGAGTTCCTTTCTTCAGTCATTCTTTTAGATATAAATCGCATTAACCCTCTGAAGGCAGGCGTTGCAGATTTGCAACGTTAAAACCTACCTACCTGGTTACTCCACATATGTGTTTCATGAGCATTTTTAAACTCAGAAGTACCCCTGAAGTACTTAGTTGTTCGTCCTTTTATCTAAGCTTATTTTGAGCCTGAGAGGGTTAATGCATCATTTCCAATTTGATCCCAGCAGTAGTTCCATCACTCAGTCCATGGATTCTGGTGGAACAGACAACTTCATCCTCATCAGCCAGCTGAAAGAGGAAGTGATGTCACTAAAGAGACTTCTGCAGCAAAGGGACCAGACAATCCTGGAGAAGGACAGAAAGGTGAGCTTCCTGCACGACTAAGCTGTTCTTATTCGTCTGCAGTTTGGTTTGAATGATGACATTTCTCCTCAGCTTACAGAACTGAAAGCAGACTTTCAGTACCAGGAGTCCAGCATGAGAGTGAAGATGAACCAAATGGAAAAATCACACAAGGAGGCCATGGAGCAACAGCAGGTGGGCTTTCTAACATGTCACCTCTAGAAATGTCGAGTTGTGTTTTCTGGCTGTCAAGTACAAATATGAGGTCAAAAGTGCACACAAGCTCGTCAGACTTTGATATCAGTTACAAAGGAGTTGGAAAGTTTCCTTTTAAATGTCACTTTTCCGTTACAGCTGTATGACTGAGCCATCGAGCTCCCGGCGTTTTAGCTAATCGATTTCACCTGCATTAGATAAATGTCTTTGTTAGAATGGACAAAACCAAATGTTTTGTAACTGTTTGTCTATTTGAAGAAAAAGAAAGCATCTGTTCTAACACGTGTATGTATTTGTTTCCACAGACTAAGAACAGGGAGTTGATGAAACAAGTGGCTGCCCTGTCAAAGGGGAAAAAGTTTGACCGGACAGGAAGCTCGCTGCTGTTGCCCTAACAATAGGCCGAGCCGCGGGTAACAGCAACAGAGAGGCTTCTTTTTTGTAACACTGTGACCGTCTCCTTCCTGTGTGCCCTCATCACGTCAACATTGATTGCTTCTTAACTCTTGAAGCCAGAGATCACATTGTACAAGGAAACAAGTCGTTACATTAAAGAATCCTTTCTCCATATTAACATATTTTAGATATTCTATGGCTCTTTCTCCTTCAGGATCATCGGATGTAATTTTTAGAAAAACGTGGAAGGCGGAGCCCTCATTTCTGACACTGCCGGGCCAAAACACAAAGCGTGGTTTTGTGCTTTTGTGGCGAGCATTCTGGTGACTCTATCCACTTGTTTTTTTTTATAGATGTCATGCATTTATTTATTCGACTGTATTTCTTAGCATTGTTTTTATTCTCTCATAACATACCGAGAGGATGCTCCACGTTTTGGGGTTTTCAAAAGCAATTAAGTTATATTTTTCTAAATGGCTTGTGGAAGGCAAGCTCTCTTAAACAGATTTGTAACAACACAATGTATGCAAAACACCGAATGGGTTACTACTAAGCTGCTGCTCAGTGGAAGAGATCTCAGAAATCAGAAAACAACCTAGGTGTGCGCTGAATGGCTAAATGCCTCTCTGCAGCTCACTTCCTCACTGTGTGACAGCTTTGCTGTTTCTCTTTACTGGAACGATTGTAATAATGCATGATTTTACTGCCAGATACCGGAATGGCATTGTGTTCAGACTCCTTTACCTTCCTTTTACTTAGTTTTTTAAGAATCATTTGTACATGTATTTACTTGGGTCAACCATTGTATTTAAACCATTGCTTCTGTCTGTTTTAGTGAGTATGATATGTGTATGATATGGCCAGTTGACATTAATGTGTCGGTAGAAGATGCATTTGAAAGGAACACACCTACCACTTGACTCTACTAGGCTGGTGTCATACTGTGGTGTTCAGGATCACTTTTGTACTTTTTTCAATCTCAAGTGTTTAAAACTATTAAAACTGGCTAAACTGTCTCTGGGTGCTTGCATTATTGACCGATCGTCTATTTATTCTGTGATTTTATGATAACAAAAATGTCATTGTTATGCAATAATACACATTTAGCAAGGATGGTGTTAATAAAAGCCTAAAATCTTGGTCTTTTCATTCCAACACTAAATGATTGCACCTGTGCTTTACCTTTTTGTCAGTTGATTGTAAAGATTTGACATTAAAGATATCAAAAACTTTCACAAGCTACAGGGTAATTTATCTGAGGCTGTGATTTATTCTCATTTAAATTCAGGTTACTCAATTGGAAAAATAATAGTTGAGGTATGGAGTGATAGTGTAAAAAAACCACGACCTGCAGCTATCTGATCTGGTGCATATTATAAAATAGTTAAAAGATTTCCAAAGAAACAGAAACATGAAATTGTAGAAAGGAAGGAAGCAGCATTCAAAGTTTGAAGAGCATCAACACATCTTATAGAAAGGTAAAGTTTTAGTACTGAAATTGCAGTTGCTAACCTTTATTTCTTATTTATTTTAGCTGTATTTTAATTTATGTTGTTTACATATTTAATTATTTGGGGATTTAGTATTTGGTGGCATTTAGTTTCCTGGTCCACGCTCTACTCCAGTAGGGGGCAGTAATGCAACATAACGTTGCGTGCCAATCACGGGAATACATCCGGGTCACTAGATACTTCCGCTCCGTTGCAGGGTCGCATCTGTTTGACGCAAATAAAAACAAATGTCTGTGTTTAAATCGGTTACGTTAGAATTCTCGTAAATATATATATATATATACATATAAATGTGTGTGTATATATATATATATATTATCTTTAACGTTAACGTGAGTACAGGGAAAAAAATATAGAATTTGTTTAAGCTAACTAGTCTTAACATTAGCTATCATTTTAGCTTTTAGCTGCTAACATTAGCATTCAGTAAAAAAATATTAAACTGGCTTTAAAAAGTCTTCAAAAAAGACTAGAGAGGTCCGAAAAAGTAAGTGATGCTTAAATATTTTATCATGTTTATAACGATAGACGTTGCAAAATATGTAAGTGTCATTGCGCACTCAGTTAGTTTTGTGTGGTTTTCAGAGGAGGGTTCAAGTAAATCAATTCTGGGAATGTTCTTTGCGTAGGATGTCGGATTCAGACAGCGACGAGGACCAGGATCGTCCCTTTTCCCTTACTGGTTTCCTCTTTGGAAACATCAACGAAGATGGACAGTTAGAGGGAGACAGTGTTCTGGACAATGTGGGTGTTTCTAAGACATTTCCGTGCTTAAAATTAATCTATTTTGCCATTATATCACGGTGTGGCTTTTTGATGTACACATGTTTTTTCCTGATCTTTAACCAGGAGTCTAAAAAGCACCTAGCTGGTTTGGGGAGTCTGGGTCTGGGCTCTCTCATTACTGAGATTACTGCCAATGAGGATGAGGGAAAAGAGGAGCACAGAGACCCTGGAAGTGTGGATTCAGAGGGTGAGTAGAGATGTTTCAAAGACCTTAACATGACAGCAATGTGAATACAAAATTGATTTCAGATTTACTTCCGCTTGCAGGTTGGGTGAAAAGCACAGACGATGCAGTCGATTATTCTGACATCAGTGAGGTTGCTGAGGATGAGACTAAAAAATACTATCAGGCCATGGGATCTTTGCAGCCAAGCAGAAAAACAGGTGATCATCTGCTGAGCGTGAGACTAAAAACAGCTTTGTAGTGACAGAAAATGTTTTAAAGAATGTAAAAGTTTTGAAATAAGCTGCAAAAGATCATTTACTTTTGTTTCAATTACTTTTTTATAGAATTAAATCAAAATTTTAATAACAAAACTAATAAAATATTGGTAGTTCAAAAGAGAAAACATTGTAGTATTTTTTTTTCCTGTATACATTTTGTTAATCTTCCTGTTTTGGACATAAAATCTACTCTTTTGGAATTTGTTTACCTCTATTTTGTGTTTATGACATGCCTTTCCAAACTTCTGAATCCCAGATGATGATGATGAGGATGACTATGATGCAGACAGCGAGAATATTGATTCGAAGCTTATGCCTCCTCCACCACCACCAAGCATTCCCACGGCTGCTAAGAAAGAAGAACCCTCCACTCAGAGCACAAATGGTAAACACATAGCACGTCTAAATAGTGCCTGTAAAGTAATCGTGTTTGTCTTAAACAGATTGTTACCCTTACCAAGTTTATAGTAAGTCATGCAATAAATGAAGTTAGGTTTGATCATATTAAATCACAGAATTCAGAAGCTTAAGTTTAATTATCTGCTGCTGGGATGTGATTCTGTCTATTTTAGCAGCAAGTGAAGACAGCGATGGCATTATCCTTCCTTCTATTATTGCACCATCCTCCACTGGCGATAAGGTTGACTTCAGCAGCTCCTCAGACTCTGAGTCAGAAACCGACCGACCCTGTCAGGGTTCAGGAAGGGGAGGGCCCCCAGACATGCTCACCCTGCCTCTAGCTGGCATCATGCAGAAAGACGCTGCTAAAGCGTTGCCTGGTGTGACAGAGCTCTTCCCAGAGTTTAGGCCAGGCAAGGTAAAGCATTTTTAGAGGCACTAGAAGATAATTTTACAAGTTTTTTTTCTTTCCTTTTTATTTGTTATTTAAATTTTAATTTGAGTGTCTGAACTTTTTGTCTATTTACAAATAGGTACTGAGGTTCTTACGGCTGTTTGGTCCTGGAAAGAACATGCCATCAGTTTGGAGGAGTGCCCGCAGGAAAAAGAAGCGGAAACACAGGGATCCGCATCCTGGGACACCCCCTCCTGAAGGAGAAGGCTCGGAGCCGAACCAGGAGAAAAAGTCAGGATGGATTTCCGAGCTTGCACCCCCTCCACCTCCGGAGCAGTGTCTCTCCGACGATGAGGTAGAAGTGCTGTGATGTCAGCTCTTAGCAGCCTGGCTAAATGTCGCTGTGTCCATCACTTTATAGGCCTCCCTGTATTAAACAGATAACCATGATGGCTCCAGTGGAATCAAATTTCTCACAAGCTTGCGGTGATGTCGACAAAGAAGCTGAGTCTCGACCTAAAGTGGCAGAATGGAGATACGGTCCAGCTCAGCTGTGGTACGACATGTTAGGTGTTCCTGAGGATGGGAGCAGTTTTAACTACGGCTTCAAGCTTAAGGAGCAGCAGTCGGATGAGACAGAGAAGCCAGATCTACCCAAGGAGGTGACAGAGACTCCTCAGGAGGTATAAATACACTTCTCATTTTGTGTTAGACTGCTGTTTTTATGATTACGAAACAGATTTTGGGTCTTCTGTGTCTTTAGGATCGGAGGCAGGATAATGACAATCGCACAGAAGAAGATGATGATGTTGATGAAGATGAAACCAAATTGGCGCTAGAGAATGAGCTCTTCCTGATGGTCACTCAGCTGCAGTGGGAGGATGATATTATTTGGAATGGAGAGGATGTAAAACACAAGGGCACCAAGACTCAGAGAGCCAGTCTGGCAGGTTGGCTCCCATCCAGCATGACCCGCAACGCTAATGCTTACAACGCACAGCAGGGTAGGACAAAACACCCACCCTCGCTTTTTATTAGTTCAAGATGCGTTCTTAATAGAAATAAAATGATGTGTGCTTGACTCATCAGGTCTAACCAGAAGTAATTCCCAGCTGGTGCCACCAACGCCCCAGATCATTCCCAAAATTTCTTCAATTTCTGTCTCTAAACGGGAAAAAAGCATTCACGATAATCAAGGTAAGTGATTTTATTCCAACAGTATGTTACAGATAATAAGTACAAACAAAACAACATCTCTGACTCGTTCTTTTTGCAGTCTCCCAAGAAGAAGACTGTTCCTGGTTTTCCATTTTTCCCATTGACAATGAGGAGTTGGTCTACGGCCGGTGGGAGGACAACATCATCTGGGATGACCAGGAGATGGATCGCATGCTCACACCTCCGGTTCTCACTCTAGATCCTAATGATGAGAATATTATTCTGGGTTTGTTTTACATAAGATGATTTACTTTCAAGCTTTTTAAACTTCTCTCAATATTTCCTATAATGTTTTTCTGTGTTCCCATTTTGATTTATGCTACACTGCTTCCAGAAATTCCTGATGAGAAGGAAGAGATGACTTCTCACTCGCCGTCAAAAGAGAATAAGAAGGAAACTGCAATCAAGAAGAGTCGTATTCTGTTGGGAAAGACTGGGGTGATAAAAGATGAGCCCCAGCAGGTTTGTTGAGCCATGGAGGCAGATGATGTTTTAATTATGAAAAATGACAAACTTAAAGGTGTGAAATGGGCATTAATTACTGTTAAAATGTTCCCAGATCTGTAAAGCGAACGTATAATCAGCAAGGACAGTGAATTCAAACCAGCAGCATAAAAAACATCATAATTACCATAATTTTTCTTAATAAATATGAATGAATTAACCCATATTAAAGCCATACTCTGCAACTTTTAATTATTTTAAAGTAATGTTCTTGAGCCAGTTTGTGCTAAAACTACCCTTTAGAGTAATGAAATGTCACTAAGACCCCTACTGCCCTCTGTGGCCAGAATACCGCACTTGCAACTTCAGAGTGGTTTTAGAAAAAAATGGAGCTGACTTGCCTGGCACTGGAGTCTGCTTACAGCACAGTTCCTACATGTTTCAGATCATGCAGATCAGATTAGTTTGGTTTAGTGATGAATCACTCCTGCAGAAAATAATGAAGGCTGGGGAGATATTTCAGCTGTTAGATTAAGGTGCTAAAAAGGAAGAGATAAGTTTTGCTTTTGGTTCTACTAAACGGACACTAGGGGGTGATAAAAGCAAGTCAAAACTGCCAAGTGTGCCTTTAAGATGTCATTACTCATAATGAGGTCTTGTGTTTTTTTCTGACATCTCAGAACATGTCCCAGCCCGAGGTTAAAGATCCCTGGAACCTTTCCAACGATGAGTTCTACTATCCCAAACAGCAGGGCCTGAGAGGAACCTTCGGAGGCAACATCATTCAAGTGAGAAGTTACACACACACACACACACACACACACACACACACACACACAAGCTGCTAGAATCTGTTTAGTAATTCTGAACATACTCTCGTCCCAACAGCACTCCATTCCTGCTCTTGAGCTGAGGCAGCCCTTCTTCCCCACTCACATGGGACCCATGAAGCTTCGCCAGTTCCATCGTTCGACTCTGAGGAAATACTCGTTTGGACTTTTAGCTCAGCCAGGTCCCCACGCTGTCCAGCCGCTGCTCAAACACATAAAGAAGAAGGCCAAAGTAAAGTCCAGATTCAACTTTTTCATTTAGAGAATCTTCAAAATATTCTTTTTTTTCTTTTGTTTGTTTGTTTTATTCTGATTTGTTACATTAATGATGCCGTGAATGACAGAGAGAAAACGTGTTTGTTAAACAGATGAGAGAACAAGAGCGGCAGGCAGCAGGAGGTGGGGACATGTTCTTCATGCGAACGCCGCAGGACTTAACGGGTAAAGACGGAGACCTGATCTTAGCAGAGTACAGCGAGGAATACGCTCCTCTCATCATGCAGGTCGGCATGGCAACCAAGATCAAAAACTACTACAAAAGGGTGAGAGTGGCTTTTGCTTTTCATCTCTTGTATTTTGGTGTGAAAGGGTGAAGTCGATTGGATTCATTTTCTGTTGCTGTTACAGAAACCTGGGAAAGATCCCGGAGCGCCTGACTGTAAATATGGAGAAACTGTTTATTGCCACACGTCTCCTTTCCTTGGGTCTCTACATCCTGGGCAGCTGCTTCAGGTCTGTTCCATCACAATTAAAACTCATAATGTTTTAAATCCTCTCTGGTATCATGAGACTGTTTCCCTCTCTCCAACAGGCTTTTGAAAACAACCTCTTCCGTGCTCCGATCTATTTGCACAAGATGCCAGAGACAGATTTCCTGGTCATACGAACCCGACATGGCTACTACATTCGAGAGATTGTGGACATTTTTGTCGTTGGCCAGGAGTGCCCCTTGTTTGAAGTGCCAGGTCCAAACTCCAAACGTGCCAATACTCACATCAGAGACTTCCTGCAGGTATTCTTATGTGTCCCGATCAACACCTCCCACAAAGTTCTCCTCGTGATCGTTCCAAGCGCTCAGCCGGCTGATGTCTTTTCTGTAGGTGTTCATTTACCGTCTGTTCTGGAAGAGCAAAGATCGACCCCGACGAATCCGAATGGAGGACATAAAGAAAGCTTTTCCCTCCCACTCGGAGAGCAGCATCCGGAAACGGCTCAAACTCTGTGCTGACTTCAAACGCACGGGTAAGCATTCTGAGACAAAACACAGCAAGCTTAGAAATAATAAATGTAATAAATAAGAATAAAACGCTTCTTTTTCATGGCAGGGATGGACTCAAACTGGTGGGTGCTGAAGCCGGACTTCAGATTGCCAACAGAAGAAGAAATCAGAGCCATGGTGTCTCCAGAACAGTGCTGTGCTTACTACAGCATGCTAGTGGCAGAGCAGAGGCTCAAGGTAAATGTCTCCACATCCAGGTACCCATACGCTCTGACAGAGGGAGTCTCTAATTGTTCACTGTTGCAGGACGCTGGCTACGGTGAGAAATCCTTCTTTGCTCCAGAAGAGGAGAATGAAGAGGACTTCCAAATGAAAATTGATGATGAGGTATGATTGATTAAAGAGTCTTCCTCAGAATGACAACAACAACAAAAAAATACTATGCCAGATCCGCAATGATTCTGTCACTCGCTGTAGGTGCGGACTGCTCCGTGGAACACAACCAGAGCCTTCATTTCTGCCATGAAGGGGAAGTGCCTGCTGGAGGTTACGGGTGTGGCTGATCCTACTGGCTGTGGGGAGGGCTTCTCCTACGTTAAAGTCCCCAATAAACCCACCCAGCAGAAGGTGAGATCCTCTGAGGTGGAGACCGGCCATCTTCATCACCTTCTTTTTGTTTTTGTTTCACTCCACTTCCTTTGTTGTAATACCAGGATGACAAAGAGCCGCAGCCGGTTAAAAAGACGGTGACAGGGACAGATGCAGATCTGAGGAGGTTATCGCTTAAGAACGCCAAGCAACTCCTTCGTAAGTTTGGTGTTCCAGAAGAAGAGGTGAGCCCAAACGATCGGATTGATAATCAGCCAGAAGAATAAATCAATGTGTTCATCAGATTTAGTTTTTAGGGTTCAGCCTTTTTAAAAGGTTATCGTCCTCATGGCAGATCAAGAAGCTCTCCCGCTGGGAGGTGATCGATGTGGTGAGAACCATGTCCACGGAGCAGGCTCGGTCAGGCGAAGGTCCGATGAGCAAGTTCGCCAGAGGCTCCCGCTTCTCTGTGGCCGAACACCAGGAGCGCTACAAGGAAGAGTGTCAGAGGATCTTTGACCTGCAGAACAAGTCAGACTCCCGTTTATTCTCGCATACATCTCTCATTCAGGGTTCTGCCTGAGTGGGTTACATGTTCCCTCCCCACAGAGTTCTGGAGTCCACCGAGGTGCTGTCCACAGACACCGACAGCAGTTCAGCTGAAGACAGTGATTTTGAAGAGATGGGTAAGAACATTGAGAACATGCTGCAGAATAAAAAGACCAGCTCTCAGCTTTCCCGTGAGAGGGAGGAACAGGAGAGGAAGGAGCTGCAGAGGATGCTGATGGGCGAGGAGAGTGATCGTGACAATAAGGGACGCAAAGACCGACGCAAGGGCTTATGTACGCTTGGCTCATTCTTATTTTGTTTCTACACAGAAACCTGTGCTGCCTGTTCATTTAAAGGCTTTAACTGTTAACATTACATCTCTCCACTTCACAGCCAGTTCCCTGTCCACCAGCTCCCACAAAGATGACGACACGTCGTCTGTCACCAGCCTAAACTCATCCGCTACGGGACGCAGACTCAAGATCTATCGCACCTTCAGGGATGAGGACGGCAAAGAGTACGTCCGCTGTGAAACCGTTCGTAAAGCTTCAGTCATCGATGCCTACACCAGGATCAGGACCACCAAGGATGATGAGTTCATGTGAGTTTCATCTGCAGGCAGGAAGCAACCTTTTGTTTTTTAGCCCAGTGTGGTGCATTGATGAGGCGCCTCATGTTGCGGGAAGCTAAATTGAAATGTGTCTCTTTGTGGTTGCAGACGGAAGTTTGCCGTCTTTGATGAGCAGCACAGAGAAGAGATGAGGAAGGAGCGTCGGCGTATTCAGGAGCAGCTTCGGAGGCTGAAGAGAAACCAGGAAAAGGACAAGATCAAAGGACCGCCAGAGAAGAAGACCAAGAAGGTTAAAGAGAGACCAGACCTCAAGGTAAAAGTAAGCTTGCTGATTCAGTTTCTTTTTATTTGATCTTCTCCTCTGCAAACCCAGGGCTTATGATTTTGTGTTGGAGCTGTGTAGTTGTTTTATTTTTGTAGTTCAGCTTGATCGGTGTTGTGTTCCTTAATGTTTGCTTCTGCTTTCCAGCTGAAGTGTGGAGCATGTGGGGCCATCGGTCACATGAGGACCAACAAGTTCTGCCCCCTGTACAATCAAACCAACGCCCCGCCCTCGAACCCTGTCGCTATGACTGAGGAGCAGGAGGAGGAGCTGGAGAAGACCGTCATCCACAACGACAACGAAGAACTCATCAAGGTGGAAGGCACAAAGATTGTTCTGGGCAAGCAGCTCATTGAAAGGTGACAAATGTCGTAGAGCTCCGTTCATTTGTGCTTTGTGGAGGTCCTGTGCCACCGACCTCTGCTGACTCTTCTTCTTTTGGCAGTGCTGACGAGGTGCGCAGAAAGTCGTTGGTGCTGAAGTTCCCCAAGCAGCAGCTTCCACAGAAGAAGAAAAGGCGCGTAGGCAGCGCAGTCCACTGTGACTACCTCAATGTAAGCATTGTGGTGCAGCATGTTGTGATGCGTTATGAAGGCTTCTTAGCTGATGTGTTACATTTAATTTGGACAGAAACCACACAAAGCAATCCACCGCAGACGCACCGATCCGATGGTCACGTTGTCCTCTGTGCTTGAAAACATCATCAACGACATGCGGGATCATCCCAACGTGAGCAGACACACCACCTGCTTATTCTTCTGCTCTGCAGGCTTTTCCGTCATCCCTCTGTCTCTTAAATTCAGACGTACCCGTTCCACACACCCGTCAATGCCAAGGTTGTGAAGGACTACTACAAGATCATCACTCGTCCCATGGACCTACAGACACTGAGGGAGAACGTACGAAAGCGGATGTACCCATCGAGGGAGGAGTTCCGTGAAGCGGTGGAGCTGATTGTCAAAAACAGCGCCACCTACAACGGTAACTTCATAGCAGGTTTTTAAAATGAAACCTTCAGAGCCAGTGAGACTTTTGACCTCACACCAGTGTGCTGAGATGGATCTCTGCTTTGGTTCCACCAGGAGCAAAACATCCCATAACTCAAGTGGCCCAGTCCATGCTGGACCTGTGCGACGCTAAGCTGAAAGAAGTGAGTCAGCTGCTGTGAGGTTTTGATTTTCTCGTCGTCTTTCTCATTAATCATCAAACCTCTGCCTGTGACTGCAGAAGGAGGACCGGCTGGTGAGGCTGGAGAAAGCTATCAACCCCTTGCTGGATGATGACGATCAGGTGGCTTTCTCCTTCATCCTGGACAACATCATTACCCAGAAGATGATGGCTGTTCCTGACGTGAGTCTTCTTCCCTTGTCTTGCTTCAGTCATCACAAAGCATCAATGCATGTTAACTCCTCCTGTTCCCCTCTTTCAGTCCTGGCCGTTTCATCATCCTGTTAATAAAAAGTTTGTGCCTGATTACTACAAAGTCATCGTGAACCCCATGGATCTGGAGTCCATCAGAAAGGTGAGCAGCTCGCAATGTTTCAAGCCTGATTTCTGTCCTTAGCAGCATTCAACATCTAACCGATCTTCCAACAGAACATCTCCAAACATAAATACCAGAACAGAGAAGTGTTCCTGTCGGATGTGAGTCTCATCCATGCCAACAGCATCAAATACAACGGTAGGTCATGGCTATAACCTCTGTTACCATAACAACCGCTGCAGGTATTTACTAGCCTGGCCTCTGTACGAGTCTGGACACTCAAGAGAGCACCCTGAGGGGCGGGACTAGCCAGCTCAAAAATAATCAGTCAGAAAAAAGGCGGAAATGACAACTGTATCGCTCAACGCTGTAGTTTTTAGTTGTAGTCAAAGATGGCGTCTGGCAACGGTCCAAACATCTGTCTTTAGAAGAAAGGCGCTTCTTGTTATGGTTTTAAAGACACGTCTGAGTCATTTAGAACAGAGCAAAGAGCCGCAGCGAGCTCCGCCTCAGATGCCGTCTTCGTTGTTTGTGAGAAACTGAGCATTGCGTTGCCACGTACGCCACTCAGCGCTGATTGGCTCGCTTAGAATTCCCAGGGGGTGGGATTATTTGAATGGGAGTGTCACCAGGCCCTTTGCTTCTCATAAGGAAGCATTGGCATGGCTGGCCAGGCCAGGTTTTTACTCGACTGATTCAAAACAGGTAATTTAGACGAGTAAAGCATTGGTTTAATATTATTTTGCAGGTCCTGACAGTCCTTTCACCAAAACAGCCCTGGACATCATCAGTGTGTGTGAGCACACCTTGGCTGAGGTTTGTTGAACTTTTTTTCTCAGATTGTTTTTCACCTAAAAAGTTCCACAGGTTGTAATGATGCTAAAATAACTATCCATAGTATGATGAGCACCTGACACAGCTGGAGAAGGACATCTCTGCTGCGAAGGAGGCAGCTCTGGATGTGGCAGACCTGGACAGTCTGGACCCAATGACACCTGGACCATACACGCCGCAGGTACGCAGCTCTGGACCTCCTGGTCTGTTAACATGCTCTAGGTCGTAACTCGGGTCCAAATAAGTAGACTAAACTTCCAATAGCTTCTTGGCCCGTCCTGCTCTTTCTTCACTTGTGCACTGTGCTAACACCCCTCCCCTTCCTCCAGATTGTCATGTTATATCTGTACAGTGAGGTTTCTTCACCGTAGTGTCTTCTTTCTCCCAACCTGTTTCTCTCCGTCACTCCTGCCCTCGCGTCACGTCTCTCCTTTGTGCGTTGCCACTCCTGTGTGGCGTTGTCCAGCCTGCTGATCTGTTTGACAGCGTGGCTTCAGGGAGTCTGCCCAGAGAGCCCAGCAGCCTTTTCTCTGAGGGACCTCTAGTGGTTGCTCCAGAGAAGAGAGGGGGGCAGGTATGGAGAGTGTCTAAAACAAGGCTCATAACCACACGCTGCCTCTCCTCAGAGCATCCCAGCTTCATCCTGCACTTTTTATGCTCCTGTTCATGTAAAATAAAGAACACAGCGTTCTAACAGGTGAGTTACGAGTTCTTATCTTGGCTCTCAGGGGCGACACGGCAGAAGACCTAGAGAGGAAGACTCAGATGTGGACATTGAGGGCTTTGAGGAGGAAGATGATGGCAAACCCAAGACTCCTGCTCCTGTAAGAGAGATGAATTATGGAGGTTCTCTTGATTTGTCAGGATTATTTTCTACTAAGGTGTTTGTCTACATTTTAAAATTGTTCTATGTGGGTTACGTGTTAATGATACCTGTGTTTCCAGGCGGAGGATGCTGACGGAGATCTGGAGGATGAAGATGATGAAGAGATGTTGCTGCCATCTCGCAGACGGCCACACGATCGGGACGAGGAAGAGGAGGGAGACCACAGCAGATTAAGCCATCCGGCTCAATCCAGCGTTCTGTATCAGGACCTGCTCATGTCTGATGGAGAGGATGATGCCAGTGAGGAAGAAGGAGACAACCCTTTCTCCTGTGAGGCCACATCTGCTGCTCAGACACAAGCTGCCTGCTTCTTAAATATTTTCTTACAGGATGTCCTTGTTTGTAGTTTTTTTGCAGTTTCACCTTAAATTGTGAGCTTTAAGTGAAACAGTTATGAATAATTATCCCTTCCTTTACAGCGCTGGTTTGGAAACACCTTTAAAAATGTCTCCAAATGTCCAGCCACCTTGTCTAAACTGTCCTTGTGTGTTTTGTGTCCCTGCAGCCATACAGCTCTCAGAGAGTGGCAGCGACTCTGACCGGGAGTTGGATCTGCGAGCCCCGCCTCCTCGGAGAGCTCAGGAGATAGCCCGAATGGGCATGGAGCAGGACGAGAGCATGATGTCCTATGAAGGAGACGGGAATGAAAACATGGAGGACAGCAACATTAGGTACAACAGACACTTCTCAGAGAGAGAGAGAGAAAGGACGTTTTAAACATCTTGAGCTTTTTTCTGAGTGGGAAATTGTTAAAAATAATTATCATAGAATTGTTTTACATTTAGACCGTAATGGTGGATGTTTAAATGACCTACAATGTGGTTTTCTGCACTTCTAAATGACAGTTTGTCTCTCTGTTTTTCCAAGTTACGGCAGCTACGAGGAGACACAGAGTCAGAGTCAGATACAGCCGTCCAGCATGGGAAACGGAGAGGAGTACGGCATCAGTGAAGAGGAGGAGGAAGACGAAGAAGATGAAGCTCGGAGGAGAGGCCCAGCTGTGCTCTCTCAGGCCCAGCTGAGTGAAGATGAAGAGAGCGAAGAGTTCAGATCTATCGGAGGAGACAGCGACATGGACTCTGACAACTAGGGGGGTGTGTGTGTGTGTGTGTGTGTGTGTGTGTGTGTGTGTGTGTGTGTGTGTGTGTGGCCTACTGTAATCTCACATTTATAACAGAAATGTAGTTTCTCTGGTAAATATGTAAATTCTTACTTTGTAAATAAAGTTTAGTATTTGCGTCTTCGTACTGTTTGCATATTTGAGCTCATTTGCTTAGCGCTTGAATTTCTTGAATTGCTCACCACTTATTAAAGTTAAAAGGAAAAACATTAAATACAATTACTAAATGAACTTCCTTAAAGCAACCTTGTGTCACTTCCTGCAATTAATCTTTTTTAATAAAAAATATTTCCAAATTTTCTGAATTAAAATGTTTTGTTCAGTGTAAACTAGGGCTGGGCGTTATGGTCTAAAATCAATGTCACGATTTATTAAGGATTTCACCTTGATAACGATAAATGGACGATAAGCGCATAAACAGAAGTTGTCCACTAGATGGGGCTGTCTTCTGTATTACGTTGAGTCACATTTCTACTTGACTCAAGGTGATTCAGCTTAAAGGGACATGAACATTGCCAACCTGCACAGATCTTTTAGTTTTTATATTATCAAATTTATTGACATGGGAGACATTATCTTGATAATCAGAAATTTCATTAACAATAAATTTCCGATTTAATGCCCAGCCCTAATATAAAGAAATACCCTTGCTTTGGTAATCTAATTTCTACACTAGTGTAAAGCACTTTGGAGAACTGGCTCTGAATGGCACTATACAAGTGCGGGTCATTTATCATTCAAATTTGGTCTCTTGTCAGGAATCTTGGCGTGACCTTTGGCCCAGCTCCCACCCTGGATTCTCACATCAGTTCTCTTGTTCGCTCTTCCTTCTTCCATCTCAGGAACATTGCTAAGCTGAGTCCCATTCTGTCTCGCTCTGAACTTGAGACAATTCTCCACACCTTCATCTCCTCACGCTTACACTACTGTAACTCTCTTTTCACGTGTCTGAGCAGAACCTCCCTGAACCGTCTACAGGTGGTTCAGAATGCCTGTACTCGGCTTCTGACCAAGTCCTCCAAACACATCCACATCACCCCGCTTCTCCTCCAGCTTCACTGGCTGCCAGTCAACTTCAGGGTTCATTTCAAGATCCTAGTTCTGGTCTATAGGGCCTTACATGGACAAGCACCATCTTACATTAGTGACCTTCTCATTCCCTACCATCGACATTATATATACATATATATATACATATATATATATATATATATATATATATATATATATATATATATATATATATATATATATATATATATACGTCAATGGTAGGTACACCCCCAGCAGGTTCCTGAGGTCCAGTGACCAAAAGCTTACCGATTGTGCAGCACACCAGGCTACAGACCAATGGTTGCTGCGGCCGCAAATTTTTGCATTTCGCTTTTTTATTTTACACTCACCTAAAGGATTATTAGGAACACCATACTAATACGGTGTTTGACTCCATTTTCCTTCAGAACTGCCTTAATTCTACATGGCATTGATTCAACAAGGTGCTGAAAGCGTTCTTTAGAAATGTTGGCCCATATTGGTAGGACAGCATCTTGCAGTTGATGGAGATTTTTGGGATGCACATCCATGGCACGAAGCTCCCGTTCCACCACATCCCAAAGATGCTCTTTCGGGTTGAGATCTGGTGACTGTGGGGCCGTTGTAGTACAGTCAATTCATTGTCATGTTCAAGAAACCCATTTGAAATGATTGGAGCTTTATGACATGGTGCATTATCCTGCTGGAAGTAGCCATCAGAGGATGGGTACATGGTGGTCATGAAGGGATGGACATGGTCAGAAACAATGCTCAGGTAGCCCGTGGCATTTAAACCATGCCCAATTGGCACTAAGGGGCCTAAAGTGTGCCAAGAAAACTTCCCCCACACCATTACACCACCACCAGCAGCCTGCACAGCGGTAACAAGGCATGATGGATCCATGTTCTCATTCTGTTTACGCAAAATTCTGACTCAACCATTTTAATGTCTCAACAGAAATCCAGACTCATCAGACCAGGCAACATTTTTCCAGTCTTCAACTGTCCAATTTTGGTGAGCTCGTGCAAATTGTAACCTCTTTTTCCTATTTGTAGTGGAGATGAGCGGTACCCGGCGGGGTCTTCTGCTGTTGTAGCCCATCCGCCTCAAGGTTGTGCGTGTTGTGGCTTCACAAACGCTTTGCTGCATTCCTCGGTTGTAACAAGTGCTTATTTCAGTCAAAGCTGCTCTTCTATCAGCTGACTGCTCCTCAGTTGTGCCCTCTTCTCAAACACTACTTGGGACAGACTGAGAAGGCCCAAGCTCCGCCACCCCCCTCAGCTCGTGGAACGGAAGGAGTAGTCACCCCATGCTGATGGAGTAACAGCAATCAGAAGCCTAAACGCACCTGCCCTGGTGAGTCTTTTAAAGGTGGCCACCAGGGCCCTGATTGGCTGGCTCCATAATCAAGAGGAAGTGGCAGCAAGTGGAGCAATTCACTCCACTCTGCCACATGGACAAGCGGTCGAAATTACTGTAAATCCTCTAATATTAGCCTGTATTTAATTAACTGCCGGGTATCATATTTTGGCCGGTGTCGGAGTCGGTGGAGGTGAATAATGGCCGGATTTTTATTGTGGCCGGGTGGAATGTGGTAACAAGCAAGTACGGGGGGCAGTTGTGTCATCCGTCTCACTTTTGATTTGCCAGTGACAGACCGCGAGGGTAACTTTAACCGTGCGGAGACGAAGAGGAGGCGAAAATTTGATATCAAGTTCAAAGAGAAAGTGCTGATTATGCTGCAGAACACTGGGGAGCAGTAGGGGTTGTATGAACTAGTCACTAGTCGACTTCACCGCTCTATAGTGACTTTGTATGCCTGTCATCGACTAGTCGCTGTCACGTGATAATGACCGGCAAGATGCAGCCCTCGGAAAAGACAGCAGCCCGCTGTCAGCAGGTGACAGGCTCTTGCGCGTCGGGAGGTAACGAGCTGTGCCAGAGCGTCGGTACCGACACCCGCTGTAAAACGGACATTTAACCAAATTGTGACATTTACCCTCTTGCAATTTAACCTTCCCCTCACCCCCATCCTAACCTTAACCAGCTTGCGCATGCAAAGCTCTGATTGTTGACGCGCTCCAGACATCTGCCTCCTGAGCACGGCCACAGTAACATTATCAAATCAGGTGTTGCCACCTCAAAAACTAATTTAGCATGCAATCGTTCATGTCGGCTCATTTCCTTTTATGTTTTCTGTCTTTTATTCTTTTATTTGTGCCTGATGCGTTTCGCTGCTGTGGATCGGGGGCGCATCACCTGGTTTGTCCTCGGTGACGCACCTAACTGATGTGGCAGGCGAGCACTCCGCTGTTTTTGCGGTCGGTAGATCTTTTAGAATTGCTGTTCAAAGGTAACTCATACGGTGAATATATATGAACCCAGGTAGCAGTTTTTCTTTGGGATTGAGAGGAGATGCAGGAAGATAATAAACAGGCAGGACAGAAAAATAGTCAAATAAAAACAAGTTAGTTTTTGTACCTGGTGGTTGCAACAAACAAACCCCACTGAAGGTAATCAGAAGTGAGGAACAGAAAATGAAATAATTATTTTAATGTTTAGAGCAGCAGGAACACTGAGTCTGCAGGTGCATCAGTGAGTTTGCGGCTGCTGCGCGCGGGGGGGGGGGGGGGGGGGGGCTGAAGCAGAAACTACCGTTGTTAAAAGAAATGTGTTTAACTTTGAAAATGTGGGCGCAATTTTATTTGTCAAAAACTCCAGCGAACCATTAGTTCATTTTGCTCAAATAGAAATTGAGGCCTGCCTCTAATTCTGGCCCTCCTTCCAATAAAGGCCTGGAGCTTGAAGAGCTTGAGTCAAATACGGGCCCGGGCCTGTATTAGAGGATTTACGGCAGTTTTCTCTGCAAGGTGGCTGGGCTCAAAAGATAGGGTGAGAAGTTCGGTCAACCAGGAGGAGAGGAAGTTTTTCTACTATGTTTGTCTTGCAAACATCTATTTAGAGAAAGAACAAACAGTAAAAATAAAATGCAATTCTATTTGGTTGCAGGTATAAACTTTTACAAACTTATACATGTAATCTGACATTTGGTTTCATTGATGGCCACACACTTTGTCCGGAAAGGATTTCTATGTATTATTTAGGTCAATTGAAGGGGTACACAATAACCCAATCTTCTGCCTTTCGACGTTAAGGATATTTAGCAACATGTGCTGGACCAAAGCTGTTTCTACAGGCAGCTTTGATAAAGCCTAACGACACAAACTCAACCGCACTTCCTGTCGATTCCTTCAAAATAAACAATACCGCTTAAAAGTACTGCAGGTTTTAAGTTAGTGTCAAAAGCACAGTTAGTCTAAACATAGAAAAAGTCATAATGTCTTCCTTTATACAAAATACTTAACTATTAAATCTTAACAAATCTATTTTAATTATGTATCTTCAACAAGAATAAAGTCCATGAGCAACAGCTGGATCTATTATCAGCTAAAACAGATATTTACTGTTATTAAGCTTAATTATGGAGGCTAAATATTGTCTTCTAAATGGCTAAAAAGACAAAAGGTGTAGTACCTACTTTCAGACACTGGAGGGCAGCAACTCCCCATCTTGTTTATGGTTATGTATTTAGCAGACGCTTTTGTCCAAAGCGACTTACAAGTGATAATCTACATGTTGCCCTTGAGGCTAACAACAACAATAACAACGATTTCTTCCCCTTTCTATCCTATTGTTTTTCTATTTTTTGCCAGCAGAGGGTACAATTTCCCCATTCATTAACTTTTGCTCTTTGCTCTTTGACTCTTTGACTTTTTTAAGCTTCATTAAGACAAGGAGGCTAAAATGATCTATTCTAAATGGCTAACATGAAATACGTGCACTTACAGCAAACAGCCACCGGAGGGCAGCATTTTCCCACCTTCTCTTTATTCCTTACCGCTGTTTGTGGCCACCAGAGGGCGCAAATTTCCCATTCTTTTAAGGAAAAAAACAGTGTTTGGAAGAAATTAGTGTTTCTACTAAGGAAGTATTTTATCTTTACCAATACAGGTTCATCCCCTTCAAATCCTCCCCCTTCTCCTTCATAATATTATAATTCCCAAAATGTTTATTAAAAACATTAAGATTTTTTAAAGCTTCATTAAGACAAGGTGGCTGAAATGTTGTATTTTAAATGGGTCAAATTAAAAATCTATTGTCTATGCAGTAGCGTAATGGTTAGAGCTATTGCCTTGCATCAAGAAAGTACCGGGTTCGCTTCCCGGGGCTGGGAATTTCTGTTTGGAGTTTGCATTTTCTAAGACTTTTCTTAACTTTACTCTTTAAAATTCTGCAGTTTTTAAATTAATCTAAATAATGGGAAAGACATAATGTCTTCACCCATATAAACTACTAAACTATTAAATCTGAACAAATCTATTTTTATTATTTGTGTTCAACAAAATTATACCAACGAGCTACAGCTGAAGCTATTAGCAGCTAGCTACAAAACAGAGATTTCAATTTGGTAAAGCTTCAATAGTTATTTACTGGTACTTGTCATTCTTTTATGGCAATTCAATGTAAATATTCTGTGGAAAAATGAAAATAATGAGTTAGTTTTTTTTTTCATTTTAGCAAAAGTAACTATGAGCCATGGCAGAGTTTATAACTGATCGTATAACTGATGAAATCTGCAGAAAAACAGATCTTTTCATATGACATATGCCATATGCCCCTTATATTTTGTGTATAATTTAAAAAACGCTTCAGAGTTCTTGCAGTTATTTCAGCTAATAAAGTAGTTCTAAAACGTCTCATTCAAAAGCTAAACAGGCAAAAACAAGACAAGCTTTAAATAGCTTTGACATTTTATTGTTCCATTAATCGTGTCATACAAGTGTTGTAAGTGGTACACCAACTTGAAGAGCCGCTGATTGTTAGTACTATTGTCTATTTCTGTAGTACATGCTATCTCTTACCTCTTACATTAAAATGCATGAATGCAATATGAGTATTTTTTGCTTTAAGGTAGCAGAACGAGTGATGGCATCAAGAGGAGATGAAGTTCAGTGTCAAAGGTAAACTCATAAAAGAAAAAGAGAAAATTCGAGTGAGTTGCGTTTCGATTGAGGTTAACGTTTCTACTGGCAGGTTTCATCTACATGAACTCATTCAGGAAACTGTTTACTGTCCCCTCAGGAGTCTCCTCCAAAGGCTTTCCATGACAAAATGAGGGAACCACAAGGAGATCTGGATCCTTGACCTCAAGTTCAACATCCGTGTTGCTGTAAATAAAAGTGCACAAATTACATGAAAAAATGATCAAGGGGTTTTATGGTAGAATTGTTCTTAGCATCCACTAGAATGTTTTAAAACGTGTCACCAACCTGAAATAGAATGAGGTGGTTTCAGTGAAATAGAAAGTGCTGACAGGCAAACATCCCATAGTTACAGACATGGAGTAGGAGCCTGGGAAGGAAATCAGAGGGAGAGTTATGATTTCAGCCACACAAGTGTACAAAAAACCCTTTCTACTCCACTCCACCTTTCATGTTGGTCAGTGATCCTGTCCAGATGTTTACTTTCAGCCCCTCTCCTTCAATGGACAGGCTCCCAGAGGTCAGCGTGCAGGAAAACGTGGCGTCGTCAGGGATGTCCAGCGGATGCAAGTCCATTTGCAGTTTCTTTTTCTCACAGCTCTGGTTTTTGCTGTCAATCTCGTAAAAAATCCCCTGTCAAAAAAAAAAAAGGACCACAGATTTGAGTTTCAGGTCACCAGATGGATTCATGTGAAACTCTGAAACAGAAGGCGTCACCTCTTCAAAGAGCATCAGCAGGTCCAAACCAAAGGAGGAGTTTGCGGGGTGGCTCTCGTTGGATCTGAACCGCAGTTTCTTACCCACCGAATCATAAGTGAATGCACCGACTGCTCTCATCTCACCCTTTAGGGTCATCTGGTTGAATTAAAAAGCAGAAGGGGATAGTTTTACATGTTTTAAAATGCTAAAGAGAATGTACTCCCACCAAAAAGACTCACCACTCGCATTAATCCAGTCATGTTGGGGGAATCTGAAAGGAAAATTTCAATTAATATATGTGTATATATATATATATATATATATGTGTGTATATATGTGTGTGTATATATATATATATATATATATATATATGCTTATTAGAAACCCAAACTTTAGAATAAAGACTGGTTCTTACGACAGTGCTGGTGGTGGTCTGCACGGCTGCCGCTGGTCAAGCAAATGGAAACAAAAAGCACTATAGTTGCAAACATTTCCCTGGTCCAAATGGAATCACAAAATAATAAAGAAGGCAAAAATTTAAGCACAAGCTCACCTACCTATCAACAATTTCACATCATCTTTTATAGGTCCTGAGGTTGGTCCAGGCTGAGATTCTTACGCAAACGTAGACGCCCCCTCCCTAGCCTTCAAACATCAAGCTGTCTAAACATGTCAGTCTATGGCCCGGCTGGTGGTGACCCAAATGGACAAGTATTTAGTCTATCTGGGTAATTTTTGTTGTGATTGCACAGCTGTCCTTGTTTTTGTCTGGCTGAATGCCTCATGATCATGCAAGGAAGAGACTGACCACAGAGGACAATCAGGGTTCATGTGAGGTAAATGTTAACATCCTGCTTACGAACATTAACAACGTTAAGATTTACACAAATTACAGGGTTGTGGAGACTAGAAGTGCAGAAAAAGTGTCAGCTGAGATGAAATCGGTATGAAAATGAAACATTTCTTTAAAATTACCCCTAATGAGTCAATTCTCACCAGAAAACATCTAACTGGCAGAACTTTGTCTAGTCAGAGTGAGTGCGGGGGTTTAGATGAGAGTATCAGAATAAAGAACCATGACTCACTGGTTATATGTGGTTTTGCAACCTCTAATATCATCAGAGCCACCTCTATGCTTTCTTTAAAAAGGACATTTTTAAATTTCAATGATAGAAATTTATATTTGGTTACCTCTATGAAATCTCACATCCATCCATCCATCCATCCATCTGTACTCTCCTGCTTATCCAGGGTCAGGTTGCAGGGGCAGCAGCTCAAGCAAGGAACACCTTCGGCTTCCCTTTCCAAGCCACTTGGGCCAGCTCCTCTGGAGGAATCCTAAGGTGTTCCTTGGCCAGCCGAAAGATATAGTCTCTCCAGCGTGTCCTGGGTCTTCTATTAGGCCTTCTCCTGGTTGGACATGCCCAGAAAATCTCACCAAGGAGGTGTCCAGGAGGCAACCAGATGCTCGAGCCACCTCAACTGGCCCCTCTCGATGTGGAGGAGCAGAAGGTCGACTCCAAGCCTCTCCTGGATGACCCTGCTCCTCACCCATTCTCTAAGGGAGAACCCAGACACCCGGCGGAGAAAACTCATTTTGGCCACCACCCAAATCTTGTGACCATAGGTGAGGGTGGCAATGTAGATCTACCGGTAAATCGAGAGCTTTGCTTTCCACCTCACCTCTCTCTTCACCACAAGAGACTGGTACAATGCTTGCATCACTGCAGATGCAGCACCAATCTGCCTATTAATGTCCCCATCTGTTTTTCCTCACTCGTGAACAAGACCCTGAGATGGTTAAACTCCTTCACTTGAGGCAGAACCCCATCTCTGACCTGTAGAAGGCTGTCTACCCTTTCCCGATAAAAAAAACCATGTTCTCGGATTTAGAGGAGCTGATTCTCATCCCAGCTAACTGCTCTAGCAAAAGCCGGAGATCAGGAGAACAGGACCACATCATCTGCAAAAAGTAGAGACTCGATCCTCAGGCCACCAAAATGGATCCCCTCAACACCTTGGCTGCGCCTAGAAATCCTGTCCATAAAAATTATGAACAAAATCTGTGACAAAGGGCAGCCTTGGCAGAGTCCAGCTCTCACCGGAAACAAGCCTGACTTACTGCCAGCAATGTGGACCAAGCTTTGACACTGGTCACATTAAGGGGCCTAGTGCCCCGTACTCCCAGAGTACCCCCCACAGGGCCCCCTGAGGGACACGATCAAACGCCTTCTCCAAATTCATAAAACACATGTAGATTGGTTGAGCGAACTTCCACTCACCCTCCAGAAGCCCTACAAGGGTATAGAGCTCCGGGAGTTGACGTCACTTCTCCCGGCATGCAACAGTTCAAATCAAAACAGCGCCATATTGGCAGGCAGAAGCCCGCAGCTGGACTATTTGTTATTGTCAGAAAACTCAAACGGGAAATATGGTAGATTCCTGTTGTGCCCCAGGATGCAGAACAGACGCGGACGACATAAGCAATGAGCCATCTACAGGATTCCCCAAGATCCGGAACGCAGCAAACGTTGGATCATTGTAATAAAACGCGCTAGTGACCGGGCTAAAATGAAGCTGTGAGATCCAGAGTGTAAAGGTTTTTGCTTATGCAGCGACCACTTCATATCAGGTACTTAAACCAACGTTTCCTCAACAGTGTATGGTATTTATTTTAAATGCTTTTATTATGATTCTTAGTGGGCTTCCTAAACTTATTTTGCCGTGGATTTTTCTGTCTTATTACTCATAGCAGCAAGTAAACATCACGTAAAACGTTGCCTCGTGAGTTCTGCGTGCTGCCGCTAACGTGTTTTATGATCACAGCAATTAACCGGCTAAGCTGTATTTAATTTTTAAGCAATGGTTGATCAATTGTGCGATCACACATAAAAAGCACTTTGGATTGCTATTATCTGTCTCACCGAGATCTCCAACAGATCCTGAGACGCTCCTGCCTGACATATTTATTTTATTCACAGAAAAAAAAATCAAACTAGTGAGTTCTCTTGGCGTTCAGTTTATACATTCAAACAGCACAGCATTCTATTTAAACTACTTACATGTAAATCTGTTATTTGTCCATCCATCCATCCATTTTCATCCGCTTATCTAGAGTCGGGTTGTGGGGGCAGTAGTGTCGAGAGGCCCAGACTTCCCTCTCTCCAGCCACTTCGGCCAGCTCCTCCAGGGAAATCCCAAGGGGTTCCCCGGCCAGGTCCGGTAAGAAGTCCGCTCCAACAGCTTCTGGCATTTTTAAAAAGTATCCCAGGGGCACGGTAAGGGTCGGAGATGTTTAGTCTATTTAATTTCTGACTATATAAAATGATTTCTTCGGTTTTAAAGTGTGAAGTAAACTCCGACAAAGTAAAGTCCAAGCTGATCCCGTTCAATTTGTTTACATTTGTTGCCTGCCAACATGGCGTCTACTCTCTGAGAGTCACGTGACGTCCGGAGCTCTATAGAGCTGGTCCAGTGTTCCACAGCCAGGACAAATACCACATTGCTCCTCCCGAATCTGAGGTTGAACTATCCGATGGACCTTCTATCCAGAACCCCTGAATAGACCAGGGAGGCTCAGGAGTGTGATCCAGAGCCGTGACCAGGACTTTTAAAATGGGGTGGCCCATGTGGGGCACTTGTTTATGCCTGGGTGGCACCAATGGTTATGCTTATGTACACAAATCGTTTATTTATTTACTTTCTAGTGAATTTTTGAGTTTCACATTGCACAATCACCATTTTTTTCTATTCATCTTCTAGTTTTGTGGTGGTTAGCAAGTCACTTCTTGCTGCATTATTGCCACCAACTGGAGTTGAGTGGGACTCTAAATACTATTTATGTGAATATGAAAAAAATAATAAATATTAATACTACTGAAATGTTCTGTAGGCCTGGGCTAGAAGACAATGTTAAAGGTGCGTGCACACACTATTTTTGGAGTTTACAACTCAAGCCTTTTGTCGACAATGTAAAGTCAATTTAAACTGGAACTTAGTAGGGTGGCACCTGGGGTGGCCAATCAGATTCTAAGGGTGGCATGTGCTACCCCAGGCCACTCCCTGGACACATCCCTGGTGTGATCCCCATGTAGTTGGAACACATCCCACAGTGCCCCTTTTTAAATAAGGGGACCACCCCCCCCCCAGTCTACCAATCCAGTGGAACTGCCCCTGCCATCCATGCAATATTGCAGAGTCGCGTCTACCCCTAAAAGTCAAGTCAGGTTGATTTATAAGGCAGCTGACCTAAGTGCTGCACAAAGCAGTCATTATGCATAAAGGAAGAGCACATAAAATACAAAACAGAGATAAAATACTGTTTAAGGCAGTCACAACACTTATAACAGCATTTGTCATGAACTGAACAAGGAAGACCCGTGAAGACGCCAAACACAGTAAAAAAAATATATAAAAAAAGTCTTTATTTGAAGCAGAGTTACCAGAGTTGGGCGAGGCTGGAGACAGAGTCGGAGAGGAGGCGAGAGTCAAAACCAGATCAGACATGCAGATGCGGGGAACAGGCAAGAGGCGAGGTTGAGGACAGGCGAAGGTCGTGGAGGCAGGCAGAGTTCAGGCAGGGGTCAGGAGAAAAACGAGGTCCGGAGGCAGAGATCAGGCAGGGTGAATTGCTGGAGAATTTACTGGCACGAAGTCTTCAATAATCTGGCACTGAATGACTGGATGGCTGGTTCTTTTGTAGCAGGGGAAACAGGTGTGAGTGATGAGCTGAGGAGTCAGAAGCAGGTGAAGTGGATGAAGCTGATTGTGGTAGTCAGGGAAACAGGGCTTGGCTGGGGCTTGACGATGAGACCAGGTGTGCTGCATGAAGGCAGAGGAGGGTGAAGGGTTGGGAGTCATGTCAGTATTGGTAAAATACAAGAAGAGATTAAGAAAAACCAAACATCCAGGGGACTCATTTCTCAAGCTTGCTTACGCACAAAACGGGGTAGAAAAACTGCGTAAGCAAGTTTCCACGCAAACTTTGGGATTTATGAAAGAAAACTTAGCGGAAAAAGGTGCGCAACTTTAAGTTGACTAAGGACCTTGCTTAAGCACATTTTGGACATGGAGAGCACCTGCAGTGCTGCTGCTGAGAAGGATAAAATTATGAAATCCTGCAGCATTATCACTTGTACTGCTTCGTTTTCACACAGAACAAGACCCAACACACGCACACACACGCGTGCGTACACACACATGCGCGCACACTCACACACAGCCTGAATCGCAGAATACGGAATGCAGAATATCAGCAGGGGGACAGATTGAGACAGAATGTCATACGTCTGTGACAGTGTGTCTAGTCACTGTGACCCAATTGATCATGCGCCCTGGCTATTTGGACAAGGAAGATCTCTGGCTGACTGGTTAGCATGTGTGACTTTCACCTGGGAGTATGGGGTTCAAATCCTGATTGGACCATTTTTTTTAATATCCGCCACAGATCTCTCTGAAGAATTCACAACATTGACCGCTTCAGCAACGCTGTGCCACTCCGTGGATTTTCTCTTATTTGTTTTGCAAAAGCACTTCCTTTCATTTCTCCGCCTCACCCACAGATACATCAATTTCTGCTTCTGTGAAATTGCGCTTCCTTGATCTGCCTTGATCTACG